GCTTTGCCCCCTTAGACCGGAGCGGTGATAACGAAAGCCACGACCGGACGTCTGCACCAACATCTCGGGCCGAGTCACCGTCCATCGCCCGACGTGATGGCATAAACAACCAAAGCTGGACGCCAGCACACTCTTCAACGCACAACCAGAACCTGGGGTATCCAGACACTCACCCGCCGGCAACAACAACACCCATAACCTCAGTTCACGACCCCCTTGCCGGCATCCCAGCACAACCCATCAACTCTTCAAACATCAACGTCAGCTTCATGCCTCCCCCACCATCGGTATATTACAACTTCTACGAACCCCGCACCACTACGCCCTCAGGTGACATGGACGGTTCAGTCCCCTCGGTCGTGCCGCCTCAGTCCATGGCCGAGAACCAGAACCAACCTGGAGTTTCAGACTGGTTCGCACTTCCGCTCGACCAGTTCTTCAATTCTTCGACTGCGGTCGTGGATCAGGGACTTGGTGGCACGGGGCCTATGGTGGGAGAGTTCGATATGCTTGAGGTCTTGCTGAACGAGCAGTATGACGGGAGTGGTGAGGGGCTTGAGTCTGGAGGCGGAGGGCTGTCTTCGCAGTTTATGCAGTCGTAGTCAACTCGACTGCCTTGGTGTTTCTACGACGAGTTATTTTGAAAATAGGCCGATGATTGTACGAGCTTGTATAGTGTGATTTTAACCTGGCTATACTGTGGGCGGTTTATTCCTGTTTATTGATATCGTTGACATGGTCTATACATTATGAGTTGTATGAATAAACGCGAAATGCTTTTGTTTAGCCTGAAATACTGCACTGCATTTTGTTTTATGGTTTTGTTTGTAGAGGTAAACAGGCCCGCCAACATAAAGGACATTAGTCCACTACTTTGCACCTACTTGCCACTTCTAGATAGTAGTAGCAGCATCCGCACCTCCTGGGGTCATTTTCGGATAGGAAATACTCACGACCTGAGGCGTGCCTTCCTTACAAGGACTGATTAGCAGTTGAAGTCCAGAATAGGAAGTAGCAACCAGTACCCGACCCGGCCGTTGGACCTCCCCACCCGTCCTGCCCACACATGATCCATCGCACCTGTCTATCAAAACAGCGCAGATGATCATTTATGGAAGGTGCGACTGAGGCAAATCTTGTACCGCTTTTGCGCTTGACGGACTATATATCCGAAGCAGGAGGGGCTGCGCTAAGTGCATTGTTAGACATGTTTGAGACGATATGACAGCCGTGATGATAAGTTTGGGCATTGGGTGCAAGTGTATTCGAAATGGTAGTTCCTAGAAGCGCCAAAAGTGATGCCGGGTAAACCAGTCAATCTCATATAGATGGTAACCCGGACATATGCGCTGGAATTGGAATCCGAAAGCGTCGTTATCGTTTCTACTCAGATTACATCAAGATGAAACCGCGATTGCAGCTTGTCAACGCCACACAGGCAGAGGCTGCTCACTGTCGTCTCAAGCCCAGTGGCTCGCTCCATGTCACTGCCACAGTGGTTTGGAAAGGATCTGTGATTGTCGGCCCTCACCTCGTGCTCTCCGGCGATTCTTGGCTGATCAGCAAATCACAGCGCAACATTGTACGCCGTCGCCCCTTCTCATCCCTCTTGAGCTCGTATATTGGAACTTTCCCTGGGACCAGCGGGATTTTCAGAGCATTGCTGTCACATTTGTCATTGAGATCGGGGAGCGGGGAGGCTGCATGATATGGACCATGATTTGACGACCCTCGAGCTGGGGCCGCGAATGCAATGGAGTGACGACCAATCAAAGAATCGCCGAGAACCATTGAGTTGTTGCACGGCCTCGATACTCGTAGTGGAAGGTAACTTCGAAGGCCCAAGACACCTCGGAGGCTCGGTGTAGACCTCAGGTGTAGACAAGAGCAGACGGAAGGCTTCATGTGACCTGCCCAGTGACCGCTGCTCTTTCTCTTCTCTCTTTATCCTTGATCTTTCATCGTCTCCAGTCCCTTCCAAGGTTGTTGGCTGTTGTTCTTCCCTAGCTCGTCTTCTTGACTGGCTTTGACTGACCCTTGGCTCACGATATTATTCTTGCCCCTGAACCGCCAGCCCACCGGAGCCGCCACACTCTTTTGCAATTCGCCCGCTGGGCGCTCTTCGGCACCTCCACACTTGTTGATTTCTCCATCGCGGCATTTGCGCTCCGCCGCTCAATTCACAAATGATGATCGTGGGATGAGGGCTCGGCGTTCCTTCAGCCTTCGGTGGAGCAGTTCATGGCCCAACAAGCTCGAGCCCCGCATGGGCCCCCAATGCCCTCGTCCATCGAAAAGCTTCCTTGGCCCCCCTAAGTTGTCCGAACCAAGCTAGACAAGCAATCATCATGGTCAACTCCACAACTGTACTCGTGGGCTCTCCTCTCGTGCCTGGACATCAGGCACGCACATGCCAGGAACATGGCTACCTTCTTGATTCTGTTGGGACTGGCCAATCCGGGGCTTGGACTTGGACCTGATATGCTTGATCTGAGTCGCGTGTAAGCCAACATGAATCGCAGCTCGATAGCATGCCCATCGGTCGGCACGATCTTCGCTCTCGATTCCTAGTACGGGGCACTTCGTGCCTCTCCACTAGACTACTCTCGTTGAGGGGCCACCCCGGAGAGCTGTGAAAGCCCGTATCAGGTGGGACCTGTGCCCATTTCAGATTGTGATGATCATCCACTGTTTATCGCTCCCTGAGGGGAACCTGGTCACGTATAAAGGTGTTTCCATTCTCTTCCCGCCGGACTTGATATAGCACAACACCTTTACTGGCTTTTTCAGATTCTCAGATCTGGAATTGACCCTTCTTATTTGCTTTTCTGTCACCGTCCTAGTCGGCACATAGTCACATATCCTTCCAAGATGGTTGTCTTCAGCAAGGTTGTTTCGGTGGCCGTCGGCCTCGCTGCCGTCGCATCTGCGGTGCCCACATCCAACCCTCGCCAGGGCTTTACTCTCGATCAAATCCTAAGCCCAAAGTCCAGCAGCCAGGGCATTAACTTTCCAAAGATGTACGGCAGAACGTTGGCTAAATACGGTTCCCCCATACCTGATAAACTCCGAGAGGCTGAGGGTCACGGTACCGCTGTGACAACTCCCCTAGAGTACGACATCATGTATCTGACTCCAGTCGATGTCGGTGGCACAAAGATGAATCTAGACATAGACACAGGATCTGCTGATTTGTAAGTAGCAGACCTCTCGTTCCACTGGCCGCCAAAGGCTAATATATACATAGATGGGTATTTTCCGACAAGCTTCCAGCTGAGCAGCAGAAGGGCCATAGTGTCTACAAGCCTTCTGATCACTCTCAGAAGCTGGACGGTTACAGTTGGGAAATTTCGTATGGCGATGGTAGCAGCGCAAGCGGTGATGTCTACAAGGATACCGTTACGCTTGGCGGAATTACCGCGCAAAGCCAGGCAGTTGAAGCCGCTTCTAAGATTAGTGACCAATTCGCCCAAGACGAGCACAATGACGGCCTGCTCGGCCTATCATTCAGCTCCATCAACACTGGTCAGTCGTTAGAACATATCTAAATACGTGCTCTACTAACCGCGCATTAGTTGAACCTAAGAGTCAAACCACCTTCGTTGATACCGTCAAGTCTCAGCTCGACAGTCCTGTCTTCGCTGCAGCCCTCAAGTACCACCAACCCGGAAGCTACGACTTCGGTTTCATCGACCATGACAAATATCAGGGCGAGCTCTCCTACGTGGACGTGGACAAGTCTCAGGGGTTCTGGATGTTCTCAGCTGAAGCCTCTGGAATCAAGTTCGACGCCATTGCCGGTACGCTCCAAAACATTCCCCGAACCAAATAATCGCTTTCTATTCTGACTCATACATCCAGATACCGGTACCACCCTCATCATGATTGACCCCCTTGTCGTCATCCAGTATTACCTCCAAGTTCCCGGTGCCATCGATAACCTTCTGGTCGGCGGCTGGACCTTCCCCTGTGACTCCGACCTCCCCGACTTCACCATCGACATCAACGGCTACAAAGCTGTGATTCCAGGAAAGCACATCAACTACGCCCCCGTGACCGACGGCTCCGACACCTGCCTTGGTGGTATCCAGGACAACCTGGGCATGCAGTTCTCCATCCTCGGAGACATCTTCCTGAAGAGCCAATACGTCGTTTTCGACTATGAGGGACCTCGTCTTGGATTTGCGCCCCAGGCTTAAGCCTAGGCTCCTTCCTCACTACCCAGACTCGCCAGCTTTTCATCTTCATCCTCATTTTTCTTTTTTCTCCGGCAATACTGAGCGTCGATTCGGTTTGCCTTGTATATCCTCTTTCGTAATAAACCCTGTTCCTAGGGGAAATAGGAACGATATATAGAGAGTAACGACGCAATAGCAGTCTTACAATCAAATTAATATGGGTATATCAAACCTAAATGGAATGAATACATCATGGTACTGATCACTACCAAACAATACTGGTGGTATCGCGCTGAATACCGTATATAGTAAGGTGCGGATAGATAAATTTAGATTATTTGGAGATGAGAGCTAATAACCTAAATTAAATAATGCGCCCAACCTAAACTCTATCGAAAAATGTAAACCAAATCAGCCACCACCCTATAACTGAGAGCTCCAACACCTGCAGCCAACACCGGACCAAAAACTAAGCCCAGCGTCATGGCATAAATAAATGTAGATGAGCAGATACTGCAGATTTGTGTATATACTGCAATAATATGATGATTCGTATGTAGGCTTGTATGTCGACCGTCGAATCAACCGACTTCGTTGTTGGAAAGTAGGATGCTTTTGCATGTCCTCGTTAAAATGAATTGCGGGAGTTCGCACTTCCCTTTGGGTATCAAGGAGAGACAAGACAAGACATACACGCTAGAGCTCCAGCTCCGGGATTCAAGTTTGCGCTTTTTGGCGAGGACATAGCGAAGATGAGAGTGAAATGTATCAGCGTGCGTCGTGTCGTGTCGGCTCGACGCATTCGAACGCCTAAGGGTTGACTCAGAGTTCCTGAGTATCCTTGCCCCATATATCCCATTGTTTTACCACGTCCCAGCCCACGCGCTGCACCCTGCGTCGCAACGTACGGTTCCTAGGACCTCCTAATAGACAGTCATCTACGCTGTTACCCCACTCGCGTACAAGGGCAGTCTCTTCATCTCGCATTCGTTTCCCGAGAACTGGCGTAGGCTGAGAGCTCTTCTGTTGAAATGAAGGGAGCTTCGGTGAGTTTGTCTGTGTCTGGTTTGGTCCTGGGCTTGGAAGGCCTAGGCCCAAACCAGCGTTGTTCCCTTGCTCAGATTCACTGTAGCTCTGCGGGCTCTTGTCATCCATACTCGGTGCGCGAGATTCAGCCGGTGTTTGGGATTGGACCCCTTCTCGCGGTTGTGACTGTTCCGCTGGGACTGTGTAGTATTCGCCTAGAAGGAAGGCCTTCCGGCCAAAGCCGAGGACTTTCAGCTTTTGGAAGAGCTGCTGATCGGCGAGAGCTTCGCTTAGTTTTTCTATGAGGGTTTCATCGTCTTGTTCTACAAATTCTGCGAAGGTCCTAGCGCCAACATCGACACCATTTGTGTCCTTGCCTTGCTTGGGAGGCTTGGGGAACGTCTCGTCTCCAGGTGACGTGCAGGTCCCGGTTGGGATGAGAAGGCGCAATGCTTCAAGGTTTCGGAGGAAGGGAAGTAGAAGCCCTAATGTGTCCATGCTTGATATTTCCGCTGCAAAAGCCAGCTGCTCTAGTTGCGGACTTGCATGGACAATGCGGGCTATTATATTCGATGAAAGTGCCCACCGCGCGGGGAGGAGAAGGTGCCGGAGTGTTGCGGCGTGGTTTAATACGATGCTGTTTATGGAGTTATCTCTGATTCTGGCTTGTAAGCTAGGCGTATTCGACGGGGAGTCGGCCGATGTCGGAGTTATAAGATCCCTCGAAGGGCAGTTCGCATTATCGGATCCGGGTGGTGTGAGAGTCGTTGCGCATGGGGCTGGCTCCCGAGGTGAATTGATCGAATCAGAAAGGCTTGTCGCACCGAGTAAGTATATTTTTTCAAGACCCGTGAAGCTTCCGAGAAACTCGGTCTGTCTCTGGTTATAGACGTTTGCTCTAAGGCTCTTAAGCACCATAGGTTTAGTATGAGGTATAACAGGCCATGTGCTGTCAACGAATGTGTTCAGATTCGCCCACTCTGACCGAACCTCTTGGAGCATTGTCACTTCCTCCACCGTGTCGGTATCGAACGCGAGGTTGAACTCCTCGCTATGGCGAGCATATAGATTCGACATCCCGAGTTTTTTGATAGCCAGCGGTTTCTTCATGGAAATGCACTTGCGAAAGTAATCGTGAAGCATGACACTGGGTTCCTGCATATTTCTCATGCGCGGCGACCAGTGCAATTTCAACTCCTTCAACTTCCTCGCCGTGCAAAGCAATGTCGATATATCATCGGGGTAACAGAGCGGATCAATATCCATAATCTTGAGATATCTTAGGTGCGGCATCGGCGGAATCACAGTCGTTGGCCGGGGATGCCGGCTCGACGGAAACCTTATCGTCAGAGAGGTCAGCTTGGGCAGCTGCGCCAGCCCCAGGTACACAGTTTCGAGCATCTTTGAGCTGAGTTCCCAGCGGAAGCTCTCCAAATCCAGCATCTTATCGATAGCCGCGCGCACGGTTATATTCAGCATCATTGAGGAATCCGGCACCCGGCCGACCCGCGCGTGCTCTTCGAGTTCTTGCTCCCGCCAGTCCCCCCGCAAGGTGAGCGACCGCACCAACAGTGCGTACGGTCGCGTGATAACTGCATTCAACCCCATTGTAAACGGACTGGCGCTTCCCATACCCTCCGGTTGGTCGCCGCGATATCGGATTTTATCATAGGAGGTTAATATGATGTTTCGGTAGAGCTGGGGGAGGGCCATGTAACTGAGGACGCGGCATGTTCGACACAATCGAGCGAGGTCGCCCGGATCATCCACCTACACAGAAACCATGTCAGTTTTTTTTTGTGTAATTTTCAACGTAGGTACCGTAGTTCCGAGGAAGTAAGGAGAGTCGTACGCAACCGACAATCTGCGCAATGAGATTCAACGGGAGGACCAGCATGCTAGGGCCATGAGGCCGCTCTGTAGCGACGCACGCATCGAACATATTCCGATTGACAGCCGCCATGATGCGATGTCCAGCAACTATGGCGGCGGAGCATCGACCAACGACGAAATATACAAATCGATAGGTGAATAAGGCATCTATCGACGAGCGCGGCCTGGAGGTGTGGAGGTCGAAGGTGAAAGAAGCTGGATGATGTTTTTCAGTGAGACGGATGCCTGAGGTTCCGAGCTGCGAATTATGACGGATGCCGGCCATTTCGCCATTTCGCCATTTCGCGGACAGCGGGTGACTCAACTGCGGTTAAAACAGGACTACTACTTACCCACTACTCGCGCTTGTAGAAATATGTAATTAGAATAGAATGAATATATATGGAATTATTGTATTTATGGTATGAAATCCATCACAAGGGTATCTTGTTTTCAAATATATGCCATAGTCCGGACAATGCCGGTCCATTTTAACCCGAAAAAAAGTCCAAATTCCACTATGCAGTAGGTGGATGGCCGCCGTTACTCCCCGCTAAATCCAAACGAACACAATAAAACATGAAGGAATAAGATAAGGTTGGGCACGATCGCGGCTATCGCTGAGACCCAGACGCCTCACTGTCGGTCCCGCCCCTCCGAGGACCATGAGAATGCTGCCCAGCGCCTTGCACATCCTGGGTGTCTTGCCGACCCTCCGTTATTGACTGTGTCTCTGAACGATCTCCTCCCTGGGTCGGCATAGTCGGATGTACCGGATTCTCGGGCTGCGCAGAGTGATGATCAGGAGAGGGATCCTCAGGCACAAGGGCCGCGGTTTCTGGATCGTAACGCAACTCATAATCCATAGAGCTGAAGGACCCCTCCACGTCAGCAGCCGTCCATGGCGCGGCGCTTTGAACTTGTGGCTGGATAACTCTCATCCGTGGATCACGAGAGCGCTGTGCAGTTCGCCGGCTTGGGGACCGATTGACAAAGTTGGAATCTGTAAACCATTGCGGCGACCATGTATGCTGGCCGCGTTGTCGAGCAGGAATCACCGTGACTGGCAGCTGTTCAGTGGCGCTCCCACGTCTAGATGTAGGATTTGTCATGCGATGCAATGAGAAGAAGTCAGGCCGGCGGGAAGTACGCGGTGACGACTCTATATCCCCTTCCTGGTTATGTTCGTCCGACGGAAGGAATCCTTCTTCCTCTGCTTGCGCAGAAGCAACTTCTCGTGGTAAAGCTGCATGTCTGCCCTTGAATGGGTTGAGGATCGTCCGCCATCGATGCTCCGTATTTACAATCTGCGGTGAATCCTCTCTTCTTGGATCTATGGAAGTGTTTTGAGTAGGTGAATCGGCCTGTTGGTTATCGACCATGGCAAATTCCTTCTCGCCATCAGACCTTTCGTCCTCTTCCTCCATGAAAGGCATGGCTACTGGTGGCGTGGGGCTGGAGACCGGGTAATAATGCACATTATAGACAGTGCTAGCCGCGCTTGTTGTGTCAGCTCGACTGACTGGGGTGACAGCCGCGGGCGGCGGAGTAGGCCTAGCGGACCCTCGCCGTCGTGCCCTTGTAGCCGCAGTAGCGCCCTGACCCGCGTTTGGGCCTTGAGTATTGCGGCCTCCGCGGGGTCTTAACGGACGCATCATGCCTCCCCAAGCTGAAGACATTCCAGTGCCTCCACCGCGATCATTCCCACCATTGTATTGTTGACGGGGCCAATCAACCTCCTCAGACGGCGTGACTTCGAGCATTTCATCACCATCGAAGACTTCCCTTCCGAGAATGCCGTCTTTTCTCTCGTCTCGTTCCAAGGCTTCAATACGCTCCACCCATTCCCAAACGACGACACTCGCTGCTGCCGAGCCAACCCATCTAATATAGGTACCCCATCCAGCTATTTCGGGTTTCGCAATATCCAAAACGAAAAAGACAACGGGTATCAGGACTGCGCATAAAGATAACAGCGCCACCAGACAAATATTTCTCATTTTCGGATGAAAGAAGGCGAATCGAGATTTTGATAAAGAGTAAAAAATTACCCAAGCGGCGTAAAGGAGGTTGAGGGCGAGTTCAAAAAGATAGCTGAGTGCCGGAATGGCATCTTCATAGAGTCGTGGTCGGGTGGTATTCGTCTTGACCAAAAACTTATCCAGGATCGCAAAAATGGTATCCAGGACAATGAGCGCAAAGCCCGCCCATTTGATCATGACCTTCTCCTTATGTCGAGGGAAAAGGCGGATCAGAGTTTGAACTTGGGCCAGCCATAAAAAGGTACTCGAGATGATTCGAACGACTTTGATCTCAGTTCCGTCGATGACCTCCGAAGTCAACGCCTCGGCGTCCGAATAACCGTGGTCATATTGCCTCTCAGCCACCCGAAAAGAATCGGCAGTCGCTATCGTTAGGGATATGGCGACCAGAAGTGCGGCGAGCTTTTGCAGCCATGGACGACCGCCAACACCCACGACAGAGGAGTTATTGCTGTAGGACCCGCTTACCATCCCATGTCGACCGAGAAAATTGGCACCACCTCCAGGGCCACCAACGTAAAATGTTCGAGGCGTGATAAGCAGAATTATAACAAGTAGGTAGCTAACGACAGTCGCACAGCCCATGGCGTATAATTGCGGGGTTACCGATGCGTAAAAGGGGTCACGGGTATCTAGCGCAGCGTCCGCATAGTCGGTGTTTGTTGGTGTGCTCGTGCACATAGGATCATAGATCACATTTTCGGTAAGAGGTATTGAGTATGTGCGATTTAAAAATATATACCCTAGAAAGCACACGAGAAGTAAGTCAACCTGAAACAACTCGAAGCCCAGTGGCCTCCGGCCAGTATAACAAAGGCATGGTGGGCGCAACTGTTAGGAACATACCGTCACTAGGAAGCACAAAAGGAGTACAGCCGGGTACATAACTCCTGGTGGTCGTGCTGGTGGGAGCGACCCATATTTGGCGGGGAGCGAGGCGGCCGTCATCGTCCTCCATGGCCATGGTGAATTACCAAGTCACGTCGCAACCAAAGCAGCTCATACACGTCCCGACAGCACCTGTATCCCAGACATCAATGCTATATGCAGGTGGCATTTATCAAAATTTCCCGTTCAGTTCCCCATCACCGCGCCGAGTCAGTCATTAAGGAGGCAAGCGGTCGGTTTGATCAGACGGTCGGCGCCGGCTCTGAAGGCGGAGGATGCGGGTAAGACACAATTTGAGTCGGAGTCGAGCGGTAGGATGGATGTGCGGAAGATAAGCGATGCAAAGACAGTCGCGGCGAGAAAAAAATTAGATGTGATTGAGCTGTACAGTTTAAATGCCCAGGGGTTGTCGTTGGTTAGTCTGGGGATGAAGGTGAAAGAAGCCTTTCTGGAGTTGCGCCACCGTCGATTGTCAGTGGTCCAGATCCCGGGGGACTCATCAGTCCCTCACCGCCCACCACACATCTCTGTTGTCTCTTCCGGAGGCCTATTTAAGTTATAATTACTAGTCTGCTCTGAGAACGGGGTAGAGCGGATGAAATTGGGCCTCGTGGTAGTTGGCATATTCTGGCGCTGCGCGCCGATTCGTCTGCAAGCCGGGGCGCTCCCTATGGAAGGACAGAAGCAAGGCCCAGGCCATGCAAGGAACTCGACGAGCCTCGCACCGCCATGAATCAGCAGGAGAGGATGAAAATGGATTGAAAAGCTAATTAACAGCTGCCGCCTAGAACATTGGACGCTGTGGTATGTAGTACAAAGCGCGGTATATAATCCAAAGAGCAGGTCGTGAACGATTGGGGTAAGATTCACAGAAGATGCAATCCAGTCATGAGGGGTATCCAGCATCAAAGTCGCTCAAAATAATAATTATAATAATTACTTCATCATCATTCGTGGGAAAAGCCGGACTCTGTTCACCTTGGGGGTGGACCGTACGACATCGGCAACGGGGCTGCGTACGGAGATACCAATGTAGCTCCCGCGGCTCTGGATGCTTTCGCCCGCTCCTCTTCTCTTTTCATTATTTCCTTCTCATCCTGGATGAGCGTGCAGCACGTGCAGCACGTTGCGCGAACGCAGTCAGATGCAATGCTGCCCTGAATCGCATATGCTCTGCGGGTTCGAGTGTGTTGGACGGTAGCCAGCAGCCCTAACATTTGTTAACCGAATCAAGACATTTCTAGTTTGGGGCTTGAACTTACATTGGAAGCCGCATAACAGAGCCATTGCGGTGCAGGAGCCGTTGCATGTCTCATGGCCGAGCATGTTCGTTGGGTCCTCTTTTCGCGACCTCATACTCAGACGATGTTGAGTCCTACTATATAAAATACATGGGCATACCAGGCCAAGGCAACACGTCCCCGCGAAACTCGAGCAATCGCATAGACCATGACTCCATCCACCGCCCTTCACCTGCTGATTTGGATGTGATATTTGGCCCGGTTGATGGTATGGCGCAAACTCAGTTGCGGCTGGTGCTTGCGCTGTCGGTGCCTTAACGGGAGGAGGAAAGTAAGGTATTGTAGGCGACTGAAGAGGGTTTGCATCGGGAGCTACAGGCAAATTTTGACGTCCATGCTCATGATTTTGCGTATAAGGATCTGCTTTGATTGGGAGGGGACCGGGGGATCCTGGGGGATCTATATTTTGACCCCGAGATTCTGTCGCGGATTGGTGAGGTGTATGATCGGCAAACGGAGCTTGGAGGGCGGGATGTTGTTGAATATCCGGGCCTTGCGAAGCAAGATGCGCCTTCTCAATGTCGTAATGCGGCGACTGGTGGATCGAATAAGCGTCGTGCGCAGCTGGGTCGGAGGGAGGTTGCGAATGGAACTGGTTGGGGGGAGACATTTCCATGGGCGTTTCCATAAAGGAGTATCGGTTGTTAACTCCCATATTGGAAGTATCCAAGCTCAGTCGTACCCGTGGGTTCATATTGAACACTTCGCAGACACGCGGTCATGTATCATGCGACCAGCAAACGGTTCAAGGAGTTCCGTATAAGACGACAAACCGTTCAATAATTCGCTCTGAGTAGGTCAACAACCACTATTTTGCGAGCACCCTCTTTTCATCAGAAAAGATACCTGGTGTAAATGATCATGGAGAGCACAGTGAATAGGAGAAAAACATTGAAGCGACCTCACGGAGCGCGACGGAGGATTGAACTGTTGTTAACGGTGAGCTGCCCTGCGGGGACGATCAAATACAACTTCCATGACCCGAATGGCTTGAGCTTGGACGATCTCCACGCCGATGGGGCGAGTTTGTTGGGCTTGCATGATCGCGAGCGCCGTTCACACAATAAACAACCGTGGTTGGCTCGACGCCCGGTTAGAGAAAAGATAGCGCCGTGGGGATGCGTCCACCATCACAGAGCGCGGCCCTGTCACATCACACGCTCTAAGCGCCTTCTTTGTCAGACTGCAGAGACGAGTTCTCCTGCAGCCTTGCTTCGCCCTTCGAAACAGAGCACTGCCACCGTCTAAGAATAAATTCTTCTCTGTTGCCTGTTCGAGTATGTCGTCACATTCGATTATCGTTCCTCAGTCTTCGCTCTTCCAAGACTTCTGCCCCACAGAAGCCTCCTCGCATCTATCAAGGCATTAGTGCTCGCAAACGAAACATTTTGCCTGCACAGTGTAATGGCCTTGTCTCGTGTCGAGGCTCGCACTAGTCTGTGTGGATGTGATAGCTGAAGGGCTACCTTCCGCTCAACGCCACACAATAACGCATGCACCCAGCCTCGAGTCCGGAGTACTATGGAGGAAGATTCCAAATAAAGTCCAGGTCTAAACAGTCTGACTCTAGCCCTAAATCCCCTTGGCCCCCGTCCCAGGATCCGAAGGGGGCCATCAAGGGGTCTAGCGGAAGAGACAGCCAGTCGTTGAAGTCAACTTGGTCAGACCAGTGCATCATATCAGGATCCCATGTAATTTCTGTTTGGGGCGGCTGTTCTAGTTCGTTAAGATCGCTAGTTTCATTCTGGCTTGGTTCATTACTCTGGTTCTCCACTTGCCCAGAGCTAACGAATGTCTGTCGCAAGCGCGACACATGGGTCTTAAGGAGCGTGGCGTATCTTGAGACAAGATGGATATCATCTAGTGGGTTAGAAAGCAGAGCAGCTATTGCCGCATCCAGCAAATGTAGAGATTCCTGTAACTTGGTCTTCCGCACGCCTAGGGCTAGCGCTTTGAGAAGAAATATTGAGGAGCTTATCATGCGCGACAATACCCTCATCGGAAGACATCGGGGGTCGGAGAGGGATACAATATGCGTCAGGATCACGCAGGCCCCATCGATGACTTCTTCAATGAACTCGTACTCATTCCTGCTCATGTTAAGCTGGCGTGCCTGTGAGACAAATGTTGCGTCGATTGTTCCTTGCGGGAGCGTGTCGGATAGTACGCGTTCAACGATGCCTTGGACTCCGAGGGAACTGGCAAAAACCCTCAGGTATTGGTACTCAATCTGGAGAATATTATCATAGCAAAAGCCTAGCCAGGATTAGCCCATATATTTAGAACAACCTGGCACAAACTCACTTTCAATGCCGTGATGGTGGTCTTTCCAAGCTGCAAGCTGCATTTTCCATTGCTCTAGAGACTCAAAGTCAATACACTGGGTGTCATTACTTTTGGTCAGAGTAAAGAATGTTTCTCGCAGTGTCCGAGTCAACACTGTCAGATCTGCCCATGAGGTCATGAATCTCGCCCATTCAAGGTCGACGACCATAATCCTATCAAGGTTTGACGGTTTGGAGTGATCCGGCATGATAGATGTGCAGCCAATCCTAGACGCTAGTAAATTCACAGTCACAAATAGCAATGACGGAAGTCGCTGGCGCCTGAGATCTAAATCCTGCAGATAGCTTTCGACGTCTGGACCTGCAATCTGATCCTGCCCTTTCGCGTTGCTCACATGGTCTCTTGAGTCGAACACACCGAGCTCATGCGCAAGGGCGAGCGCCGAACTAACCAGCATCCATGACATTCGTTCTGAACGTCTTGTTGGTTCCACAACATCCTCCCTCCAACGGTCCTGCATGGGGAGTTCCTGCCCAGTAGAAGGTGGATCTCGCATGGTATGCGTTGTTAACATCCAATCCGAATCCCATCCGTCCGACTCATGCGGGAAATGCAGTGCTAGAGGATACCATTCCGAGAGGAGCAATGGTTGATATATGCCGTGTCTTCGCCTTTGAGAGCTTTTCTTGCCCCAGCATAATCCGCAAGATGAGATGTTGACAATGCTGCCATAACCTGTTATGAATGTAAAACCCTCTAGAGGCCCCAGAGGGTCCAGGTAGGGTATGGTATCGCGCGGATATCATCAGTATCGTGCAGCACAGAACTGGCTCTTGGGTAATCAGCCAGTAGTGCGTATTATGGGACGCAAAGAAGCCTGTCAAGACTGGCGTCGTCACGGGAGCCAATGTTTGAAAAAACCTGCCAGCAAAATTAGACAACCACAGGAAAATTGTCAGAGAATCTATAGGTAGGCAGGTGGTCGACCAACCAGTCCGTGTACAACAATGCTTCCTCCGCCGTGAACCACCCCATTTTGACAAACCGACAGCCTTCCCAGATCTTAAGCACATTCTCCTCCGATCGAACGTCAAACGGGGATGCCGTATCAGCAGACACCGTGGTTTGTGGAGCGCGCGCACCAGAGCCCGCCTGCGCCGCCGCATCAAACAGAATATTCAACGCATCATTCCCACTCGCAACCTGCTTCTGCAACACCGTCGTAGAAATGCACCCACTATCTTCGAAACCCGCAGTTGCCAAAGCCGAAGCTGAAGTCGAAGGCGACGGTTGCCCGCTACCCCCGGCCGTCGTGGCCGTCATCGTAGCTGCATTATAAAAGGGCAATTTCTGACGAGGTTCAGAAGCCGAAAAGTCATGATGAGCAACAGTATCGGCCCCGTTCTCTGTATCCTTCTTTCTTGACCAGGGCTGCTTCGTCGAAAACCGACAGCCCAGGTCCATCTTCCGACATCGCTTACATGGGTGGTTCTGATCGGGCCCTGGCTCGCACTTCACCTTCCGCTGTCGGCAGGGGATGCATGCTTTGTAGACTCGCTGGAAATTGTACTGCGCAGGTGCTCTGCTACGTGGGGGCCGCTGCATTATCTGCTAAACTTCCCAGCAGCAGTAATATTTTGGTAAAGATAATGGAGGCGGACTGCGGGAATATCCGCGGAGTTGAGTGAAGTTGAGGAATGGAGATTTGGGTCGAACACGGGGAGAAAGTTGGCGTCGGGGTGGGGGAAGCAAGAAGGACTGGGGTTGAATTATTAAATTCGGTCTCTCATAGGCCGATTAAAGACGGCAAAGAATAACGGGGCTTTTCCTCGCACTAAAGTATTTAAGGCTTAAATGCAAACACAAGTGTATTCTGATCCCCGGCTCTTATATTCACTCTCCATTGTAAATTTGTCAACTACATAGTAGTACTTCAACTACGCATACCTAATACTAATCTACAAATTGTCATATCCAGCTTATATATAGCTAAACCAAGTAGCGGAACTGGGGGTTTGCATCACCGTCCTTGGTAACATCGACGCGTATATCGTCAGTCACCGGCCCGTAAAGCCTATCTCGCTTCTTATTCTCATAGTTCAACTTCAAGTACAACCCTCCTGCCATGAGTGCAATACACCCCGTCAATGCGCATCCAACGGCACAGCCTCGGATGTAAATAGGACTAACGAGGAATTAAAAATGTATTCAGGAGAATACTGGGTAGGTGGAAATGGACTTACCCTTCCGCGTCGGGAAAAGCAGTACTACTGACGAAGCTGGAGCACTGCCCGAACACAGCCAGCAGAGCCATGCCGGCGCCCTTCTTGGAGTCACCCCCCTGGTTATTCAATAGCCAAGTGATGTTGATACAGAGCGCAGGGAAGACACCGCACGTGGCCAGCCAGACTCCAAGATATCGGGGTCCAACCTTATTCTCGTCCTGCACAGCCGCAAGAATCAAGTATCCGACCATTCCAATTGTAGAGAAGAACACGATCACAAGACCCCTTTTCCCATATCGGTCGGAAAATATGGCGGCGCCTACGCAGAATAAAAATGAGACAAAGTATGGAGGAGCCGCAAGCCCCTGGGCGTTGATCGACGTGTATCCCATATGCTGGATGATGGTGGGGAGAAAGTTCGAGAGGCCCGCAAAGGAGTAGTTGCAGCAGAAATGGATGAAGGTATGAATGTAGTTCTTATAGTCGGTCAACCCCGCAAGAACTTGACGCTTGTCAAGTCTGCTCTTGGCTGTACGGTCGACTGTCTGGAAACGCTCGGTTGCAGTGGTTTGTTCGGACTCGGAGAGGAACTTCGCGGTACCGGGGGAGTCGGGGAGGAAGAAAAAGACAACTATCGCAAATAGGACGGTGGGTGCGCCCTCTGTCTATGTTATTATACTGCTCTGTACTATGCCTGAGAACAGGAGAGGGAAAACAGGAGAAGGAGAACGGGACTCACCGATAATGAACAAAAACCGCCATGATTCCATCGTCGAGTGCTTGATATGTGTGATTCCGTAGGCGAGCGCGCTGGCAAAGCAGTTCGCAACCGGGGACATTCCCAGTAGAAACGAGATACGAAATCCGAGTTCTCGTCGCTGATAAAACATTGAGAGAAAGTAGGGTGCACCAGCTCCAAATGCAGCCTCGAACACTCCCAGGAGGCATCGGCAAACAATCAATTCCGCCATATTATTGACTGCACCAGCACACATAGCCGCTGCACCCCAGCTGAATCAAAGCTCAGCTCGAGATAGAAGAGGGATAGGGGGAAGTCCACACTTACCAGATGCATAGCGCAGTGATGTAGATGTGGGCAGGGAAAAGCTTCCAGAACACAGTGGTCCATTCGAAGAGCACATAGCATATATAGAAAGCATTCAAGACCCAAGCCCATTGCGAGTCGTCTAGTCCGAGGTCCTTGTCGATGCCGGCGGTTTTAGCATTGCCAATGTTTCCTGCATGGTGTGAGCCCTGAAGGAACAGGAGAGCGCAGGTGGGGGAAGGACATTACCTCTATCCAAGTAGGACAGTACATAGAGTATACAGACTATCGGAAGAACGCGACGGTCGAACTAAGATTAGTTAAAAGTGAGCTGCTATCAAGTTACTCGTCCAGGGATGAGAATCTCGAGACATACCTTCCTCCGGATAAAAGCTTCCTCAGTCGCTGAGATTTGGATGGGCTGCTCGGTCTTTCCCACGCATTCAACGTCTTGAGGCTGGACTTGCTCCAAATGGAGCGGCATCTCTCCCTTACTTTCAGTAGTCATTGTGGTGTCTCAACGAAGAAATGAGAAATGCTCGCACCCACAACACAACCTCCTTGACCTCTTTATATCCTAAAATTGTAAGGGTACACCGGTAACCGAAACACCTGCTGACATGTTCTTAACTGAGATTCGACGGCAAAGTGTCATTAGCCATGCTCTCCGCACTTCATCCCCACGGGGTACCAGGGGACTCGACGATCAACTGTGGTTAATTGGCAATATCCGCTTTGCATGGCATATTAATTCGCGCTCATTGGAGTTTGAGCAGGACCCCCAAGAGTCGAATCCTGCTGATTGGAAAGAAAAGGAAATTCTGGCGCGTTTTGAGCTCTCCACTGGGGGAGTCTCGGTCGAGAGCTTCTCCAGTGTCCTCCATAGCGGATATTGCCAAATTGCCGCGCCCACTCTGTATGCAAAATACCCGCTCCTCAACGTGCCCTTCATCGAGAACATTATTTATATTTAAAGGCTCATTGAGGTCATTACTTGGCTCCGAAAATAACCTTTCAGAAATTTAACCCAAGGCAAATCACAATGTCTGTTCCATACCCCTTCAAGTTCACTACTCCCAACCAGCCTACCTCTTCCAGCAACGGCGAGACAGCGCCTCTCACCATTACACTCGAGAATGTCCGCGGCCGAATCCCTTCTGCACAAACATCGCGTCTTCGCACAATGATGTTAGAAGCACACAACGACCCCAACAAGATCATTGCTCATGCTTGTACCTATGACGGACTGTCCTCTCGACTCGTCGAAGAATCCGGGTTCCCCATCGTATTCCTTGCCGGATATGCAGTGGCCAGCGGTTTCGGGCTACCAGATACAGGTTATATTGCCATGGAGGATCTTTGCAAGAAAATCCAAGAGGTGGTGCGCGAGGTGGATATTCCTGTTATGGCGGATGGCGATACCGGATACGGGAGCCCCATGAATGTCAAGAGGACAGTGGAGTCATTCGCTGCTGCCGGTGCTGCGGGTGTTATGATTGAGGATCAGACTTGGCCTAAACGTAAGAGACCCTGTCACTTCTAGAACACCCATTGTTAATTCGATTGTGTAGGATGCGGTCATACCAAGGGCAAGTCCGTCGTTCCCCGAGGTGAAGCCTACGCGCGTATCCAGGCTGCTGTCGACGCTCGCAACGAGGGACAGGATATCTTCATTCTTGCCCGCACGGATGCACTAATCCATGGCTGGGACGAAGCCATGACTCGTGCCAAGGAGTTCAAAAGGATTGGTGTTGATGCTGTCTTTGTTGAGGCCCTGCCAGACAGAGAGTCTATGCAACGATGTGTCCAAGAGCTTGGAATTCCTACCTTTGCTAATATTATTGAGGGTGGTAAGACTGAGAACCTCTCCGCGAAGGATCTTGCGGAGCTTGGTTTCTGCGCCGTTGCTTACCCGTGGACTCTCGTCGCGGCGAAGCTGAAAAGCATTCGGGAAACACTGGACGCACTGAAGAAGAGCATGACCGAGGGTGCACCGCCGATGATCTTGAGCTACGCGGAAGTTTGCAAGGGAGTGGGATTCAACAAGTATTGGGTAAGTTTTCGCTTCCTCTTTGCTTGAGGCTTGATGTTAATTGTTTCTAGGATCGAGAGACTCGGTACGAGTTCAATCAGGATGGCTTGGTCAACCCGCCCAAGTGAGCATGTACTCAAATACATGACTGATGGTATATGTATATACAAAGTATGAGATACTGAATTAGACTGAGACTACGTCTATCTCAGTCATAAATCAATATATTAAAGTTGTACTATGCAGGTTTATAGGGCTAAGAACGGAAATGATGTCATTTTAGGCCATATACGGAGTATATGCGAAGGATAGGATACAAAAGTAGACCAGATGCCAACATACCATGATTCCTTCTAAGCAAGGGTTATATTTATTGCTGCCCAATGGTACGTACACCGTACCATCCTGATCTAGTCTATCCAGGCGTAGTGCCTGACATGGCCCTTTCGATGAGGCCAATCTAAATGATGGCTTCTCTCCACCACAAAGACCAGTATAGGCTCACAAGGCTGCGCTAGGCACTAATGATCAGCTACAGATCATAAACATCCCCTGTATCTCCAACAAAAATATTAACAAGATCACATATAGGTAAAATCCAGAGTCTGATACACATAGAACGAGAACGGGATGTAGTGGATGACGTCAGGGCGTCGTCGCCTTCCATCCAATCCAGAGAAGAATTCCCATCATTCACCAGCGCCACCGACCGAATGGCAAGCAAGAATCCCACGGATCTCGATCCCGATGACATCGCCAGATGGCGTCAACGGTGATTCCCCCATTCTTGGCACCTGAAGGGTGTATATCACTGTGCATTAAATCATCTCAAGATTAGGGATATATAGCTATGCCATCGCTGCTGATATATCTTCTCACTAACACAACTTATTATACTATTCAACAACCTATTGATCTGCAACAATGAATCCCTTCGCGCACTCCCAAGATCAATCTACAGGCCAAGCGCAGGCTCCAGACCGCGCCGGAGCACCATCCACACCCTCCCACACGGAGGAACAAAAGCGCCACTTCTACGAGAACCTGCCCGCCTCGGAGAAGGAGAACAAGAGCTACGCAGAATGGGTCAAGGAAGCATACAACGAACAATACGAGAAGTGGATGCCATGGCTCGAAGACCAGTACCTGAAGTGGTTTGGAAAAGGGGATAATAAGGCTTCTTATACTACAAAGGGTATTTGCTAACTTTGCTACTCACTCTCTTTTCTGTGAAAACGTTTGCTGACGTACTGGGCTCCTGGTGTAGATACCCTCTCCCAAACAAAAGTCACAGGGAGCGACAAGATTAACCAGATCCAAGATGATGCCAATAATCTCGTTGGCAACCAGCTCGGGGATAAAGGACTACTTGCACCCGTTGGGAACCTTGCGTCGAAGGAGGGTGTTAACCGCGCTGAGAGAGGAGGGAAGGACGAAAGTGGCTCCTATGGGGGTGCATTATCTGGTGTGACAGACCAGGTTGTTGAAGGTGGGAAGAGCGTTGCGTCCACCGTTCAGTCTGGAGCGCAGAATGTTGGAAGTTCGATTGGGAATGTTTTGGGAGGTAGCAAGTACGGATAGGCTGGTGGATGGCATGGTGAATTTACTGATACCTGGATTCTGTTTAATATGGTTTTTGTATTAAAAATATTATTCTACTGATATAATACGATCTACGTGCATGTTTCTATATGGGGGGTTTTCGAATCCCATTAATAACATAAATCTGATCATTCTCCTAGATTGCTAAGCACAGTATTGGAGCACTTCATAGTAGACATAACCGTAAATAAACCTTTAATCTAGATAGATACGCAGGCACTGAGACCAAAGTGTATATAAATAATAAGCTTTGGCATCCTAGGGCGTTCCGCACTAGTACCGATAGTCACCTGTGGAGATCCAGGTCAGATGATACGATCATGAGCTGAACAACAATTTCTAATGTGGTTCGACCATTGAAATGATGGTAGATGGAATTCCAGTAAAGTATCGGCGTGGGGAATAGCTCGCGTGATACAACTCGAGTGCCTTAGCTTCTGTCAACAGTTTGGCGTGTGTTCGTGCCTATTTATCATACTTTTATATGCGGTTAAACAGTCACCTAGAATCAGTGATCGTTAAACCGGCTATACTGGTTATAAGTGCCCTGAGAATAGGGCCCAAGCATTGTCCCCTTACGCGTTTAGAAGTTCATTGTTATTGCCCGTTATGTCCCGAGTGTCCTGAAAGTATGGACACTTAGTATACTTAGGTAGCCTGTCGTACCCCCGTATGAGATCTTGTAGACATTTGGTCCGTGGAGCAATATTCTATTTGATGCAGAAGCATACTTGCCATTTTTTGTCGATAAGAACTGCCCTGAGACCACGACTACTCTCCTAGTCTGTTGAGTGTGATAGGAGAAATCGACGATTAGGCAGAAGAGATTAATGCATGCTACGGAAAAGCCGGCGCAATTGATCCCTTCTCCACCGTATCTGGAGGGCTAGCCCGGCAGTTGATTGACTAGAACAGAGCCATGAAAGGTTCGAACTGCTGGAAACTTTGAGGATTAGCATATGAAGTGAAGACATGTGCACCCCCGTCTTGGGTTGGTGCCGGTAAAGTCCTTGCAACCACATGCAACTTCTCTTGAAACCCAAGCAGAATACTTGAATGGGGCTGGACAAGACTTGGGCAGCAAGGGGGAGTCAATCACTCCCATGTTTCATTAAACGATCCAAGGCTGCAGCATTTATCGGTTCATACATCAGGAGTTGGGATTCAACGATTGCAGCCGAATTGCTGCGAGATTGGCTTAGCTCGAATGGTAAAGGCTGAGTGGCCCAAATGCGCTAACGGAACAGCCTCCTGGGGTTAAGATTGTTTGGAGAAGTGGGAGTTTGAGACGACGATGCGCTTCTGAAAATTACTGAGGAAGATTCTCCGTCGAGTCCCGAGAATATAATGAAGGGGAGACTGGGTCCTTTGGGATGCCGAATCCTGAGCGACGTGTCAGTGTTGACGATCATGCACCGCCAAAGAACACAAAATAATTAAGGCCGTGATTGATTGAAAGCGGATTGCAGAAGGAATCGGCCGATGTTGGAGTTGGGACTAGGTGAAGTTGTTGGAAGCTTTGAGCCAGCAGGCTGACCACGTTTTGTAATGATTGGTAGATGTGGCTGAAGGGGTCATGCGGTGTGGGGATGAAACTGAGATGAAATACCTCCTGGAATGTCGTCGTTCTGCGGCCCTTCGAGATGAGCTATCAGCTATAATCCAGGATCGGATGGAGCGAGCCAAGTTGTCTCTGGAGAAGCAGGACTGGAAATGATATTGCATCGTGCATTCTGGTCCTTAACGAATGGGATCGGCTTCCATATCCCTCTTGCGTGCTTTGGGATCCTTGGGATCCGGCCGGGAATCGATATGTACCATTGTATGAATAATGGATATAGAGTCATTGGATCATATTTAAAGGGTGCGCTGAATTCCATGTCCTCTGTATCCAGATCCTAGGTTCTCGCTATACGGTTGCACAGCGTGCCAACATCCGGAGGCCCGATTCAAGTTCTGTGCGCAATCAAGGGGATGAAGACTTGTCCAGTGGAACAGTCGCTCGAGGGATATAAGAGCAGCAATAGTAAGGGAGAATTATTGTCGAGAATAACCAGATGTGTCGACGTGCTTATCAAAGTTGGTGAGATTGGTCTGGAGATAGCTTCCACTCCGATTCTCTTGACCGAAGCATTCGCAGCAGGATTGGACCTGATTGGCCTGCATTTCCAACTGCTCGGCCGTTCGGGGATTCATTCTCTGAGTTTATCTAGGTCTCGTTCCACTTCATTCCGGGGAGAGACACGGCCTGAAACTCCCATTCCGTGCTGTTAATCCCTCACCAGAATCTTGGGGTGAATCTGCCGTCCAGAGGGCGTGTTCAGGGCAGGACCATCTTCGCTGGAGGAGTTCCCAACAGTCGCGAGCCCACAGGTTCGGATTGCGATAATTGCTTTTCCCTTGCACTCCACAGGAGCACTGGGCATGCGTGAAGCTGGCGGGCTGGCCTCCTGAGACGAACAGCGGGAAAGCGGTGACGAGGATCCGCATCACTTCTTCCCCGGGTTGGCCAGCTGCTTTTCCTTCTCTCCCAAACTAACACCCTTGGAAGGCGCTAGACTCCCCCTCAAGCCCGCCGTGCTTGTTCATCATCATACCTTAATCGATTCACGGGCAATCTATCCCTATTTGAGGCGACGTCCCGATTCTAACCTGTAAGCTTGCCCTGCCCTGGAACGTGGCGGGTGTTCTTTGATCTTCTTGATTGCTCCTCTAACGCAGTGACGCCAGATCCCTCTTGAGCTTTCCTTTTTCCGCCCTGCCCAACTGAAACACCAACCACAATCCTTCTTCCTCCACGCTCTTCTTCCTGTTGGGTTCCTCTAATCCCTGTTCTGACCGTGCACTCCCGACCAATGTCATCCCCATGTCAAGGCCTCCATCTGCATCTGAGAATACCCCCTCGACTCCTCCGGTGACACCTGCTGCCTCTGCCCAACATGATTGCTCTGGACGCCCGGGCTCTCTTCGCGGCAAACAGCGGCGTCAGGACCACCTCGCCCATCTGGATCCAAAACAAGCACCCTCCCCATCCCGCGCTGAATCCCCCACGGCTCGCGAGTGGGCTAACCCGCCGCACACCTCAAGTCTAAAAAGGGTTACAACCGCTCCCCCGGAGAATCGCGCAGGTCTTTACTATACTGGTTACAACAGCCCCCAGTTATCTGAGAGGGACAGCATCTTCGCAACACATTACCTTCCTTCCGATAACGAAGCCTCCAATTCACCGCAACTCCCCGCCGTCGAAGTTGCCCGTCATGACGCTCCGGCAAAGCTGATCACTTCATTTGAAAATGCATCGTCCTCATCGTTTACCCCCAAGGTCCTCTCCTACAACCGTCGCGTCGACGACGCCCACATGGAAGTTGACGTACACAGAACCAATCCGTTACGCTCCGCCCCGCTCCTTCCTTCTCATTCTCCTTTCTCCTTGACCCCGGAAGATTCAGCCTTGACATTAGACGACGAGCTTGATATCTCAAGTGGGGGAGAACAGCGTCACGGCTGGGGGGATTTCCCGCTATATCGTCAGTCATCTTTTCATGGTGTAGGTGCGGGTGCTGTTGCACCGCAGGCGTCCCGTCGTGTCCTTTACCCATCAGCTCCGATCGACGATTCTTTGGGACAGCAATTGATGGTCACCTCTTCCGATCACAAACTCACAGGTGCCGGTCCAGGGGCTAGCTCCCACCACACACAAGGACAACCCTCGTGGGATACAACGCAGGATCCCAAACTTGAACGAAGCTCTAGCCGCAGTCGTCGAGCAAGAGTCGAAAGCTCGATCGAGGCCAACATCGCTAATGCAGAGCCTGGAACCCATGTCCGCAGTCGTAAGTCAAGTCATTATCTGGGCTTGTTCAAGGAGAACACCGCTACGTCCCCAGATCGCAAACGGCGAGATGACCGTGCTGGACGGCACGACGATGCGATTGACTCAAATGACAAGGAGCAACAACGGATATATGCGGACGTTCGGCATTCCCGCGCCGACCACCACGAATTAACGATTCCTGAGCAATCGGAAGTCCAAGTTACACAGAGCCTGTCGCAGCTTTCACTTGCTAATGCCCCACTGATCAAACCAACCAAAGGTGACGAGCCCCACGACAATTATACGGCTGAAGAGGTTACTTCTCAGTTTAAGTTTAAAACGTTACCTCGAAACCTCCTTGAGGAGATTCGGAATTTCCACCTTACTCCTGGTGGCGGGCGTGAGAACTCGTTCTCGGGAAGTATCCCTACTCAGTATTCAGAAAAGGCCAGAGGCCTTTTGCATCCCCCGTCTCCCCTGTCAGATACAGACCAGGAACAACGTGTTGGTTCAACTCCGCTCGGCGAGGAGGAAGATGAACAAATATCCTCTGCAGTTTACTTTCCACATGAGCGTGTGACAGTTTCCGACGAGGTCGATACAGTACAGTCGTTTGAGGAGAGTCCACATGGTTTGCAGCCATATGAAGAATCGACGGCGGAGAGTAGCCACGGTCTATTGCCAGAGAGACATACTGCTCTCGATGAGCCTGAAACTAATCATGTGGATATTACTCTTCGATCTAAAAATGACAGTAGAATCCTGCACGGCGATCTTCAGGACAGGAAGACTCCAATAGAAGAGCTAAATGAGAAGTCTATTGATTCCATGATCCAGCGCCACAATGAGTATGCAACTGAAGATTCCGAACCACTCTCTGCAGATGACAGCGGGATATCTGCTCGGGATGAGGAGTCTAGCGTGACTGATGAGGCTGAGATTACACCCACGGCAACCCCCACGCAACGCTCGCATATCCCTCGTCCCCGACACACAAAAAGTGAAGTAACGCCGGTCGGTGCCGTTGAGTTGAAACCATATCGGCATCAGGTAGGCGGGCATACAACGGTATTTCGCTTCTCCAGGCGCGCTGTATGTAAGCAGCTCAACAACAGGGAGAACGAATTCTATGAGCGCATCGAGCGCAGGCATCCCGAGATGTTAATGTTCCTCCCCAGGTAAGTAATGGAAACTTCATGGTCTATACAATTCGTGATGGTCATCATAGTCAGATGTTAACTATCGCCCTAGGTATATCGGAGTTCTCAACGTGACGTTCTCGAAAAAGCGACCCAAGAGGTCTTCAGAGAACCAAATAGGACAATCTGATGTTGAGCATGCTGCAGACGATCCGCACAGGAAGAGTGAACAAATCTCGGGAAGCTCTTCACGTCAAGTCTCAGAGCCTATGGAAAAAGAGCGCATTTTTAGCCAAAGTCAGGTTACTGGGATAGTTCCCAAGGTCATACTAGAGAATAACCGCCATATATTCCCTGTTGATCTATTTTACGGCCATAAAAGGCCTCGCACGGCCGACGCTGCTGTGCCTGGCATGCAACCATATCCGCATGACCCTGGAATAGTCGCAAACGGACAAAATTATCAAGACAGCCCTTTGGATGAGAGACTTTCTCCTCCACCGCCGGTGAAAAAGACCTGGGGCGCCACAACTGTCAACCAAAAACTCCAAGAGCAGGTTCTCCGAGAAGTGTTTAGCCCCCCAGCAATCCACCATCACCGACGCCATGCTCGGGGGCTTCTCAACCTACCGAGAACAAGCTCAGATGGCCACCGCCGAGGCAGCAACCTTTCGGAGAGTCTAACCTCTAGTCAACCCCGCAGTGCGGAACGAATAGGAGCACTCCGATCACCAGCGATTGACATTGTGAAGAAAAACGGCGATGGTCGAGGACTCTCATCATCTGCTTCCACAGCGCTTGAGGCCAGTCAAAAGCGTCTTGATCCAGTAAAGTTAAATGAAGAGGTGCCGCAACGCTCTAGCTCGGTATCACGTTCTCGAACAGTTCGGCGCCGTCACTCAGGAAGTGGCCTACAACGGCGTGGAACGATGGATTCCGATAAGGGTGGGGGCGGCGAGCTTCTCTTTTTCGAAGACGAGGGATATGGCGGAGATAAAGAAGATGAGATCTTTTCGATGGAAAGTGATGCGCCGGTATCTTCGACGGGATCTGATGAAACATTGCTGTCAAGCTCGAGTCCGACCAAAACGAACAATGTGGTTGCTCAAAATAGATTTAATTCTGACCCTCATATCCTCGACCCTTCTAAAAAGTTCGTCTTCCCCGATTTTGGAGATGATACAAGTACACAACCCCCAGCAAACCCAAAGGAGGCACAAACGAAAAAAGATGACCGAGTGCAATTTTTCCTGCTCCTGGAAGATTTGACTGCAGGGATGAACAAGCCTTGTGTGCTGGATCTCAAGATGGGCACTCGCCAGTATGGTGTGGAAGCCAATGACAAGAAAAAGAAATCCCAAAGACGCAAGTGTCAGAGTACAACCTCCCAGCAACTGGGTGTTCGACTATGTGGCATGCAAACCTGGAATGTGAAGAAACAAGAGTACACCTTTGAGGACAAATACTTCGGTCGTGACCTGAAATCGGGACGAGAATTCCAGGACGCTCTAACTCGTTTTCTTTACGATGGGATTAGCTACCTAAGTGTCGCCAAGAAAATTCCAGTTATTCTCGACAAGCTGGCAAAGCTAGAGAACATGATCCGGAGACTCAAGCGTTATCGTCTCTATGCGAGCAGCCTCTTGATTCTCTATGACGGCGAGCAGAACCCCTCACCGAAGACCCATCAAGTGGAGGGTGGTTCGAATAAGAATATACGGAGCCAACTGCAACGTCGACAATCTGATGATGGGCATAATAATTTTGACGTTAAACTAAAGGTCGTTGATTTTGCGAATTGTATCACGGGCGAGGATGAACTTGCTCCGGATGTGCCATGCCCCCCTCAGCACCCCGACGATATTGACCGTGGATATCTTCGTGGGCTTCGTACTCTGAGGATGTATTTCCAACGGATTATGATGGAAGTCAACCAAGATGAATATATCGAGAGAGGCGAAGGTGAAGGCATTGCCCTTAACCCTCATCCATCCAACGAACACCACATGTCCGAGCGCTATTGGGATGAAAATGTCATGGATCAAGATCCCGGAGAAGTCAGTTTTTAGGCGCAGCCTTTTTTAAGCTGTGGTCTATTAGCTGGAATCTCCTTTAGCCTTACGTCTTTTTACGTCTGCTTCTCCTTTTACCTCTTTCTAATTCTTATTTTGTTTTTTTCTTTTGATTGCCTCCTCCCCCACTGCACCTTGTTTGTCCTGTGAATTGGAGTTGACGGATTTACATCTTTGTCTCTTGATTCAAGCAAAATGAATCCGACAAAGATAAATGAATGTGGCGTCAGTATTGCATGGAAATGGATTGGGTGGTTCTGCTGTTTTAAATTTTTCTGTCCCGTTTCTTTTCACTCATACTCTCGGTTTTGAAGTTCATGATATCAAAAGCATTGTACCAACCCGGGCAGAGATATGATGTCTCTCACGGTGACGACGATTGATGACTAATCATGGCACGTTTACTTTCTCTGGGGGTCCTACATTCTGTGCCTGGCGCATGGTCGGAGTCCCCTCCACGGTTTTCTTTTCATTCTGGTCTCCTGCACTTTCTTCGGACAGCCTGTTTTAGAATATACCATCCGGGAACTTGTTCGATTCCTGGGCCTTGCTTGTCATTTGAGGACGCCATTATGCAATGTGTTTGTATCATAAATCAGTAATAAGTGTTTCAGCCTGTCTTCACATCCTTTTCTTCGTAGTACGATGCAGTGCCATTATGCTTCTATACAAGTTTGGGTGCGAGTTGATAAGCAGTGATCACGTGCATCAACGATAAGCCGCATATCTCGTGCGGAGCCACGACGTCAGTCCGGGTCTCTCCCCATCCCTTCCTACTCCACGCCCTTTTTGTAACAGTCGGGCAAGGGTACGCCGTTTTTCTTGCTCTGAATTTTCGATGACTTTGAGGAAGAGCTTTACGTGGGTATAACGCGACAGACTCGCGGCTAGAGAACATGGCAGATGCGAATGGCCAGGCACAGCCCGTCATCGATAAGCGCGACTTCGACAGGAACCGTCAGTCAGCCTCTCCACATGAACCTAGCGCTCAAGAGCGCGATGCCTTGCTTGGCTCACGGCCTGACTCGAGTCATTCTATGAGCAATCGGTATAGCGACAACAACGATGGCCTCCTGAGTGACGTGGTCGAAGAAATCGTGGAAAGGGACCGGCGGAACATAGCGAGGAAGGTTGTCCGCATTGGCAGCTTCATTTGGGGAGTCATTACATGGTAAGTCGCTTCCCTCTATGCACCACCTGTCAACCCGGAAGTGCTCCTACTTACGCATTTGAGCTTCGAAATAGTCTCGGCGCAGGGAGCATTACAGCGTTCTCGCTGTACGGACCGTTGCTGTTGACTCGTTTACACTATACCCAGCTACGGGTGAATGAGGTCTCCATTGCAGCGGGTATATCGATGTATCTCCCTGTGTCTCTAGCGGGGTATCTTTGCGATCGTTATTCGCCAGCTCCATTGACTTTATTCGCGGGGATTACTTTCGGTTGCGGCTATCTCCTTGCGGCTTCCGTGTATAAGAGTGGGCCACCTCCGGATGCTGGCGGCTCAGGATATCCATTCTGGGTAATGGTAGTGGCATTTGTCGCTATTGGGGTGGCTACATGCAGTATGTACTTGGCTGCTGTGACGACATGTGCAAAGAACTTTGGCAGGGGCAAGCACAAGGGCATCATCCTTGCTGTTCCCATTGCAGCCTTCGGCCTGAGCGGAATGTGGCAAAGCCAGGTTGGCACTTACTTTCTGTGCGAACGTCTGGGAGATGGAAACTGTGGTGATGTCGACGTCTACAAATATTTTGTCTTCCTTGCGATCCTTCTTGTAACCATTGGAATCATTGGTACCTTTGCGCTCCGGATCGTGGATGGGGAAGAAGAGAAGTACATTGACGAAGTAGTCGAGGAGTTGGAGCGAAGCGGCTTGTTAGCAGACAGTGAATTCTTCCGACCACGCAGTGAAGTGAGGGCTGCGTATGGGACCTTTTCTGAAACTGACGGGAATAATGAGTCTGACGACAACCAATCCGTCACCTTGTCAGAAGAAAGACGGGAGGCCGCAAGACGTGAGAAAGAGAGAGAAGAGGAGGAGCGCAGAAAGAAGAATTGGTTGCTGAATTATGAAACGAGGGCTTTCCTTGCGGATCACACTATGTGGTGGCTTGCGCTGGGATTCTTTTTGGTTACTGGCCCTGGGGAAGCCTATCTTAATAACGTGTGTAACCTCCTAACCCTGCATTTGACCGATACTGCTGCTAACACGACCCAGCTGGGAACAATTGTACAAACCCTGAATTCAGACTCAACAGCCTTTATCGACGAACATCCCGCCGGCTTGCCCTCTACACACGTCACAATAATAGCGCTTACGTCCACCATTGCCCGACTTCTAACCGGCTCACTCTCTGACCTCTTCGCCCCCACCACCAACCACCACCATCTCACTGCGGATCAGGAAGCCGCAGGCACAGAACAGTCCACGACCAAACACCACCCTACCCTCTCACGAATTGCATTCCTAATTTCATCGGCGCTTCTCCTCTCCTTTGGCTTTCTCCTCCTTGCATCCCCATTTCCAATTAGCCACCCAGAGCTCTCCCACCTAACCACTGCCCTCGTCGGTCTCGGTTACGGAAGCGCGTTCTCCCTAGTCCCGATCGTTATCTCCGTAGTCTGGGGCGTCGAGAACTTTGGCACAAACTGGGGAATTGTCGCCATGTTCCCCGCCGCGGGTTCGGCCATGTGGGGTGTCATTTACTCACGCGGATATCAAGATGCCGCAGATCACTCGCCCACGGACAACGGACAGTGCCATGGTTGGGGATGTTTTGGTTTCTGGTCCATCGGGTGTACCATTAGCGTCTGGGTTGCCATTGTAACCTGGTTGGTTGCTTGGGGGTCATGGCGACGAAGGGGGGTCGTCGTCTGACATCTACATATATACGTTTTAGGCACGATATTCGGCGTTTTGGTGTAATTCCGTTTACCTTTGAGCTTTTTATATACTGCTATATAGATTGGGTTTGCATAACCAGGCAGAGAACTGCGACTCAACTAGAACAGACACTTACTTGACTCGATATAGACATCACATATCTATGACTCTTTTAGGGTCACCAGTTCACCCGGTAGTTTTTTCCCGGTTTTCTATCATATTTATCCCCCAAACGGCCGCTGACAGATCACTACCGACTGGGAAACCCCCATAGGGCTATGGGGCCAATATGGGCATCCTTTTCCTTAGTCCCTGGCGATCTCGAAGCCCATCAACTGTTAACAGCCCCTACTGGCCATTTCTGACACTGTAGATTATCCAGCCAGGCTATTCAGCTGCTCAAAGAGCCGTCAGCCATTTGGGGGGGGGGGGGCTCCTTCTCTGGGTTAGTCTCTGACTCGTAAAGTTGCATTGATACACAACCCAACTCGGATATGACGCATCTATGAATGTCGTGCTATCGTATCTGGTCAAAATTCTTCACGGAATAATCCACTCCAATGCTTATCTTTACTGGGAGCGGGTGGTGCCCTGGTCCCTTGTAGAAGCCCTAGTATAGCGTACACATTCCATCCTATAAATTCGAGGACTATTTCCTAACAGACTTTCTCTCTCCTCAAGTCTCGATTCCTTGTTACTAGGCCTCCTATTCTCAGGATTCCCACCCGGTATAGACCTTCTTATACCCCTCACTCTAAAACTAGACCTAACTAACAAATCTAAGACTCCATTTACCACCAATATGCGCAACTCAATCCCCCTCATCTGCCTCGCAGCCATCCCTCTAGTATCAGCCTGCACATTCTCCTTCCAGACCTCGCAAAACAAAGTGAACTTCGGCGGCAGCAACACTGTGAAATGCGAGCTGTTCGCCTACACAAGCGACGATCCCGATCAGTACAGTGACGACCCAGACGCAACCACCGAGATCAAGTGCGCCGGCGGCTGCGGCACATTGAACATCAACGGCAAGGACTGGGAGGGCTGCATTGAGGGTATCAATGACCTGGAACTGTCCGGTACTGCCACTATCAAAGAGGGCGAATCGACTACCACTGTTTGGCCTGGTGGCCAGTCGAGCTCCCAGGCTGATACTAACCCGTTGGCGTCTGGGAGATACCACTTCTTCTGGTTGAACAACGTTGAGTGCTAGGGAATCGAATGGTGCTCTGGTATCTTTGTATCTAGCCTTACTTCTGTTAAGAGCATGGTGTTCTGCTTCGGTTTACTTACGCCTGGTGGAGCTCTTTTTGGTTGCGCAGGTAAGGTTCGGCTATACAACTGTTCTCAGCCTAGTAACGCTCCGTCGACTAAGTACTAGGAGTTTATGATTTAAAAGTGTGTAAGTACATTGAGAGCACTCGTGGATGAAATATTCGGTGATTAGTATGTACTATATGCGAGGTATAGCTCCTCAAAACATGTATCCTCTAATGTCCAGGTCAAGCCGTGATTCGTGACAAACCGCAAATAATCAAACACTGACACCATATTCCAGTAGGTCTGTACATCAAGACTGCAAAAGGCCCCCAAAGTGCAAAAAACCATGCCAATAGTAATGCTCCAAATCCTGGAGCGCCAACCAACGGACTACCAATATCAAACCAACGCCAATGTTGATCCTAACGCCAAAGCCCGGATTTTGATGCCACCCTCAAATATCCGTGGACTGCGGATCCATTCCCATGAACACTTTGTACAAACGTCGACTTGCCGCAGGACCGATACGGGAATCCGTAACAGCGCCATTCTTATTTGCTGATTTCTATGCATAGATAAGTTAGATGAAAAGGATCCTTAAGGGTTATAGAATAGGAAGGAGAGATACCTTGACATCTTCTAGCATCCCCGGCCCAGCTCTCCGCATCCCCCTCACCAAATCGACAACGGTGGGGTGCTGATGAGCTACTCCGTACGCCATCGATGCTGTAACTCGACTGACCTCTTGGAGCATGCGAATGTAGGAATCGAATGCATCCTCTCCCGGCTTTACCTGGCCACTTTCCATGCAGAAGGCAGAATCGTTATCCTCCATGCGTTCGCGGCGGTAAGGGATGGTTGAAATGTGTTCCGTGAAGACCTTAATCCATTCTGCAGTCTCTGCTGGCGCTGCAATTTGATGGATGAGACAGTCGTGCGTGACTTGAAGGTTGAGAAGCGCATCTTCGATTGTATCATCGTCGATTTGTGGGACGGAGTCAGATTTGGTTGATTTCTTGCGGCGCGATTGAGTGGATGTGGATGCTGTTGTTGACGACCCTTGGGCTTCCTCAAGATTGCGGCGGAATTCCGCTTGATATGCCCGGTTTCGCGCGTTTGCACTCTTGCGCATCCATGCTGTAAGGCCCTCAATGAGATAGATTACTGTGCAGCGTGGATGAGCACTTTTCAAGCGGAGAATGTGCGCCTCCAGGTCACTCGGCGCATCTGGTCTGTCAAGGTCAACAGACGACGCTGCCATTTCGACAAACTCCTGCGCCGTTAAGAAGCATAAAACATGTTCTTCTTCGCGGATATGGAGTTCACACGGCTCCCAGTAGCCGAGGGCCTTGTTGTACGTGGCCTTCGTCTTTCGCCGCCATTTGATGAGATTTTGGAACGAACTGTCAAAGAAGGAATGTTCCACCCCAAGCGCCCGCATATACTCTAGTGCCTGGTTGCCGATATTGGTTTCCTTGAATGACGAAGAAAGGTCGATTATCATCTCCGGCGTGGAATTCTTTTTTTCGACCTTGAGTTTATTCACATCCGCTATTTCAGCAGCGAGCTGTTTGTCTTTCGCCTTCTCGTCCCTCATTTTCTGCTTCCGCTCCTTTTCCAGCTGCTTTTCGCGGTCACGCTGCGCTTTGGCTGCCTCTCTCTCCTTTGCTTTTGCCTCCTTGTCTGCGGTTGCTGGTTTAGTTGTTGTAGCTTTCTTCGGCTTGCGGCCACCCCGAGGCTCAGGCAGTTCATCAGGATCAAGCAGTTCTTCGCTACCACCCCGACGTCCACGCGATTTCTGTTTTGTAAGTGCTCTAGCATCAGAAGCATCGTCCTTTGCGTGTTCCTTAAGGTTTGCTAGTAAACTTGCTGTCCTACCAGATAATTCTGAGCGCAACCCGGGCACCACAACTTCCGTCTCTGGGATATTGAATAACTCGCTAGGGTCTGGAACGTTGAATGGGTCACTGGACTGATCAATATCGTCCTCCCAAGGATATTTGCGACTCTGCGGACCACCGCCACCAAGAGCAGTGCCATTGTCACTATCATCGTCAATCTGTATTCCCCCCGACTTCGTAGTAGCTCGTTGGTTATTCCCTTTCCTTTTCTCCGGGGACGCATTCTGCCGAGCCGGTTGGGGGGCAGAAGACGTGAAAACAATCGGATCGGAGTCTAGCGTGAAGACCGGCCGCTTAGACTGAGCATTTGAAGGTCCATCGGAAGAGGGCACAATCTCATCGGAGAAAACGAAATGACTCCGGTTCGGCGGGGGCAGAAAATTGTCATTACCGCGGGGTGACTTGGTCGCCGTGTCAATCTCCGGGGTTAATCGTCTCCGTTTGGCCGGGTTATCGAGGTTCTCTACACCATCGTTGGTAAATTGTGCAAGATCAAGGTCAATGTCGTCCGACAAGAGCGGGATCGAGAACGCATCGGCGGGTGCAGGTGGGCTGGAGCGAAATCGTCTAATGGAGGAAGAAGGCTCGCGGAGGTTTTGGGGAGGCGGAGGGGTCGATGAAATGAGGTTGATGACCTCTGGCGGCATCCTGCTGGCTCACTCCGGACGAACGAGGGGCGAGGATAGCGATAACAACACCAGACAGCCGCGATAGATGGAAGATTCACGTGGCGCGTCTCCGTCCTTCGCGAAATCACGTGGGTAAACCTTCCTCTTTCGTCATGTTTCCTAATTAGGAAAACAGTCAACTTTCGGTACTTCAGGTACAGAAATAGATATTATTGTCATCAACTCGAAATTTCGGAGAAACTCTACTATGGTACTCACCAGATAAAGTCTATCCCGTGAATATTGGCGAGATATTCCAATCCAGGTATCAGGTGATGGGTAAATTGGGTTACGAAAGTTTGATGCGGATTCGGAGGGGCGAACAACAGCAGCTTTTCATCCGATTCCTGGACAAGATGCTCAAATGGGAGCCCAGGGAGGTAGAATTCACAAGGTACTATTGGATGATCCTTGGTTACGGTCAATCTGGCCAACCTGATTGCTCGTTGGCAGGCGTGAAATCTTCGGGTTCAGGCTGCGGTGAACATGGCAAGCCGATATCTTGAATTTTACATTCCTCAGCCTTATCATATCAATCCAGCCGATCAGGATACTTCCTTCCCCCCGTTGCGCGGTAAAATACCGGCATTCTCAAACGAGCGGAACGTTTCAATCCAACTCTCGTAGGTGTCATCATACCGATTCCACCCAAACTTCCTCGCCTTGGTGATAGAGCTAACCGTGGGCCAGGCCTTACCGATGGCCCAGTCAAAGAACCCCCAGGTACCCCAGTTGAAGGCTTCCGGGTTACCGCCGTGCTTCCGGCAGAGTTCCTCCCACACGGGCTTCTTGTCAGCTGCCCACTCTCCCATTTTGAATTCATTATCAGTCTGGGTTCCGGCTTCACCTGTTGCACCGAATTTGGTTGTTTCTGGAACCTGAAACCCGTATTGCATTAGTTTATAGCGAACGGGTATTGTCAAGGCAGAACCTTGCTTTCCAGTGAGGATAGGGTATTGAGGGTTATCCTACCTCTAAGCCGAAATAACTCCCAATCTTGGGGAAGAAATACCGCCAGACGAATGTATCTCCGTTGACATGGTTGAAGGCCTCATTGGCCGCCGCTGGAGTCGTGGTCGCCCAAACACTGAGATCGGCAAGACTAGGTGCATACGAATTGTCGTCAGGGCAGGTATAGAAAAACTGATTCCCAGGGAAGCGCGGGAATTCTCCCGTTTCTCGGCAGATGAGAAAATACAATGCCAGCGTGAGAGCTTCGGACATCCCGTTCCCTGAAATGGTAAATGCGTTAACTCCGTGCTCATATAGAGGTAGAGAGAGACTGACCCCCTGGTGTGAACCCTATAATCGCATTCGGCCTGATAATGTTGTACGTCCAATTTCTGTCCTTCTGCATCGCGAACATAAAGTCCTCCTGAGGGTAGTAGAAGTTCTCTCCCTTATCATCGTACCGTGGGTGTTCCTCGCTGCATGGCTGCTTCACGGGGCCCAGGTGCGCTCCGTAGTGCTGGGTTTTCTTAGCAAAAGCCGGTGTGCAAGTATAGCCATTACAAGACTAACCTTCCCACCAGTTTGAAGACACACACTTTGAAGAGTATTCCTTGCAACTTGATCAATTGCCGTAAGGAAGTTCTCGAATAGCGGTACATTCAAGTCCTTCAGGCGTGCGAAATTGTCGGTATGCACATATGAAGTATAGTAAGCGTGTGTCACATCATGGCAATAAGGAGCCATTTTTGAGATGATTGCCTCAACAGGCTCGAGAAAGTCCAATGCGATGAACTCCACTCTCGGATCCTGCCAATACCCCTTGAGGGGGCTGCGGGAGGAGATAATGATCTTTGACCTATACAGAGTCAACCCAAATTGAAGCCAGATAAAACGGAGAGTCCAATATGGCTATCCTTGAATTATACTAAGAATTCATATACTAACCATTCTGCCTTGGGTGTGCGAATTAAATGCTCCACGATAGCATTTCCGCTAATTCCGTTCGCACCAGTGACGAAGGCGACCTTGGGTTTGGTAGAGGACATCTTTGACGGAAGGTCAATAGCAAGTAAGCTGTGGAAGGATACTTTGCTCTTGGAGAAGAATTTCAGAGTGGACTCATACGTATTTATGGCCTTGTTGATCATGATACTTTGTTATGTACCACTGCCCCTCCTTCCAAATACATCGGGCTGCCGAGTCAGTCCATTTCCCGAAATGCCGAAATCGCGAAACGCCGTTCCCGATGTCTCGGATGTAGTCAACATCAATACAGATATACCTATCAAGAAGTACTGTGCCGTGAATTTTTGTTAAGGGTTACATGAATCACTACGTCGTCAACCAGCCATTATGAAATGCGGCGTCAAGAAGGCCTTGGACCCAATCCATATAAGCCCCATGCGTATGTGGTCGAAGGTTGTCTCGCGCTTCTTCTCCGCTCCTTTCTACATGAAACCCAGATAGATAATCAATATGAGCTTAAGTGGAGACCTGAACTAACCATTAACACAGTAGTATGATACAAGCCTTTCAGGCCCAGGTTAGCTTTACTTTCTGACTGTGACGGTGCACGTCATAGAATGGTAAATGCCTAAGCCGTTTATTATCTGAGTATATGGATGACATGGGAAGGCGAGTAATATGCTAGAAGAGAAGGGAAATGGCTCAGAGATGCGGCCTGGCTCTGTTGGGCCAAGGCACCTGACAGTCCAGGCGATGGTTTTCCAGTGAAGACGGCATGTATCATCACTACGAGCTACCCTCTAACCATGACCATCAACCATGCGTTTTATTTCCTACACCCTATTTCTCAAAACTTACTTTTCAGAGGACTACAGGCTGCAATGTCTCCATCCACAGGAGAAAGTATGACAACAGGCAGCTCAGTGGTTTGCAACGAAGCTGTCATAAACCCAGTATCACACAAACAGCAAAACGGTGCAGCTGGGCATAAACCTAGGGGATGAGATTTGTGTGGATTCTCACTTGTTCTTTTCAGTCTTCTGTGTATTTATGAGAGCAGCTCCTATACACTTCCCTATCCCGTTGCTCGAGTGAAGGTGAGGGAGAGCAATATCTTGGTATGGACTATGGGCTGACCTACCGGATGCAGTATCCGATTGCTTTGGGCGAGCGGCGAGTCATCTGTTTCCTGGCTATCATTATGCTAAGAAGAGTTTTGGGCTATATTAGACATTTAGATTAAAGAGAAGAGGCTGCTGCTTGCAGCTTCCAGACCATCAACTACATTTGCCTACAGTAGTAGGAGACGTGGATTTTGCATTGTGTATATTTCACCTGATATATATCGGTGCACCGTGCAGACGGCGATCACAGTTCGTTGAGGTTTCCAACAATGAACTGAACGTGCTCGAGCACGTCCTGGAGATCGTGAAGATGATCCTATCGTGAGAGCCTGACTCGTCACTCGTATTCAGTCTTCGGTGGATCGCTGGTCCATATACACATGCGCAGGCGATCGACATTCTACAAGATTTCGGCATAACGGCGGAGAAATAGTACAACAGACCGCGTCTTTTGAATTTTCTGTTCGGGGAAAAGGACCCTGTACTATTGGAACTGGCCGGCGAGATCCGCGCGCGTATTTGATCGTAATACCGCACTTGACCTTTTTTCCCCGCGCGATCAACGGTGAAGTGTTGCATCTCTTAAGTCCGAACTGAAATCTGAACGTTGAACTGCTGAAGAGGGTAAGAGACTCAGAGGCAGAGGTGAGGTGCGACTCCACTTCTGTAAAGTTCCGAGTTGGAAGCTAGACTCCGAAGGGAAACTCTGGTTTACTCGTGGGTAGCCTGGCAGTGAACGTTGATGGCAGTCGCACCGAAACCTAAGTTGATCTTTTACCACGATGCGAATTTCCTGCGTGGGTGAAGATCGGCTGCTAGGCCGCCGCGTGGAGAATAGCTCGACTCGGTAGTGTCGGAGGAGGGACTCTTTCGAATTTCGAGGCCTCGAGTTCCATATTTTAAGCGGAATAATCTCGGCTGGGATTTTACACCGTTGAACAATCCTGGTTTACGAACGATTAAGGAGCGAACCTTCAGTGTCCAAAGTCCAAAGGTGAAACAAGCATGGACCAATATAGAATGGTGAATTGAATGGGCCGATCGATAAAGCCTCGCCGTAATCGGTTGCACATGTGGCGCGCTGAGCCTTGACAGCTCTCTCCGTGATCTGGGATATTTCGATCGACTTGGGCTGTCTCGTGTGAGACTGGTCTAGTGCGCCTCGAGTCTCGGCGTTCAACGGTTTTCGCGGACACTTGGGAGGAAGCGCTAGAGCGTCCCAGGATGACGAATTCAGGTTTAAACTTGCTTGGTCTGGTCGAATTCTCTCTGCATGTTGTTCGACGGATGAATTTTCTCGTTAGTTCTTCTCTGGAGGAAAATATTTCGCCTGGACGAATCACGAATGAGATATTCGGAGTATTATTATCGCTGATTCAAAGATGAGCGACGAACTTCCCCTTTTCGTATCTTGGTCAGCGATCGACACCCTGACCATTCATTCACAAGGGGATTGGGCAAGAATTTTCCATGTGCCTTCTGCAATTGGAAGTCGCAGGAAAAGCATGCAGCGATGCCCTAGTATCTTCGGGGTCGATGTGGGTTTTACTGCCCTTGTGAAATGCAAGGCGAGGGGGTCCAGTACTGGTTCAGTCCTCGCTCGATATCTTGGATGGATGGATCCCGCACGATCTGGTGGACGGGCCAAGTATTAATGTATCGAGTCTACGAGTTGACCCAGACTCTGGTCGATGCGCTCACGATGAGAGCGACTGAAATTGCGGAATGCTGGCAAGCTGAGTGACACTGACGGGACGGAATTATGGAACTCGCGGGACCATCGATGAACCATGCTGGTGATGGTCAGTCCAGGCCCCTAACTAAGTCTTGTGGTCCCTTGAAAGGCTCCACGGTCCTTTGAGGATGGCAGGATAATTGCTTCTGTGGAGGTCCACATCTTTAATTCTCGTTGTTCAGTGAATCGATTGGCTCGTTGAAGAAATTGACCACGAGCACACCGCTTGAATGGGCAAAAGGAAGGTCGCTGCAGTAGGCGCAACTTTGAAATCGTGGTTCCTTTGTAGCTTGAGTCTCCTGCGGGGGGCGACCATGATTGAAAAACCATGAATCCTGACCCATCGAACAGTTTGTCGACGCGCGACCCGCAGTTGCAAGGTTGCACGATCCAGTCAAGCTTCGGGCGGCAGAGAGGCCTGGGCGCGGGAGTTGGGTTGAGATTTGAGAAGGAAGCCCGGGGCAGGTCCTCATTTCGCTTGATCATTTATTCGTAACGCGCCGTCTTCCTGTCAGTTGGAGTTCTTTCCTTGTTCGTCGGCCGTGGGAAGAGCTTCAGTTGAGGGTTCACGTCGACGGCGGATGAGTTTGTGAGAGGAAATTGGGGGTGTTTCACCTGGCTGGATCCGGTATAGACTGGCTGTGATTCTGTACAGACAAGCACTCGACACTCACAGTTGAAGCAGAGACTACACCGGCTTATCGTGATATATCGATGCCCTTGTCAGCGAATTATTGAGTCGCTGCAATAATTTGCCCCTGGCAGAGTTCATTCCCCAAATAGAAGAATAACGCGTGCCTTGGTTCCTGAGACTGGCCGTTTGGTTCCCCAACCTGCGATCCCAGGAACCGTGGGACGCTCCGGTTCAGGCCGCGTGGAAGAGTATTGGGCGATGGTTCAGGGGAATGAACAACAAGAAGTCCCGGGAAATGTGCATATGCAGTCGCTATTTACGAATATGGTTTCACTTCTTTGTCGAAGAACGCCCGTGAACCGTTGGAGATATTAAAATAGGATATTAAAATAGGATCACCGTTGACACAACGGCTGAGATAACGATATCCAAGACAATATCCAAGTCGAGGCCCAGGCCGGCGGTGCTTTGCTCCTGGCATTGTACTGAGTTTAATTATCCTTAAATCGACAGACAACTCCGTAGAATCCGAGGCAGGCATAAATGGATGGCCTCCTCAGAGACGCAACTGCAAGAGTCCAGCGCGAGACTCAGAGCGACAGGCCATTCGCTGCGGGCGAGTTAATTAACTTTAGTGGTTCAGGAGACCGTCCCAGTCCCTCAGGCCGATGGATCCCCAGACCTGTCAACACTCAACTTTCTTTCTCTGTCGTTCTCTCGCCCTCTCCTTTTCTTGAAGGCGCGCCCCTTTGCTTTCCTCCTCAGCCTCTTTCCTCCACGATACCGCTCCTGTGCGTATACCCTCCCCTCCTCCCTCTTCCATCCACTCACAGACGGTCCATGATCTCCGGTACACGGCCCTCCCCCCAGGACCCCTGACATTGACCGGGCCTGTGCATCCCCAACTTTTTCTTTGTCGCCTTTTCTCTTTGCCAAATTCCTGAGCTGTCGCAGACGCTGCGAAAAGTTTGAAAGCAACTCTAACCATTGACTTCTCCCACCAGGTAGTTCACCGACCACGGCGCTGGCCTGATTTCCGCTCTGGAATAATCAGGAGATTTGTTCCCATCGCAAATCGTGTCGCAGGTGGCCAATTCTTGCGATTTTCACAATCTCTCTCTAGAGGCACCGTTTTATCGTGAATCGCCAACGACGCATTTCGTTTGACAAGCGATCGATCGCTGATGACTTCCTTCTCTCTCATTCTTTGACCGATAATCGACCCACTCACCGCATCGATTCCGACCCCATCAATCTGCGGTTCGCATATATACAGGAAAGGTCATGACGGCCTCGCCGCCAGCGTCGCCCACGGGGCCGGGCCCCCAGAGACCTTATAGCGCCTTAATGCGCACCCCGCGGAGCAACAGCCGCTTGAGTATGAGCAGTAAACATGGGGGGAGCCGGGCGTCTGATGAGGATGGAAAAACCGCGGTCAAAGTTGGTGCGTTTACCATCTAAGCTTCTGTGGAATGCCACAAGAGCTGTCATTTCCCCGCTTAGACAAACATTCTCGCTCCTGTACTGACCCAGTCGCAGCCGTCCGTGTCCGTCCTCCGCTGAAGCCCACCGACCCCGGCTACGAATTGATCCCGCAGCGTTTCCAACGTTCCATGGCCCATGTCACGTCGCCGACAAGCTTAGCCGTCGATGTACCACAGGGTCGTAAGCTCTTCGTTTTTGATCGCGTTTTCGCCGAAACTATCGAACAGGAGGGCGTCTGGGAGTATCTTAGCGACAGCGTCGGTTCCTTCCTGCAAGGGTACAATGTCTCCATTTTGGCTTACGGCCAGTCTGGTGCCGGTAAATCCTACACAATGGGAACCTCAGGCCCAAATGAGCAGAACGACACTTCGGCGATGGGTGAGTTTGCTAGTTCGCATTTTATATGAAAAGTGCAAATCGCTGATGACAATAGGTATTATCCCGCGTGCCGCTCAACTTCTATTCGAGAAACTAGAAGGCCCCAAACATTCTCGCAACAGTTCCACCGGTCTCCGTACGCCATCCCGATATTCAGTTAGCTCTGCATCAAGCTTTGGAAAACAAAGCCTTGATAAGAATTGGCAGTTGAAAGCTACCTACGTCGNGGTATGAATGCCCACTGGATATATGCCTTGAGGGACACTAATTTTCTCTAGATTTACAACGAACAATTGAGAGATCTGCTCCTTCCAGACTCCGTCCCCTCGTCAGATCGGAGTGCCGTCACCATCCGCGAAGACACCAAGGGCCGCATTATCCTGACCGGCTTACACCAAGTAAACATCAACTCTTTTGAGGATCTTATCGGGGCTTTGAATTTCGGTTCGTCCATTCGACAGACCGACTCTACCGCAATCAACGCCAAATCTTCGCGATCTCATGCAGTCTTCAGTTTGAACCTTGTCCAGCGAAAGTCTGGCAGCGGTGGAACGTCACAAAAGGACAAGCGCATGTCCATGCCGGTCGAGATGCCCTCTGGTGGCGATCAGTCCGTAACAGTCGACAGCAAGCTCCACTTTGTCGATTTGGCCGGAAGTGAGCGTTTGAAAAACACCGGAGCTTCCGGTGAGCGTGCCCGCGAAGGTATTTCGATTAACGCTGGTCTTGCTGCTCTGGGGAAGGTCATCTCGCAACTATCCTCTCGCCAAGCTGGCTCTCACGTTTCCTACCGTGACTCCAAACTTACTCGACTGCTTCAGGACTCGCTGGGTGGAAACGCTTACACATACATGATTGCGTGCGTTACCCCTGCAGAATTCCATCTCAGTGAAACCTTGAACACAGTCCAGTATGCACAGAGAGCGAGAGCGATCCAAAGCAAACCTCGTATACAGCAGGTTGCCGATGAAGGCGACAAGCATGCAGTGATTGAGAGACTCAAGGCCGAGGTTGCCTTTTTGCGGCAACAACTGCGCAATGCGGAGGATAATGAACGACGAACTGTCGCTCCCCAGGAACGCGCTGAACGCCAGAATGAACGTGAAATTGAGCTCCAAAACCAACTTCTCGATGTCCAGGAGGGTTATAACGCACTAAGCCAACGCCATGCCAAGCTAATCTCTGAGCTTGCGAGGGATTCGCAGCAGACTCCAGCTAATGGCGAGAATGGTGACGTGGAATCCGCTGTGGGTGATTCTGTTGAGAGGCTTAAGCGATCACACTCATTCGCGGAATCGGTTGAACAAGTTGTTCTAGAGTACGAAAAGACTATCCAGAGTCTCGAGTCTTCGCTTTCAAACACCCGGACTTCCTTGTCCACAACGGAAAGTACTCTCCTCGAACGTGAGACCAAATGTGCCTACGTTGAAACGGTCAACACTCAGCTCCAGACCCGCATCCAGAAACTTTTGGACCGAGAGTCTAGCACGGAAACCTATCTCCATGAACTAGAGTCTAAGCTCGACGGCCAAACCTCTGGCGAAGAGCAACATGCCGCGATAGTACAAGAACTGCGCAAAGAGATCAGCCGCTGTCGCGATAGTGAGGCCAGTTGTGAAGATTATATATCCACCTTGGAAGAGCGCCTAGCCGAGGCCGACCAAGACATGGAACTTATGCAACGCGAGATTGACCGTCTGGAGCACGTTGTTGATCGTCAACGAAGCCTCGGCAAACTGGACACTCTCCTTCACGAGTTGGACAACATCCAAGGCAAGAAAGAGGACGAGACTCAAGCCCAACTCAAGTCGGATATTGCTCCTCCAGGAGCCTACCAACCACGAAAGCGTGGGATGTCTCTTGACGTACTAACCGAGGCCGCTGAAACAGCTATCCCAGATTCCGATGAGGGTCTGGCTGAACCAATCCCCGAGGAAGTCGAGGGCGAGACTGAAGAGGCCGAGTCGACGACAAAGCAAGGTGACTCCGGTCTGAAGGCCCTTGAAAGTGCTACTAGCCGCCTTGAAAACCTTGAGAATGGACATGTCCGGAGCGGATCTTCAAGCCCTACTCAGATGCGGGTTGTTTCCGATAAGTTGGAAACCGTTAGCCAGGAGCTGTTCGACCTACGTATGCAGCACGAGAACACCCTCAATGACTACGAGACCCTTGAGGCCAAGTACGAGGAAGCCTTGAGAACCATGGCGGAACTTCGCCAGGATGCTGCGGATGAGGACCGCCACGCAAACACCCGAAACATCGTCCCGACCACAACTTCTCGTCCCGTTTCTTTTTTAGAGGATACCAAGGCTCCCGCGTCGAAAGCTGGAACACAACACTCGTTCTCGCAATCACTCTCATCGGAATTATCCTTGGCCGGGGAGCCTGTTACTTCGCAAGACTCATATAATGCGAACACGCCGCAAACTACCGTTGATTCTCAAGACGGAACTGTGCCCAACGGAACACACGATGATGAAAATCTACGTAGGCTTATTTTGGATCACCAAGAGAGCGTCAACGTGATGAAACAGAAATACACTGAGCTCGAGGCGGAACACGAGGATACCCTAAGCTTAGTCGAATCCCTCAAGACCCAGCTACAGAGATCGAAATCTACCTCCCCTCCGACAACACCCGGCTTCAATCCTGTCATTCGCCGAAAGACCAGCCAAAGTATCATGTCGAATGTTGACCGAGCTTACCGTTCAATCACCGGCCTGCGCAGTCTCGCAACTGAGGAATTTTCCTCTCGCCCGGATACTATGCAGAACTTCGACCTTCATCTGGATGGTGCGATGCACGAGCTTCATGTCCGCATGGAACGTATCCAGCAACTGGAATCGGAGAACCAGAGCGTGAAGAAGGAGATGGAAATGAAATCCACCATCATTTCAGGTCTTACTCGGGAACGATCCAGTTTGCAGGGCGCCTCTCCGGTTGACAGGGGACTTGTGAACCAACTACGTGACCAGATTGTCCAGCAAGAGAACACACTAAACCAGATGAAGGAAGCCCACGAAATGAGGGAGAAGGTCCTTCTTGAGGAAATTGAGGAACTGAGGGGCATCCTGAAGACCCAGGAAGAAGCAGCCAAGGCGCAGGATGCTCATGTGGAAGAGCAGGAGAAGAAGATCACGAGCCTTGAGGGCGAGCTGACACAATGGCAAGGCAAGCACCAGAACGCCATTGAATCCCTGCAGTCATCGGAGAAGCAACTCCAATCTACCCTGGCGGATCTCAACGGCGCTCTTGCTACAATCGACACTATGCGTTCTGAGAGTGGCACTTCTCGTGAAGTCACTGACAAGGAAGTGGCAGCGACACAACTGGAAAGTGACCGCGCAGAGCAAAACCAGGTTGTGGAAGAGTTAAGACGAAAGGTTGAGGAGCATGAAAGCACGTCCGCCACTCATCTGGCAAAGATTGCTTCTCTTGAGAAGCTGCACGAGGCCCAAAAGGGAGCCACTGAATCTGCGTCAACTTCGACTGAAATCGATGCCCGCCAGACCCGCATTGCCGAGCTAGAGCAAGAGATTGAAAGCCACAAATCCCTTGCTAATTCACACAAGGCGGAATTTGAGTCTTTGCAGACGTCTCATAAGCAAGAGCTGGAAGAGCTGGAGACTCGAACCAAGGCCGCTGCCCAAGGTGAGCATGAATTACGCATCGCCGAGCAAAATAACCAGCACGAAGAGGCTATGGTGGCCTTGCGAACTGAAATTTCTGAGTCACGCGACGAGCTGGCTAAGCTACTTGGCATGGTTTCCAACCTTATCAAGTCTGATGTCACAGCAGACAACCTGGCGGATCAGATCCAAGACATTCTCACCCAGAAGCAGCACTTCTCAGACAAGTATGCCGAACTTATGGGCTCGAATGAAGATCTCCGTAAGCAGATCGAGGCCAGACAAGGAGATGACAACCGTGTGGAAGAGCTCAACAAGGCTGTTTTGGACAAGGATGGCAAGGTCAATGAGCTTGCTTTGCTCGTGGCCACGTTGGAAGACACTCTCCTGCAGAGGGATGAACAGATCAAGAAGAAGGAAGCGCTCGCTGCGGAAGCCCTGGCCGAGAAGCAAAAGAGCGCGCGCCTCGTCGAAGAACTCGAGGACCAGATCACCAACAGCTTCGACCAGCACAACAACCGACTTTCTGTCATTCAACAGGAGCGTGACCAGGCTCTGGAAGACGCCAAGGCTAAGATCGTGACTTACGAGAAGGATATCGAGACTTACCGTGTGCGCATTGAGCAGCTCGAGGTGAGTAGTATAATCCTTACATTATCTGAAAACTTTTACTAACAAAGGCTAGCTTCAAATCAAGAACCAAGACAACTCCCACGACCGCAGCAGCTCTCTCACATCCAACCTCCGCAAGAGCTCTTCGGCGGCGTCTCTTCCTTCGCCCCCGCCTGCTATTCCCCTTCCACCTCTCCCTACAATTGCCGCCGCTACCAACGGCACTTCGTCTCCTCCAAGCTCTCGGCACACTAGCAAGGAGCTGGTCGGCAGCCAGGTTGTCGAGGAACAGGAGGCTCGTATCCGTACTATCGAGAAGCATCTAAATGCTGAGAAGCAACTCACCGCCACTCTGGAGGAGGCTCTGGGCGACCTAGAAGCACAGAGCAACAAGGTCAAGTCCGACTGCGACGCCTGGAAGAAGAAGGCCTGGCAACTGGAGGAAGAGCTAGGCACTATGCGCAAAGAACGCAGCTCTCAACGTCTCTCGCTTCAAGCCGTCGAGGAAGAGAGGAGCGCTCGTCGCGAGGCCGAAGCTGCTCGAGCCCAACTCGAGGAGCGTATGAACGCACTAAACAAAAAGAAGAAGAAGAGCACGCTCAACTGCTTCTAGACACTCCCCTTTACTCATCCTCACATACTACGCCTTTTCTTTATCCTTTCTTCATTTCTTGCCCATGTTGAAACGCGAATTTCAGATCGTCACTGCATCATGAATTAAACGTTGATTCCCCTGTATACCTTCATCTGATACCTTTTTCCTTCACATCTTGTCAATGTTTGAATTGTGCCCACGTTTGAGTTGCTTTCTCCGACCTTGATATTTCATGCGCATTACCCATTTTCATTCAGTACCCCCCTTTTATGACTTCTTCACGACCTTCTTTGCTGAAAGTGTGACTGTTGCAATCAATCACCTGACGCTTGTACATTCTACCCATTATCCTGTATCTGATGTGCTTAAACTTTCTATTGTTTATTGTTTAGGAGCGGCTAGGCACTGCCATCGCTTATAGGATAGCGAATTGTCGTTTTTGTCCCATCTCAAAGCAGTAGAAGTTGAATACCCCCCACTTTATGCTTGAATCTGTACAGCACGGGTGTGAGATAGAAAAGTATTTCGTTTCCCAACCTATAACCTTCATATTATAATTTTAATTTACCTATATCCGAAGTATATTTAGGTTTCGACAATGTATAAAATAGCTGACTCATCACATGACGTCGCGCCCGCCGCGTGTCTTTACTGACAGTAAAGTTGTAGCTCCAGCTCAGCTTCAACAGCCCCTCTTGACACCAGACACCACAACCAACCCAACCAACCCTGTCAACATGGCAGCAAAACAGCCTCCGACCCCCGCAAAGTCAAACATAACAATAATCCACCCAGACCTCGGCATTGGCGGCGCCGAACGCCTTATAATCGACGTCGCCCTCGCCCTGCAGAACACCGGCCACAAAGTCACAATCTACACCTCACACTGCGACAAGTCACACTGCTTCGAGGAGGCGCGGGACGGAACGCTCGATGTCCGTGTGCGTGGGGATAAATACCTCCCAGCCAATGTAGGCGGGCGGTTTGTCGTCCTCTTTGCGATTCTCCGCCAGGTCTGGTTGACGGTGGAGCTTTTGGGGGAACTGGCGGCTGCGCGGACAGATAAGGAAACGGATGAGGTGTTTATCGTCGACCAGGTCCCCGCCTGTGTACCATTACTCAAGACATTCGGCCCGAGTCGATGTTCGGCGAGACAGCGGATTCTGTTCTACTGTCATTTTCCGGATCAGTTGCTGGCGCGGCGGGATGAGGGGGGTTCGTTGCTGCTGAGTGCGTTGAAGAGCGTGTACCGGTATCCGTTTGACTGGTTTGAGGGGTGGGCGGTGGGGGCGGCGGACCGGGTTGTTGCGAACTCGAAGTTTACGAGGGGTGTTGTGGCGGGGGTGTTTGGGGGCAATAGGTTAGGGGATGTACGGGTTGTTTATCCTTGTGTTGATACGGAGAGTGCGGAGGTCATTGAGCGGAGTGAGGGGGAGGGGGAGCAGGCGTTATGGGGTGGGAAGAAGATACTGCTTAGTGTGAATCGGTTTGAGAGGAAGAAGGATCTTGCGCTCGCGATTCGTGCGTACCATGGGCTTGGGGAGGAGAAGAGGCGGGGGACGAGGTTGGTTGTTGCTGGTATGTATACCTGCTTGTTTTTTGAAAGATCCAGTGCTAATGAGAGGTGTTGGCAGGCGGCTACGACCCTCGAATCGTCGAGAACGTCCAATATCACAAAGAATTAGATACGCTTGCGACTTCGCTCGGCCTTCAGACGGCGACTTCTAAAACCGTCCCTTCCGCTCTATCAATCCCGGACTCGGTCGACGTGCTCTTCCTCCCCTCCACCCCGTCCGCATTCCGCGACACCCTCATCTCCCAATCCTCCCTCCTCCTCTACACTCCAATAAACGAACACTTTGGGATTGTCCCGATCGAAGCAATGCGTGCGGGGATCCCCGTCCTCGCATCCAACACCGGTGGTCCGCTGGAAACAATCCTTGAAGGCGAAACGGGCTGGCTCCGCGACGCCACGGATGTCCCGGCATGGACCGCGGTGATGGACAAGGTGCTCTACCAGATGAGCGAAAGCGAGCTAGAGCAGATATCGGCGAAAGCGAAGGATCGAGTGGAAGCGGAGTTCTCGTTACGGGCTATGGGAGAGAAACTTGAAGTAGAGATTGGAGAGATGCTGGGCTCTTCAAGGCGGGCATTTAATGGAGTGCAGCAGCTGTTGCTTTTGCTGGGGATAGTCGGGGTGGGATTCGCGGTTCTTGTTGCTTTGGCTTTGAGATTAGTTGGCTTTGTATAATACCCCTGTAGCATCGCATATGCATTTGCGCATTAGTTCGACATGCATTGAGGCCTTCAAAAGTACCAGCCTGGTCGCGACGTCGAGTTGTCGAGCCCTAGGGCAGTCGGCGCTTAATCAATGGCTGGCAGCCAGTCCTCGCCCACTCGAAACATCACAACTGCAAAGGGTCTGCGCCGCAGGAACCCGGAGACAATACTTGCTTTCTTGGGCACTGACATTTCCAACAGCGGCTATGCAGCAGCTCTCAATGGCCTGCTCTGGTCCCTGAAACAGCCCGCCAATTCAGCCTCGACTGTTCTCATATAACCCCAGCGTCTATACCCCCCGCTCTGCATTTTCCTCTTCTCTTCTCGAAGGAAATTGACATCGTGGAAAGGGGCCTTTTCACGGCCCGGATTATGAAGAAATGCCTGATGTTTTCGTTGCCTGTTTCTATCTGCGTCTGGAGTTTGGTTATTGTCGCACTGTCTCATAATGCATCTGCAGCGGATTCAGACAGGACTTATTTCACGAATCCGCCCTCGTCGACCGATGCAGATGGAATGCCAGATTATGAACTGGGAAGCGTCCAGGAGATCTCATGGACGACGGACCTGGACATCTTCAACATCAGCATCTGGCAGCGCGATCAGGACAGTGGGAATAAAAGCAATGGGGGGAATATCTTCGGTTTGTCCACCAACTCACAGCCATCGGTCTCAAACTAATAGAGGAACAGCCAAAATAAACCCTTCCGAAACAATAAACACTTTCTCCTGGGCCGTCCAAACATACTCACTCGATCTCAACGACTCCTCAATCTTCTTCCTGGCCATAGAAGCCGGTTCGCACAGCTGGACATCCGCAAACTTCATTATCACATCCTCCACCAAATCATCTCCCTCCAGCTCAACCACCCCAATTTCAGATTCAGACTCCCCCACAACAACCGACTCCCCAACATCCCTAACCTCAACCGGCAAAATCGCCCTCGGCCTCGGCGCCGGCATCGGCGCACCACTAATCTGCCTCCTCGCCATCCTCGCCTACTTCCAGTACCGCAGCGCACGAAGAGCATACACACACACCCAAGCGCTCCAAAACCACCCAGACCATCATCATCCTCATCATCATTCACACTCCCAGCAACCGCCACCGGCATGGCGCCACCCGTCCGCCTCGCCGACTATGGACCAACTCACCGTCCCGCCATCGATACTCCCGCCGAAGCAGGTCCCCATGTCTGTCCCGCTGTACAGGAATAGGAGTCTCCCACCGTCGGAGCTCCCGCAGAAATTGGCAAGGCCGGTGTATGAGCCGCCGTGGGAGGTTCATTCGGATTCTGCGGTGGGACATGCTCATGCACAGGCACAGGCACCGGTGGGGTTGGGTGTTGGGGTTGGGGTTGGGAATTGGAGTGAACATACGACGAGGACAGGATATGGTAGAGACTCGAGAGGAGGGACGGGGAATACGAGCGTGCGGTCTTCAGCAGGTCTGGGGATTCCGGAGTTACCCGGGGAGGGCTCTAATTTTATATAATTGCATCGCTTCTATTTATATATATCTACTGCGAAATACGCATGGGGGGTATTGCCTTGTATATATATGTAGATTTTCCCAAACTGATTATCAACTGGGTTATTAGACTGGCTTTAACCATGATCCTATTAAGAGTCTAATCTAGCTAGCTACATACTGTCGCTGTGTTTGTGGTCCAAGAATAAAGTCGATGTCCTTTTCATACAACTCGGTCGTGATTATAAACAATTTGCCATAACGGTCGAGCTTCATTCCGTTTCGCTGCATTCTTTTGGCGAACTTGCAGAAATTGTTTACCATGTTCATAACAGACTCTCCCTCCAATCCCTGCAGCCAGTATGCTTTGAAGCGATTCAGTACACCTATAATATCGGAAAGAAACACGATCTCCGCCATTGGTTTCGGTGTTGCAGGGCTCTGACAGTTGACAGGCATGTCGCGCAAGACTGTCAACTCTCGCACTGCTATCTCCACCTCACACTCGCCTTTTGAACGATGTTGTGCTAGCCACCAAGACAAATCACTGCGAATCATACCGAGCCGTCTCTTCGCCTCTGCAACACATTTCGCCCGCCGTTGAGAAACCGCCTTGGCCAAAGAAATGGTACGACTATCGAGATACATTGAGAAATGATCCTCTTTCTGCGAGTCATAGACGTCAAACTCAGTGCTGAGCATGGTGAGAGCATCGTGATAAAGCAGCCTCGACTTTGTGTCCTCCGCTATCTTAAGATAACTCAAGCTAAGACCCGGATCCCGCATATCAAGCCAAAACTCACTACACACGATGTTGGGTAAAAGCCAATCGAGATATGGGCCCATCCATGAAGGACAGGAAAACTGGGCTGCTAGGTCATACAAATTCCGGAGATTTTCCAGCGATTGAATCGGCACGACGAGTCTATACGCAGCCCGTAGCCACATCTCGAGGCAATGTACCTCCTGTTGGGTTGGAGGATCCAAACCCGTTGGACTAGCATTTGCTATGTTGGTATCGACGATACCAAGATGCCTGCTGGATGGATTGGCAAGGTCCTTCTTTGCAACAAACCGGAAGCGATGTAGAGCTGGGTCCTGGTGATCTAGGGGGTTGGGAGCATGTCGACTCAGATTTTGCACCAGGTCTGCGATTTTGCTAAAATGGACTGCGAAGATATAGCCGCCAGCTTCGATCAATGTGTCTGGTTGGGATCCGTCAGTCGAGACAAAGCATGCCATTCTCTCGTCGGTCCGAGGCTCTGGCGGTGGAAGATACCATAGAGGTAGCTGGAACGGGACTGATACTCTCATTGATTTGAATAAGGAATATTAATATAAAAGTGAAGGGGTGTTGAATTTGAAAGTTGAAGCTGGATCGTAATGGAATTCTGGAAGAAATGGCCGCATGGTGGTTGCTCCTGCTATTCTCGCCTGCCCTAGACATATTCTACGCAAGTGGGACTGGCGCTCAGTAGAATTTCTTGATTTGGATTCAAAAGTTAAACCGTATTTTATAAAGCCTGAGCTCGTTCTATCCTTGAATTCCAACATGATTGACCCAGTGCCTCATCTGATCTTATCTGATCGACCTTCGATGACAGAATCGATGCTCATTGGTCGCTTGTCTGTCAGGGTCCATTCTTAATTTCTATTCTGGCCCACAATATGGCAGTATTTCTTCAATACTCACAGAACAAGAGAGATAGGCCCGGAATTACATCAGAGAGAGATATGTTTTATCATTCAAGATGACTATGACGCGAAATATGTATAGTTAGTGATTTTATATGGAAAAGCAACCCCCAAAATATCCAAAACATACTAGTATGAGAGTTACAAATCCTCCCTTGAGTCGTCAACAGTCAGGGGACCATTCTTCACCATAATAGTGAGAACCTCGTAAAGAACATCAGCCGCAGCCATAGTCGTCAGCTCAGCATTCGTGTCATAAGCAGGCGCAACCTCAACAATATCCGCACTGATCAAGTTCAGTCCCTCGAGTCCGCGGATAATCGTGCGAATCTCACGAGTCGACCAGCCGCCAGTTTCAGGGGTGCCAGTTCCAGGGGCAAAGGCCGGGTCAATAGAGTCGATGTCGATGGAAAGGTAGATTGGGTTGTCGGTGCCGACTCTGTCCCGGATCTTCTTGATAATTCCATCGGTTCCGATTGTGTCGATTTCGCGGGCTTCGACAATCTCGAAGCCGACGTAGCCATCGTTGTCATAGTCTGAGGGGCCAGATAGAGTGGTGCGGATGCCGGCGTGGATGTTGGTGTCGTTCCTCAGGAGGCCTTCCATGGCAGCGTGGTAAAAGTAGGTTCCGTGATTGATGGATGCAACCTCGCTTGGTGAGCCACCAAACACTTTTGGCTTCCAGGTGTCCCTATATCAATGTCAGTAGACATTCTTTGTAACAGTGTTGTTAACTAACAGATGACTGTCGAAGTGGATGACAGTGACTGGGCCGTATGCCTTGTTGATACTGCGCAGCAACGGCAGCGTAATGGTGTGGTCACCTCCAAGGGTAATGATACGTGGAAGTGTCTTGCCAGCCCGAGAGACACCGGCATCGCTGGAGCTGGTATAGGGCTTGCGCATCAACAAGCTGTTATGGCCCTGCTCGATCTGCTTGATAGCCCAGGCATTGTCGAATCTGTCAAAAGTCAGTTCCGCAACAACCAACAACCCTATTTACCCCAGGGCATCTTACGAAGTAACTGGGATATCACCACAATCCAAAACTCTCAGCTCATCGCTGAACGGGTTCGCCTCCAGCGGCACATTGTAACCACCACTGAAAGCCAATTTGCGTGAGCCTTTACACTGTAAGCAGAGCCCGGGAGAACAAACTAGAGATTGAGGCGACGAGAACCTTGCCTGATGCCGTTTGGTCCGAACCTAGCACCTGGTCTGTAGGAAGTGCCAGTGTCGAATGGGGCACCTGCGGCAGTTAGCACGGCCATAAGGTAAGCTTCAATTAAAATTGTAACATACCAAGGAAGGCAATGTCGAATTTCTCTTCCTCGCTGGCGAGACATGGAAAGTACGGAAGACGCCCGAACGTTGAGATACCAGAGAAGACAGAGTCGGCCTGGCTGGTTAGTATGTGATAGTTCGTAGAGGGCATATACTTACCTGAGTGCCGCCATCGCCTGGGAGTGTGTTGTACCACAACTTCTGCAGTGGGCCTGTAAGAGGTGTCTGGTGGCCGCCGTGGGCAGATACCGCTGCTGAAAAGGCAAAGAGGGCCGTAATTGAGAGAAACATGACTGTATAAGGAGAGTGCACGAGGGGAGAGATGGAGTTTGAAGGTTGAACTGAGGGACGACCGCTTATGTATGTTGTCGTCCTCTTCCCCTCAACACAACTCTCACTTCTCGCCCTCGACGACTACTCGCAACAGCCAATCTCTTTAGGTAATTGAATGGACTCGCTTGGTTGAAGATTCAGTGGTATCTTAATTCCAGCCCACAAACCCACAGTACTAACTAACATTCACAAGACAAACAGAGCGCCGAGTTCGGATCCTCTTCTCCTCCGGCCTTCTCGATCGAGGCGATATTTTGAGTTAAATCGCAGATGGGGTTCTTGATAAATCTTGCGATAGGTTTGATGATGCACCTGAGAGACAATACTTCCTTCAACTTCCAAATCAGAACAATGAAAGGAGATCCATGAAATCCATGAATGGATAAGCGCATGCTGAATACAGTACTTTCTGATAAGGAATGACGAGAACTGATAAGAAGGCATATCCAATGATACAACGACCGCCAAACCGATGTACAAAAAAGGAAGGCCGGGGGAGAAGGACAAGACTTGGAAAGTGGGCAAACAGAGCTTCCCCAGTTTCCACACAAGGCCCACCAGCAACCAACAGCGACGAGGTCTCTTATCGCACCAATGACATGAGGGGATGCTTTCTATCTCAAGTCCTCAAAATTCTACTCATCTATGAAATCATCTTCTCCTTCTCATCTCCATCTTGGTGATTTCGCCAGTTATCCAGGCCGCGGAGAAATACTGGTCTGAGTTGCCTGATAACGGCTTGGTCATGGTTCATTCTTCTCTATCCGCCTTCCTGTCCGAGCTACTCGAGAGATTTAGTTGAATTGGTAAATCTCCAAACACACAATTCTTGGTTCTGCCTCAATATTCTAGCCTACAGTCGTGGCACCATTCAGTTGTTTCCGTCTTCCATCCGCAGGAAAGCCTTATCGACCTCCTTATTCCAGTTGCTAAGAACCACAACCATCCACTCCAAGGCCCCCACCAAGTACAGCGCGATACACTGCCCAACCCACAACCCCTTCAGTCCCCAGCCATGGAACGCAAGCCAGATACCTAGAGGCAACGCACCGCAGTAGTAGCTGACCAGATTCACCAACGCACCAATATGCTGCCGGCCCATTCCTCTTAGACTCCCGCCACAACTCCCATTCAAGCCATCGGCAATCTGGAACAGAGCCACATACGGCAACACCTCAGCCGTGAGGCGAACAACGCGCTCATCAGAGTTGAAGATTTTGGCGAAATCATGCCGCGTCCCCATTAGCACGGCCAGGACTACCCCACCAAGAACCATACTGAGACAGGCAGCGACATTGGCTGCTCTCGCAGCACCCACTGTATTCCTTGATCCAAGCAAGTTTCCCACCCTCGCAGACGTGGCGACACCTACTCCAAAGGGGATCGTGTTCAGTACTTGATCGGCAGTCATAATGACGCTCTGGGCAGCGAGCGGGATGGTCCCTAGGCGGCCTGCGGCAAGGGCGACGATTTCAAAGGCCCACCATTCGGTGCCGACATGGACGATGCCGAGAAATGCAAGGCGGGCAAAGGTGCGTAAGTTCTGGAGGGCCTCTCTTGTCCATCCACCCCAGCATTCAGAACCGGCAATGAAGCGCGCATACAGAACCAACAGGGCGAATGAGAGCCAGTACGAGATGCCGAGGGCAAATGGGGCACCCAGCAGATCCATGTGAAAAATGTAGCAGAAAAGGTAGGTGAGAAGCGCATTGAGCGGAGAGGTAATCAAAAGGACGTACGTCCCAGGCCGCATGATACCTACAATCATCAGCCAATAGCACGGTGGAACTTGGATCCTGCGCAAACAACAAAAAGCATACCTTGGGCCTGCAGATACTTCTTCATGAGCTCGAAATAGATGTACCCCAGCCCACCGGGAATAAGGCAAGTCAGGAAACGGGCACTGTCCCTGGAGAGATCAGGGTCCTGTCCCAGGGCCAGAAATACCGGCTCTGCACACGCCCAGAGAACGGCAACCGGTAGGTAAAACAAGCTCAGGACGAAGAACCCGCGTTGCAGTAAGATCCCAAGGTCGTGCTTATTCGCACTGCCCGTGAATGATGAAGATGCTAAGGTGTCCACCGCGGTCGTGCCTCCCAACGCAATCATCCACGCCGTGATCATGGCGAACATAAGCGAGAAAGCACTGGTTGCGAGATGCTCAGGGGAGATTCGTCCGACAATTAAAACAGAGATGGTCTGAAGACTGTTCTGAAGAGAGTAGGCCAGTATAACGGGAACACAGCTTTTGAGCAGCCACCAAAACTCGGAGAGAATGGCTCTCCTGTTCTCTTGCTTGTCATCGCATTGGGCTTCCGGAGATATAAAATCCCAGCAGTCCTCGGTGTCAGTCGGCCTGGATAGCAGAGAAGTATACTCGGTGGGATTGTCGTCGGGTGAACCGTCGCGAGAAGTACGCAGAGAGTCATACATCTTGCAGGAATAAAAACAACAACGAGGAGGAAATAGGGGAAGGTTTCCTGCAGTTATATTCTGTCTCTACTCATAAGGTACTCATGTCATACATCACACTCTGTAGCTCATACTTTCCCCAAATAACCGAAGCATCCACGCAAAGCAGCAGATTCCATATACAATGTGGGCCCATCCAGCACACGCAGTAGCTCGTACACCATACCCCACCGATAGCCAAAAATCTGTAAGACCAGGTATCAAAGCCCTCCGAGATCGCAGCTGTCCCATCGCTTATCAGTTCTCAATCTATTTACCCAAACAGGCATAGAGAGTTCCGGGATGAAGTATGAAATGGCGCGTTTCGGGGTCGCTGTTATCGGGTCGCAATCATCGATTTGAATCATTATCATTTCGTGAATAATGGCAATTGAGATTATGAGTGTTGAGAGGAGGAGCTTTGCCGTGGAAATTTTGAGGACTGTGAAGAGGACGAGGAGGGTTGGGCCGATCATTGTGGGAGAGACGGAGATCAGGGCAGTTGCAGTGGTGATATGAGACTGGTGATAATGGGATGGCTAGTGCATTTATAGCTTAAACAGATTATGTTGGGGGCTTTTTAGTCTAGCGGTATATCATCTTATTGGGTTATGCATGAATAATCGTGCTATCGACTGTTTAGAATGTCTATACTATAGCCATACATTATTTCCATTCTCAGGATGCGATAAGAGATATCTCTCTGTCTCATCATTCGGTCTCTATCAATTTCATTGTATCATCTCTCATCATTCCACTTTATAAAAATGGCCCTATATATCCATTTCCACATTTTCAACTCTCTGTTCTCTAGCAGAGAATCTCCCAGAAATGGACGCAGCAGTCCAAGAAAAGAATGCCTTGGACATCACAACAGCCGACCCCGTTGAGCGCAATGGCATCAGAGTCCATCCCCAGCCAACAGCAGACCCTCTCGATCCCCTGAACTGGTCTCGCCTGCAGAAACACACCATCCTCGGTATTGTCATGTTCAAGTATGACTATTCTCTAACTTGCATAAACCACCCCAACTAAGCCCTACAGATACTTCCTCTTCACCTACCTCACAACCACCACCGTGCCTTCATTTCCCGAAATCCAGACACAGTTCGCCATCTCATACTCCCAGGTCAACTGGACCGTTGCAGTCCCAGCCCTGGGTCTGTCAGTAGGCCCGCTCTTCTGGTCTTCGCTCAGCGACATCTACGGCCGGCGCATCGTTTTCGTGACTGGCACATTCATTGCCCTCGTTTCCACAATCGGCGCTGCAGTCGCGGATCGGTATGGAGGGTATATGGCTGCGAGGTTCTTCCAGGGGTTTGGCGTGAGCCCGGCGTCGAGTGTTGGGATGGCCGTTGGTATGGCGTCCCTATACGAACCTATCACCCTAACTAACCAACTTGACAGTGAACGACCTCTTCTTCGACTACGAGCGCGGCGAGAAGCTCGGCCTGTGGGTTCTTGCAATTGATGCAGGATTACTGGTCGGACCAACCTGTGCGTCTCTATCTGTTGAATATCCACAGAAATGCTAATGCTGATGATAGTCGGCGGCTTCCTCAACCTCGTCAGCGCCGCCTGGATCAACTGGTTCAATGCAATCCTCTTCGGCCTCCTCTTCCTGCTCGAGCTCTTCCTCATGCCAGAGACGCTCTACCCGCGCAGCATGATGCTCTCTCTCATGCCAACAGCGGCAACAATCAACCCGGAAAACGAACATAAACAACCCACCCGCACCAAAACCCTCCCCTTCCTCAACATCTCCCCCCTCCCTGCTCTGTCCACTCCACGCCTCACAACAACCCTAACCCGCTTTCTATACACATTCACCCTCCCCACAATCTCCCTCGCCGTCCTGGGCTATGGCTTCCTCTGGTACTGGTGGGTTCTCTCCGTGATCACCATGATCCCAGCCGCGTACCCACAATACACCCCGCTGATCCAAGGCCTGTTGTTCCTCGGATTGCTAGTGGGGACTGTGGTCTCTGAGGTGTGCTGCTCGGGGAGACTGAGTGACTACATCGTGAAGCGCCTAGCGAAACGGAATGGGGGGGTAAGGGTTGCGGAGATGAGGCTTTGGCTGGTTTATCCTGCTGTTTTGGTTACGGCTGGTTCGTTCCTCTCTCTCTCTCTCTCTCTCTCTCTCTTACTATTTTATAATTCGGATAACTAACATGCCGTGCTTCATCCAGTTGGTTTGGTTCTATTCGGGGTCAGTATAGATAACTCCTACCACTGGATGGTCGGGCAGGTTGCCTTTTTCCTCTGTATGTTTCTTTATCATATTAACTATCCTTTCCTTCTAACAGCAACAGTCGCAGCCGGAATCCAGGTCGGCAATACTGTGGTATCGAGCTATATCATCGACTGTTACCCGCTGCAGTCGACGAGTGTGGTCATTTTCTACGCGGTGTTTCTGAACTTGAGCGCGTTTATTAATCCTGTAATTCCCTTCTCTCATTTTTCTTTCTATTTGGTAGAGCTGGACTAATGTTGGCAGTTCTTTATAACGCCGTGGCAGGAATCCGTTGGGTGGACGTGGACTTTCACGGCGCAGGCGTTGGTTGTGGTTATTCCTGGGTCGATGCTCTTTGCGGGCCTGCAGCTCTACGGGGCAACTTTGCGGGCAACGGCACCGATGCCATCGTGGGTGAATCCCGAGTTTGACGCCATCTAGAAGCATGTATCCTGCGCAAAGATATGTGCATTGAGTATACCAAGTCTAGTCTATATTTACAGCCCTAAGAATAAGAAGCAAAAGCCAAATCCGGGATATCTTGCATCGCCGTCCAACGCCAAACTCCTCGCCACTCCCCCGTTTTGTAGATATGCTGCGATCTGATCGTACCAAGTCCTAGCGGTGACGATGCCCGTGAGTGTGATGTTCACACTTGTGGGCGGCGCCGCGCTTCCTCTGTCGACTTGATCAAACGGCCAATCGTCGCTGCTCTGCTCGACCTGGCGAGCTCTGAATAATAACGAAACCCCTTCTCTTGATTGTACTACATCTTCCCATGCAGCTTTAGTCGGTAGATACACGTCTCGTTCCCGCCCCAGTTTGAATTCACCCGGAAAACAACCTTGTCCACTCGAATCTCATCGGAATCAATAACCGCAGTCACCGGGAACCTCTGGATGTTATTCGACTCGTTGATATCGTATCTCCATTTACCAACTCGGTAGAAGTCCTCCCCCAAGAGCTTGTCGTCGGAAAATGCCTCATCAGGCTCGCCGCGCCACGCAATCCGAAGCGCCTCCATGACAGGCCCATGCAGTATTCTTCTATCAGACGGCAGAGCATCCTGTCCTGCAACGTTCTGCGGGTTCCCCCGGAGAAAAGAAGAAACGGACCAACGGTAGGGCCGCGCACCCTTGCCAACATATCGATATCGCGCCCATAGCTCCATTTCCTGGGGAGCAACTCCCGGCCTAATCGTCGCGGCTTTCGGCAAGTGCTCGACAACCACGTCTTCTGGGATGATTCGCTGCCCCAGAAGAATTGCAAGCTGCGACATGCCTTTACGTGGCGCACTGCACCAGCACTCTCCGAAGTCCTCCCACGGAGTCAAAGCTGCAAGAGGTGGTTGTGGTTGCATATGTTTATCGCCCGCGAGCCACATATAGAACCGTTGGAACGACGTCAGTTGGCGCCCAACGGTGGGGCTCGTCATATATGGGTCGATAATCACGCCATGGCCCATCGAGAGGAAGTTCGTCTTAGCCAAGTCCTGACGGCCATTGCTTGGATACTGAAACACCGTTGTTGGCGCGGGTACATTGCTAATCTCCGCCTTAAATGACCTCACGTCCCTTGATAAAGACGATACCTGCGATCCCAAATGGACCACTCGGTTGGATAGCGCGTCCAGATCAGTGTTATTGAAAGCACCGTTGGAAGGAAAGAGTGGGCGATTATATATCATGGGGCCGAAAATGTAGAACGCAACAAATATAAATGCCACCACAAGAAATCGGAGAGACCAATCCACAAAGACGTCTTGCTGGCCAGGATGCTCTTGCTGGTCAGGATGCTCCCATCTCATTTGAGGCCTCCGAGGTCTCTCATCTTGATGTTCTTCAGGTTGCGGCTCCACGTAGGAGTGATCCGGAATGATGGTTCTGGCCGGAGCTTCATGAATAGATTGCTCGACCGACGCAGAACGCGAGGGATAATGATACGTGGGTTCGTCTTCTTCCTCAATAGTATTCTGTGCGAAAGCAAGCCCCGAGAATCGTCGTGGTGGCGCGGTGATATTTGACCGCGTCCGTCTAAGGTCGTCATCATGGATATCCCTCTCGACGTTGTAAGAGATGACAGAAGAATTGTCTCCGTGCATGTGAGAGTCGAAGGGAACAGGAACCTGGGTCGGCGAGGCTTCTCGCTGCATGATACGAGGATAGAGCTGCGCCGCAATGACTTCGCGAGGTGGGCTCCCATCAGAGGAGAATGAGTGGCGAGTAGGCGTCGATGGTGCTGCTGACGAAGCCTCATTCAATGAAGCCTGCAATTGCACCTCGTCAGGTGTCGGTTGTCGTCGAGGCCTCCGTGGGGGAGGTGTGCTCTCGGCACTTGATTTTCTGCGCCGCTGCGAGCTCACACTGGGACTGTTACTGCTGACTTCTCGCTCTTTGGCGGTTTGGACGGCGTCTTCAATGGAGTCGGCCATTTCCGCCAAATTCTGATGCGGCTTTGCAGCTAGCATATGCGGGAGAAGCGGAGTCGAGGAGGAACCATAGGCGAAGGATTGCTTTGTAGGAATATTAGGTAAAACAGAGCCTCCCAGACCGGCATCCAACCTCGTAGAGCGGCGGCTAGGACTGCCAGACGAGGCCACGGCCCCGGCACGCCTGTTAGCAGCTTTCTTGGGTGGCATTTAAATGCTTCCACCTAGGGAAAGATAGGATAATAGACAGGTATCTCCTACATCATAAATCAGCGCAATCCAAACCAGACATCCCGACAAAGGTAGATCCACATACAGTTTGAGAATGATCAACTGCTATCGAAGCAGGTTGCCAATAAGATTGGGGATATAGGTGTAAAGCTCGAAAATAAAACAAGTAGCTGTAGCAATCTGGAGCGAGAGCGCGAAAGGAAATATTCAAATAATTATGCTCCAAAAGACGAGGCAACACTGCGACTTGAGTAACACCAAGGTCGTTTGCGCGATGGCTGGAAAAGGTGAAAGAACCGCCCGGCTGGTCCAGACAAGGCAGCCGCCACCACCCCAAGTTGCTTTGTTCTGCGCCGGAAAGCAAAGATGACAAAAGCGAAGAAAGAGAACCAAAGCGTTATCCAGGAAGGGCCGAGTCGCAGAACGCAATTGGCGGCGTCGTTGAAAGAACAGCCGGCCGACTCGTCTCTTAATTGACGGGATGGATAACACGGCGCGCGGGAGCTAGACGCGCCAGCCCGTGTAGACATACAATTAACGGCCGTTATATATGATAATGTATGCAATGTCTCATCGCGCAGCAATTGAGACGCGTTTAGATAGGATGCCAGCGTTGGGTGGTGCGCTGCTAGAGAAGATGATGTGCGCAGAGAGGAAGAAATGAAGGTGGAATGTATGGGGAAACACGTATACCCGATCGGGTAAAGCTTGATTCTGCGAAGCTCTGGATGAATGACGATGACAATAAAGACACTCCCAAAGTAACTATCGCCTGCTTTATGCCCTTCGTGCTATTTTTACTCCAGAAACAGGTCGATTCAAAATTTAAATCTTTGTCATTCCAGTTTCAAGAGAGAATAATGTTGAACAACGAATTTACAGTCCGACCGTAAGACAGCCATCCCACCCTCTTCTATCGTACTCCAAAAATAAAATGCTTAATATACAATATACAGGTGCCTATGTAAAGACAATCGCTGACTAGGGACATAATAATGACATGTACGTGGCCAGTTGACTGCGTTCAACCGGGTCATATACGCGTGACCTAACAAGTCCAGGCCGAAACGATTCCGTCCTTGCGGCCTTCAATAAGGAATCCATCCTTGAGTCGGACACGCTCGACAGTTGCAGGGCCTGGTACCGATTCATCCGCACCAACTCCGGCACCGCAATCCCAGTGGTGACCATCGGCCTTGTCGTAGACCTTGACGACGTCCTCCCCAGCGGCGGCTGCAATCCGTTTTGTGTCAAACATCATGCTGGTGATTGGCTTATCGTAACCATAGGCATCGTAAATCGATCCCATACGAAGATCCCATATCTATATCAAGTTAGTATACCGCAGAATGGAATAGAAAAGGCGGGGGCACATACTCTGATACTGCGATCCATGCTTCCTGTCACCAAGTGTACATCATCAAACTGCAGACACGTTACGGGGCCAGTGTGTCCTACTAGGCTTCGGTGGACTTGCCCGCTGCGCAAATCCCACAGCCGGACCATACCATCAGCAGTACCACAAGCTAGGGCAGCATCAAAGCATTGCACGGCACCCACAAAATCGGCAGAAGCATCCGGTAAACGTCCAGATGGACGCCATTGTGACTCACTTCCGATTGAAGATGCCTGAGCAGCAGCCCAAAGAACATCCAGTGTCTGCACGCAGCGGCCCTTCACCAGATCCCATTGTCGCAGTGTCTTGTCGGCAGATCCGGATACTAATGTATTTCCCTTGAAGTGCAATGCCGTCACTTCACCCACATGGGCATCCAAGGAGTATACATGACAATCTTCCAAAGAGGTTGATTGGGACACGACCGTAGCATCGTCGGCATCGTCTCCCTCGCCGTTGCCGTTGACGCGGTTATCTTTGTGAGCAGTCCGGGCACGGCTCAAGTCCCAGAGCTTCACAGAAGCATCCATGGAACCGGTTGCGACAACATTGTCCTCAATCTGAAGGCACCTGACCGAGGCATTGTGTCCTTCCAAGAATCCTGTACAGCGGCCGACGTTGAGATCCCAAACCCGAACAGTGTCGTCCAATGCGGCCGTGATCATGGTGCCAAACGGATAGTCGAAATCAATAGCTGTGACGACATCGTTATGCGCTTGCATTTCCTTTATTTCAGAACCCGGTGCAAAATGCTCGTGCAGAACCGGCATGGATCGTTTCCCTATAATCAATTAGCCGTTACTCCTGACCTAAATATCACAATTTCATACGTATTGATCGATGTTTCAAGCTCCGCGGTGAGGGTATTTTCTGGTATATTGATTCCGACATGAACGACGCATCCATGGCCTGGTCCTCTGAAGAAGAAGGTTCTTCATTGCCCTCGGACGCTGGTGTGGGAGCCTCGTTTTGTGCAGTCTGGTCAGACCCCTCTCCCATATCCTCCAATTTATTTTCAATCTCATTAACTGTAACCGAGTCAGCTAGATTACCCAAAACTAGTAGATGTATAACGCACCTTCATGTTCAAGTTCGGCCTCTTCCATCTCCAGCCCAGCCAAGCGGTCCAAGACGATTTGGCGCATTCGATGAAAGTTCGCAATCTTATTGTCAATGTCAAGAATCTCCGAGCTGCACATGTTCTTCCGAACGCCCATTAACTCCATCCGTCGATTCAGCAGGTCCCGCTCCTTTCTCATATCACTCGAAGTAGACGGAAGGGCCTGCTTGTCCCCCTCCTTATCTTTCAACAGCTTCTTCGACTTCGATCGCCCCCTGCGATGTGTCTTCCTATATTCCTGGTCATCCTGCGAGACCTGAAATCCTTGGAAGAGCGAGTAGCTGCTAGAGTCGTCAGGGATGTTCTCAAGGAGGTCGTCGGGGAGAGAGGAGAGGGCGCGAGACTGGATTTCGGCAGTCGACAATTTGGAGCGAACGAGATCGGTCGGGGTCGTTCGTGTGAGGGCGAATACTTTGCGCTGTGTACCGGGGCGTCGCAGCTCGCGCTGGATATCAGCCATGGCGTTTTGAAGATGGGGGTTGTTGGTCGGGTCGCCGGAGGGGCCCATCAAGTGCCCAGCAGTTGATGTGACCTTTCTCCCGAAGGCCTCGATGTGCCGAGACTGTTCAAGCATTGTTAGTTAGCGATACTCTCGCGAAGTCTCAGAGGCGAGTAGAGAGGGAGGAGAGGGGGAGGTACGGTAATGCCGGTTCCCAGGAGCCCATCACGCTCGACAATGTCTGATAGACCGGAGGGAGAGTCATCGCGGCGGTGCTTGTCCATGGCACGGACGAGAGTAATCCTCTAAGGCCAAATAGACATACGGCTTTGGAAGCAAGATTGGCGAAAGACAGGAGCGCGTGGGTAGTTTGGGTCGCTTGAGGAAGTTCTAAAGCTGCACGCGACGTTTACCGCGGCGCCGGATCCCTACAATTCGAAATGTGATTTTGCCGTTCCATACCGCAGACAACCGCTCCAGCAGGTCATTTGCACTTTCGGCCAACATTTATTTATTATTTTAATTTCCTTATCAGCTAGAATGTCTTTAATTCATGATAAATAAATTAAGGCTCGTGACTTGCTTTGATATTGTGGTCGTGGAAACGCAAGCCTGGCAGACCCGTCGACGGAGCTCATCGTTTGCACAGTAAGGATTCTATCCTGCTGAAGCAGGAACGGCGACCGGACATTGCTAGAGATATAGCACGGAGCCCGTTGTAACCTAGACGTCAAACTCAAGACCACCACGGGGCCGCGTCGTACAGCTGTGCGAGTAATGCCCCTGGTGGATACACTCTCCCATCTTCCGGGTTCCCGATCGCCAGCAGGAGCTCTTGACGAAGATCGACCACTTTTGATCCATAATTCATTCTCCGGTGTTGACACTTCCCAAGGGACTGTCTCCAGCGGCCGTCATGAGAATCTCATATACCGCGTTCTTCTCAGACGTACTCACTATAACCATGCGAGCTAGGTCCGCTGGCGTTTTGCCCCGGTATACATTGTGCGAAATTGTAGCCCTTGGGTCACTTCCTGCCTCTAACAAATGCCTAACCACTTGTCCCTGGAGATTGTACGCCGCGTGATGCAGCGCAGTCCATCCGTTGGCACTGCTAGCATTCGGGTCCGCTCCAGCCTTAAGCAATCTCTTGACCACTCCCTCGTGTCCAGCTCGCACCGCAAGAATCAGTGGTGTACTGCCATTAGCTGTCATGATATCAACAACCGCTCCCTGGCACAGCAGGAGGTCAACGACGCTGAGGCTTCCGTGCTCTGCAGCCCAGGAGAGTGCCGTTCGGCCATGCTGGTCCTGTGCCTCTACCGCAGCTCCATGGTCGAGAAATAGCCTGACGGTTTCGTCGTGACCGTTCAAAGCGGCCAATAGCAAAGGTGTCTTCCCATCCATATCTTTTGCTTCACGGTCCGCGCCCCGCTCAAGTAATAACTTGGCTGCTTCTGTTTGTCCGTAGCAAGCTGCGAATGCCAATCCGGTTCGATCATACTGGCCTCTTGTCTCGAGATCAAGCCCGTGGTCAACGACGGTGAGCAGCTGCTTCATAACACCCAAGTGTCCTCGCGTGGCAGCTATTGTCAGCGGCGTCTCTCCAGTTATATCCGTCACTTCGGTATATGGCCCTGCCCTCAATGAGTTTGCAGCTGCGCCATCGATACCGCGCTGGGCCGCCCAGAACAACACTGAGCGGTTGCGGTGTTTCAGGTTATACTGATAGAGGGACACATTGAACGTATTATAAAGGTAGGAACAGGTGCGGATGAGGGCGTTGGTGTCGCGTTGAGATTCTTGATGGTCTATAATCAGTTGCACTAGCTCGATCGGTAAGTTTAAGAGCTGTGTCATTTCGATAAAAGGGCCAGTGAGTTGAAAGTGTTCGTCCTTGAGGAGGGTGAAGATGGCGGCACGAATCAGACCTGATACTAGTAACTCGTAGCGCTTGAACTAGGCAGTGCTTGTTGCCTTGCAGGCGAATGGCCATCGATCAAAGCTTCCTCTTCAAAATCATTTATGGCTTCCCTCAACTCACATAAACTTGTGAGATATCTCGTCAATGACCCTGAAGACACCACGCTTGTTTTTCTGTGGGAATCCGCGGTTTCACCAGAGCCCAGAGCACAAAGTTGCACAGAAATTTTGGCATCCTCTTAGAATTGTACAGGTGGTTCAGAGGTCCACTTCAGCACCAAACGGCGGCTGAATGCATGATACATTGCATGAAGGGATGAACAGGACTTAGTTCCAAACCCAGCCCGGTAGCAGGTCCCCTCATTGACAACAAACAGAAAAATCCCTACAATATTGGATTCATTATTGCCTCCGCTCCCTTTTCGGGCCCAGATAGTCGGTATTGCTTTTTTCAGTCGGGGACGTCACCTTTCAGACTGCCAGGTGGTATTGGCGTCGGCTCGTTGTTCCTGGGAGAATAAAGCCAGACCCGCCCCGCAGCTCAACCAAAATGCTCTTCCCCCGAATCTCACCCTTCCTCGTCCTGCCAGCTTTGATATCTCCGCTCCATCCCAATAAATAGACACTGCCTCACACTATGGATACAGCAATTGACCTCTCGGATGCCTCAAAAGCCCTGGACCTCGCCAACATCCGCTTCCAACTCATGTAAGGCCGCAGCGACATCGGAGTCGCATACCCCGCAAAAATCCCCTCCATTCTCTACGGCCCAAAGGCAACAGCCCGAATCTCGCAAAGCAAAGTAAAGCGAAACTAACGATGAAAAAAATAAACAAAACAGCCGGTTGGAAGATACAATAACCTTCCATTTAATCGAGCGTGTTCAGTTCCCCCTAAACCCGACAATATACGCCCCCGGCGGCGTCTCAATCCCAGATGAACATATCAGCCTTATGGACTACCTCCTCCGCGAGCAAGAACGCCTGCAGTCCCGCGTCCGCCGCTTCGAGTCCCCCGACGAGTATCCTTTCTTCCCATCCGCCCTCGAAAAGCCAATTCTCCAACCCCTCTCTTACCCCAGGATCCTGCACGACAACGACGTGAGCGTGAACGAGGTAATCAAGCAGCGCTACGTCGAGAACATTCTCCCCGCGGTGTGCACAAGGTTTGGCGACCGGGGTGACCGGGGCGAAAAGCAAGAGAACTACGGGTCTGCGGCGACGTGCGATGTGAGCTGTTTGCAGGCGCTGTCGCGGCGTATTCACTTTGGGAAGTTTGTTGCGGAGTCGAAGTTCCAGAAGGAGACGGAGAGGTTTGTGGCGCTGATTAAGGCTGAAGATCGCAAGGGCATTGATGAGGCGATTACGGATGCGAAGGTTGAGCAGAAGGTACTTGAGAGGCTGGCGCTCAAGGCGAAGACTTATGGCACGGATCCTGGGTTCCCTGATCAGTCGGGGGCGAAGATTGATGTTAATGCTGTCCAGGCCATGTACAAGGTAAGCACTCGTCGCCGTTTATTCAGTTGTGGAATGAAACTAACGAGAATAGGAATATGTCATTCCTTTGACCAAAGTCGTGGAGGTAGAGTATCTGATGCAGCGCTTGAAGGGTACACAATGGGAGTAAACTCTCCCCCTTGCGCATAGTCCGTTATGCAGTAACGACACATAGATATTTTTAGTTCGGGGGGGGAAAAAAATAGACAACTTTTATATTGCTCTATCATGGCCACATTAATCTATAAATCATACCATAAAACGTCAATTATGCCGGCGGCTTGTAGCCCTCCGCCATATCCTTCACCGCACCGTCCAGCTTCCCAGCCTCGAAAAGCATTAAACTACCCTTCGTCAGAATTCCCAACTCCTGGAACGCCCGCTTCGAATCCGAGTGTCCCTCATCATGCTTATGCAACCAGTCATACCCACCCGTACATAGAGCATGGCGCTCCAGCACCTCATCCTCAGGGTGGAAAAAGAACCTCTGTCCCTTCTCAGCGGCGGCCTTCTTCTTCTTCTTCTGTGGCCGCGACTCCTCCGCATCCAGCTTCGACTCAACCTCCTCGTAGTTCTTGGACACGATCAGGTAGTGCGAGAAGTTACATGGCTTCTTCTCCTCAATCGACTGGGCGATTTCCTCCTGCAGCATGCCGTACATCGGCGGGATGACCTCGACCGGCATGTTGATGAGACGCTCCGTGAGGATGAGTCCGATCGGCGGGATGGGTGTTTTGGAGAGAAGTTCGGCGAGGGGGGCTAGGGAGGGTGTGCTGCTGGCTCTTCGTTTCAGGTAGGCGGTTAGACCTTTAACGCCGGGGTTTTCCTATCCAATCCAGTCAGCTATCCTGTCTGGGAATCAAGTACCGTATCTAGATTGTAAACGTACACTATGCTCTTGCAGGTTCAGCACGGTCAAAAACGCATACGGGTCCGACTCCTTCCCATCTGTCTTCACCGTTGAGCCAAGATGAGGCTGTGAGATAATCAGGTCAGACAAGGCAGAGAGGTCGATGTCCTGAGCATCAACGTCGAACAGTTGGCGGATGAGGTTCTTGAGGCCGTGGAAATCGATCTCTTGGAAGTCGAACCATTCGAAATCAACGTTGACTATCTCCATGTCCTCGTCTGAGGAGTCGCCGTCGACGTTGGGATCTGTGCCGCCCATAGCGACGTCGCCGTCCTTGATTTGCTTGCGCTTGCCCATTGTGATTGTGCTGTTTGCGGGGTTGGTGGGTGGTGGGTGGTGTGGAAGGTTGACTTCGAAGTGAGGGGAATCGATAAAAATTATTGCTCCAGCTCCGGAATTGTCTTTCCTGATTGGGTGCAGATCCGTCAATCTTCCACTGTGAATAAATAATCTTGACGACATCGCTATTCTTCCACAGTTTCTCAATTGGAAGAAAATAATATATATATTAAATATGCGGAGTTTCTACCTCTCGATATTTTCCCGTCATATTTTGCAACCACGGTGACCTCTGGTTTTTGAAATGGCCAACATCCATTGGTCTATATATAGTACTAATTGGTATACCACTCTCGCGGTTGTTTTCTAAATAATTCAGGCAAAAGCCAGTCCGGACTATTCTTACATATCTTTCTTGATCGAAACTGATGGAACACAACCCATTGACTGATATCTCATAGTAGGATTAATACAAACTCCTCTATATCACCATCTATACCCAACCATCGAAAATAGCCAGTCTACACATCCTTCTCCACCTCTTCAACAGTAGGCACCTTATCCAACTTGACCCCATAAAACTCCGCAACAGTTTTCACACACTCAGTCACAATCTTCACATCCTCAATGGGAACACCCAACCGCCTAGTCCCACGAATATGCCAATGCGTCTCATTCGGCAGATTCTGGCTCATAATCGCCGGGAGCACAACCATCTGCGTATCCAAATCATCCAGGACCTGGCGATCACTCAAAAACAGCCCATACGTAATCTCCATACTCAGCCACGAGAAGTCCTTGTGAGCCGCAAACAGATCCAGCGTCGCCCCGCTATTGCGCGCATAGAGCTTGCTGAACCAGTCGACCCCGCGCTGGTGGTTCGCCGCGTCACAAGCCCAGTCCTCCCGTGTTGGCGCGGAGAAGTCCTTATCTTCTTCCTTTTCGACCTTGGACAGGGATAGGATTGCTTCGATGGGCTTGCAGACGCCGACGATTATGACAGATTTAAAGAGTGCTTCGCGGATGCGGCGGACTAGTTGTTTGCGTGCCTCGGAGGTGCTATATGCTGGCTGCGAGGTTAGGTAGAGGTAGAGCTGGTCTGCGCGTTCGGGGTCTGGGCTTGCGGCGAGGGTGGCTGTTGCGAGGATGTGCCATTTTTCGGCAGGGATGGAGGTTGCCTGTGCGAAGCGGGATTCGAGAGTTTGGAAGAGGGTTTGGTAGCGGGGGTCTAGTGAAGGGGTAGCCATTGTGGATAAATTTCGTGGGAAGAGCTGGTTCCGGCCTTTGTGAAGCTTGGGAGGTGTGTGTTGCCGGAGTGGGGGATTCAGAGGCCTTTTGAGGGCGAGGGATAGCGTGTCGGTGAGAACGTGATGGAGCTGCCGATGGAAACGGGGCAGGGGCAGTCGGACCATTGGGGTATCAGCCTCGACTCCTCTGGCTGCTTTGGAGAAACAGCTGGTCCGGAGAGATCCGGTGTAGCCTATCAATTGGAGTAAATTGGAGTCGTGGTATGCAGCTGGAAGAGCCTGGACCAGCTGAAGTGGGATGTCTCATCCTTTCCGGATTTGGCAGCTGGATAGACCATGATCCTTTGTGTCAAAGGCGAAAGAGCAATAATCGCCGTATAAGCACTTAGACTGGTCCGAACATTATAAAGTTGGTAGAGCTTGAGCCAGATGGGCAAATTTTAAGCTTATCGCTGCAGAGATTCTCGAAAAATATATGCGGGGTAGTATAGCTTCATCTAGACAGCAGACAGGCATGAAACCACACGGCGCAACAGTATTTGCAACATCTTAGAATTCTCGAACATCACCCTGCCAAGTACTTATTATTTATCAAAGTCAAAGCCAGTCAGCAACCTGCCACTAGGTCGAGCTCCAAAGCACACGACACCCAAAACGTCATAGAAACATAGCTCTGCCCTGGTCGGCAGCCCCAAGAAACCAGCTTTACGGCATAGGTAACGATCAGATTCCAGCACCGTCGAGAACCATTGATGACATTCTCGCCCGCGGCCAGAAAGCAACACTTAACAAGGTGTTCTCGCTCACGGGCCCCACGTATGATCTCAATGCCTAGAACGTCAACTATGATATAATGACATCACCTCCTCAACGTAACCCTATATAGACGCCCACCAGAAGCGTACCATAGCTCTTCACTTCAACACCCTCTGCATTTATTCCATATTTCATTCGATACCCATTTCCATTCCCATCTACATCTCAAAAAACCTACATACATCAAAACTACGAACATGTCTCACTCAGCTGCCCAATCATCCGTCGGCAAGGGCGCCTTCTACGAAGCTGGCGACCAGCGCAACCTGCCCCAGTCCGCCATCAAGGAGCAGCAGCAATACGAGCAGGGCGAGAAGGGGAGCCATTCCACCCTTGATTCAAGTATGTTCTCGCACCAGCACGAATTTTCAAAGTGGAGAAAGCAAGATCTAACAGCTACTGCTCTATAGAGGACGGACGCTCCATTGCAAACCGACTCGCCGCCCAGAGCAAAGAGGCTGACCCCTCACACCACCACAACCGGGATATCCAGCCCGAGGCTGAACTTAGCAAGCAGGATCCTGAGAAGCCGGTATGTTTGCTTTCACCTGTTCACCTCCAAATATGTAAAAGTTGAAGTGGCTAATAAACTATGCAGGCCAAGCTTCACGGAAACGAGCCATCAAAAGGAGCGAAGATTGACAAAGAGTTGCAAGAAGAAGATGAGCTGCGGTTGAAGGAGAAGGGGATTAAGAAATAGATTGTTCATGACGTGAACTGTACAATATGATATAATGAAGTTTGGATTGCGACGCTAAGTTGTTGCCTTCGATGGTTGGGTTCGTTCTATTATATCCCAGGCTGTAATATGCAAAAGTTCAAAAAAAGAAAAAGAAAAAAAAAACCAAGTATTATGCGATATAGTACAGCTGATATCAGCGGTCGTCGCTCGTAAATATATGTCGTAGAATCGTCAATTCTGCAAATATGTGGTCACTCAATCACGCACTCCATTGGAAGTCGTCGTCATGCGGTTCTGCAAAAACTTCTCCCCAGTACTGCTCGACCTTGCGGCAAGTCTCAACCTTAGACACCCATGTCTGGAATTCAATTCCAGGGTCGCAGCTGATGAATTTAAGCTCTTCCCAATACGCCTTCTCGGCATCATATCCAAACCGCTGAATGGCATCTTCTGGAAAAATCCATGCCCGGCCCAGTGTCCCGTCAGGCCGAACTGTCGGGGCGGTCTCGAACTCCGTTCCCCAGACATTCCCCCCGGGGTTGAATTTGGGATAATTGGCGTGGATGAAAAATATCCTCGGTGCTTCGGCTATGCTAGGGTCAACGACCCGTAGTAGTCCCTTGCTAACCAAATCGTGGTCTTGGATTGGATCAGACTGGGCCATGGCAGAGCCAGACATCCCGTCCGGTGCGGGATGGCCAATCGCTTGAACTCTCTCGCTGACAGCATAAAAGGATTCGCCAAGGGCGGAGGCAGCTTGCAGGAAGGTTTCTTTGTCCCCCTCACCCGGTGCACCTTGCGACAACAGCCGGAAATAGTGGGTTGGGCCGTAGTAGTTATAGTAGGCAGACAGTAGCAGTGTCCGCAAATGAGATTTCTTGGAAATAACGAAAGCACCGGCCTCGGTTGCCTGCCGAGCGTCCATCGGGGGTTCTTCCTGTTTCGAGATTCGGAAGTAGAGAGGCGATACTGTTGTTTCCCAAAAGTCAGGCCAGGTGATCAAGCCCGTCGATTTGAACGCCTCCGAATCAAGAAGCAGCTCAGGCTTGTGGAGAGGAAAGCAGTCCGCGTCCATCCAAACCACTTCCTCGAAAGAAGATAAAAGCACGGCGAAAACCTTGAGCTGGTAATGCTCTATGAAGTCCTTCTTCATCACGTCGGCAAGTATAAGACACCGTGCGTTCAGCTTCGGGAGGACTTCGTCGCAGATGCTCTTCTCATGCTCGCTGGCATCTTTCATATAAACCTCCACCGGGAGTTCCGACCCGGTACGTCGTAGCATCCGCAGGGTAGCAAGGAAGACAGGAAGGTATTGACCACCGGCAGTGGAGACTATACCGCGGGTACCAGGAGCATGGACTGGACGAACCTTCTTCATATCTGCGATATCATCCAAGAAATGTGAATGAGCATCCTGCATCGCTACCACGTTGGGTTCGTCCATGAACGTCAAGTCAGGCCGGATTTCAGCAGTGGTCACATTGAAGTGAGTAGCTTCAACATCCTGATCATGCAGGGGCGACGGGCAATTCGGTGAGTGCGCTTCTAGTATCGGCTTGAAGGCCTTCCAAAACACACTTTGGCGTTCGGGCAGAGGCACTTCGAAGGCGGTGTTAGGGACCACCACCGAGGCAGGCGCTGGAGTCCAATTGATCTTGAAGACAGTGGCAACAAGGAACAACGCAGCGACTGTGGACAGGACCGTCCTCAGCCGACTGCGGCGGATAACGGGCATGACTATGATGTTGGTGGTGGCAAGAGTCGCATGGTAGCTGGCTTTGATTATTACAGCGGCAATCACGCTTCGGCGGCGCAGCCAATATTCAAAATAAATTGGGCAGCTCTAGATCACCGGCCTCGACACGTTTCTTGGAAATCAAAAGTCTCAATCTGCAGCAGTCAGAGTTCCACGAAGAAATCAAAGTCCACGCAATTTCTCAGCACTTTGTAACAAGAACCCCAAGACGGCAAGCGGTGGCAAAACCCCTGAAACTTAGCTCGGGGCCAAGAGCGGAAGGCGCAATGCAGATCACCTCGGCGTCTGCTGAATAATCAGCCACGTTGTGCATCGTGCACCAAGCACGCGGTCTGCCACAACGTCGACCCCTTGACAGTCGACAATCGAATAGAATGACTGAAGACCCGGCAGATCGTTGCCGCTGGTGATCTACTCTCAGCGGATTCAAAGACAGACAGGACGATCGGCACGCAGACTTTGGTTGAACTCCGAGTTTCCGATCGCCCGGGTTGAATAACTTGCCTCGACTGTCCCGACAGACTAACCGGGCTGGTCTGTGGTGGCGGAACCTGCCGCCAAACAGGGCCCTTATCGCCATTCTGCCTGCTAAAGACGTCGCCGTATTGCGGGTTTTTGGATACGCTTAACAATCTTCCTGGGCGATACCGAAAAAAGTCTCCTCGCCGGAGAATTATGAACTTTATCCGTATTATACCTGGCACCGCGGCGCCATTCTTCCAATCCTCCCCTTCTCCTTCTTTCTTCCCCTCTTCCTTCGGCCCCTCTCCTTGCCTCTAAGAACTACTTCTTCGCCCTGCCCGGTTCGTGAGTTTCTGTTTTCATTCTCAATCCATGGACCCCCACAGCGCGGATCACCTCCGCATCGTCCCCTATCCCCGATAATACTCGGCAATTAGCGCAGCACGGACTGCCGGTCAGACTTAACTCCTCAGCGGCAGAGAATGTCGCAGGCTGTCCAAGCCAAAGTACAGAAACCTCCGCCCCCATCGGCGCCTGCCCGTAAAAGGCGGAAGAGAACTGTCGTGAGTGGTGCGGCCGACGATTGCTTCACCTGCGCCCGCAGTGGCTCGTCGTGTGACCGCCGCCGCCCGTACTGCTCGCAGTGCCTACAATATGGGGTCGAGTGCTTGGGATACAAGACCACGTTGACATGGGGCGTTGGAGTTGCAAGCCGCGGGAAATTTCGAGGATTGTCTCTACCAGTGAGTGGCGCACAGCCGGCGGCTGCTGGGAAGGAGAAGCCTCGTCGTGGACCAGAATGTCAAAGGCCGCAACCGCCAAATAGTACGACAACCGTCCAGGACTCCCAGTCTTATGCCCAGCCTTCTCCGATCTCTAATGGGGCGCATGAGTCTGCTCCCCCGACAGAAGTACTGTCCCCTCAATTTCAACCGGTGTTCTGGAGACAACCAAGCCCGGCAAATTATCCATCTCATCCGCCGACACACACATCGACGGATTCATCAACAGATGTGGAATCAGTCTCTGCGCCTGGGAGCTGGACGGGATCATGGTCCCCGTCATTTCCCTCGCCACCAACAGCAGCGTGGTCATGTTCGTCCACCGAAGACAAGGAAACGGACGAGGCGATTGCAGAGGCGAGACGACGTAGCTCCTGCTACCATCCCGCGGCAAACCACTCGCCATCGTTATCTCAATTGCTTCTCGCACGGTCCGTTGGGCGAACCCCCCGCCTTCGATACTTAATTAGCTATTATGCAGAAGTCATTGCTCCGGTGATTGTGGCTTTTGATAGCCCAACAAATCCCTTCCGTACTTCCGTCTTGCGTATGGCGCAGGTTAGTACGTCTCTTCAAGAGGCGATTGCCACCTTGTCTACCAGCAACCTGCGACAGAGACGTGAACGGGGAACCTTCTCAACGGGGCGGACGGAACCTGCGCGGATGTCTTCCCTAGCGCATCGAGCTTTAACTGATGCATCGATGCAGGAAGGCTCCGACCCTTCCGTCCCGGACGGGTTTGCTTTGGAGGAGCAATATCATCGTGCTATGGCGGTCAAGGAACTGAACAGGGAGCTGGCTGACCCGCACAGGAGGCTCTCGGACTCAGTCCTCGCCACCTTGTTAATACTATGCTTGTTTCATGGTTGTGACACCGGGGTTGGTCAGTTCAAAACCCAGTTTGCTGGGGTGACCAAGCTGCTCGCGATCCGGTTGCGCTCCTCCCCGTATCCGTCGGACGAACTGAGATGGTTCATCCGTATGTTTTCATGGTACGACACCATGACGGCGACAACCAACGACCGTGAGATTCAACTGCATAACAAGTATATTGACCTCACTGCCACCGCTGGTGATGAATGGGGCCTCGAGAACCTTGCTGGGTGTGATGCTGATTTGTTCAAAATCATTTCACACCTGGGTCGGTTGAATCTCCTCAGCCAGAGCCAGGAAAATAGCACACAACCTTCACCGCACGTCTTTATCTCTACCTCAGTCCCGCCGCCGTCAATGGCGTACTACACTCCCGATGCGCTCCTCTCAAGGGTCCCGACGCAAAGTGATCCGTTTGTTTTCCCTTTGCCGACCCTGCCGCGACCCGGCGACCAGACCACGCAGCCTCGGTCTCCAGCTTTCTTGGCGGAGTGGTATTCCGTCAGACAGCAATTAGAGGCGTGGCGGTTTCCACAAGACAGAGTCGACCAAGGGTCTGCAACCGGTGTTATCCCCCCATCGATGCACGCGTACATCTCACCACCCTCCTCACCGCTCTGCCAGTCGGGTGTTGCTCCTCAAAACGTGGAGGACGTCTTCCACATATCTGAAACATTCCGGCACTCAGCTCTCCTCTACAGCGAGCGCCTCGCATACCCGGATCTAGCCTCGTCGCACCCTCGCATCCAGCAGATTGTGCAGCGCTCAATATCACATATTGTAGCAGTCAAGTCCGACGTCTACCTGCTGTGGCCTCTATTCATCACCGGCTCAGAGTGTGTTTTCGAAGAACATCGTAGAATCATCCAAGAGCGCTGCCAGGATATCTCCAAGGACTCGGGTTTCTGCAACAATCTTTCATGTCTAGAGCTGTTGCAGAAAATCTGGGCGGACACTACTGCTGAAATGAACGAGAACAGCGCTTACCTCGCATCGCCCGTCTACCCACAGACTTTGCCGCTTGAGGCGCCTTTCAAAGGACCAGGGTTCCGATGGCACCATTTGATGCAGGCTAAGCGAGCAGAAGGAGAATATATGGTGGTGTGACGGTTATGGAAGTTCATGTATAACGAAACAAACTAAAATTAGAAACGGCCGGCTTTGGATATATCTCACTTTAATGAAAAGCCTTTACCACTTTCACTAGATATTCGTAAGATTTGCTAGATCATTGGGTTAAGAGAGTCCAAACAAGAAGCTTCGATACCATCCGGGCAGTAGGTAATCGTCAAATAACCCATGCACTACTAACCCAGGCCCACAACTTCAACTCCAGCTCAACCACCTCGTCAAACCCCCATCCATGACCCAGTGAACAATTAACATCGACACTCCAGTCCACCATCTCTTCCGTCTCACCGAAACCAGTAAAGAAATCTAGCGGTGTCGATTCACTAAAAAAAAAACCAGCCTTGAAACCGACACCGGCCAGGCAAGAAAATCTCTTTCCATTGCAACAACCAAGCAATATTATGCTAGGGGTGACCACGACCAACTTATGGTTCTGCCTGTTGGCTTGTGTTTTTGTTTGTTGGTGTTCATGTATTTATGCATGTCTTACTGTTGGAGCTTATTTATCCTTTGAAGGAAAGTCGGTAATCGATTTACCAAGAGCCAAAAGTCCAGAGTCGAGACTCCAGACTCAGTATATGATTACGTTTGGACTGTACGCATTCTGATGCACTGTACTGTACCGCTCTGCGCTGCACTGCGCTGTGCTGCAGCTGCTCGATATCGGATATCGGAAGGAGCGGTATACAGTATACAGTATACACTGTAGTCCTTCACCCGGCTATCAAGATACTAGATACTACCTTACCGCTAGCTCCAGGGATGAAGAAAACTGCAGTGGGCTGCACTGCACTGCACTGCATGCGGGAGATGAACTTGAAGATGCTAAAAGTTAAGGTTCTCGGCCGGCCTTATCTACAGGATCCGAGCTGGAGAGCTGTCGAGTCCCCCTTACATCGTGCATAAAGTATGAATCTTGAACTGGGTACTCGGTAAGTTGGAAGTACCGGGAGCACTAAGTACTATCCGGTAAGTCTGTGTCTGTGCAGTCGACGTCTGTTTTATGCTTTATGCTTTATGCAAGATGCGATATGCGATATGCAAGATAGCATACTTTAGTTATGAGTGGTGGTGCAACTTAGTCATAGACAATGCGATGCAATAAATCTGGGAAATCAGGCAACTGAATCTAATACCGCAGTTGTACTTTTACTAAGTTCCAGTTGTAAAATTGAACATTTGCCTTTTCCCTTTCAAGAAGAAACCTGTTTTTTTTTTTTTTTTTTTTTTTTTNTTTTTTTTTTTTTTTTTTTTTCTTTTTTTTTTTCGAGGTTGAATAATGAACAACGCATACAACCAAGTACAACCTACTACCCCTCCACCCCTCCTGTCTGTCCCCTCCACAGTCCACACCTCCACTCGTTGCTAGGGCACTGACGCTACGAGAGCCCTAGTAATCTCGAGACGCCCACGAACTAACTTACTAGTGGGAGTGTATGGAGCGGAAAAGGTCTCCAACAATTCTGCACTCGAATACGATCAGCTGTCATTGTTATCATGCTCGTGGGTCTCGAGTCATACGGAGAAAAGCGAGATGGATACGAGTTGGGCTGGAGGGTTAATGGAATCCTGGAATACGGTGTCGACGAAGCGGGGTCCTATCAAGAATGAGAACGAGGGCTAAGCTCCTCAAATACCCAAAGGATGCAGTATCAGTATCACCCATCTTCCATAAAAAGTCATACTATCGAGTAATATCGACAAAAACAAGGCCAAAGGGAAGGAGGAAGAGCGGTCTCCTTGCCGTCCATTCGACTTCAATGCCAACACCCAGATAACAAAGAAAAAATAATCCACCCTTGATACTGAGTGAAGTTCAACCCACCACCACAGCGGTTACTCGGCGTGTCAAGCGCTCATTTGCGGGGATATCGCCGACTCCACTCCGTTGGACAGCACTGCACATGTCGGGGCAGGCTAGTGGGAACCGACCTGCTCTTAGTCTGAGTCTTGGGTAGAACGATAGGGATTAGGGTCAGCCTTGCAGGTGCAGCCAGCAGCGCAGGCGCATAAGGGCCGATTTTCTCGGGAGATACAATCGCTAGCGGTTAGTGTGGTGTGCTTGTACTCGTGTGCATACAACTCGACAACACCGTCGCTGAATACTAGGAGCTAGCGCTGGATGACGCGACCGGCCGAGTCTTTCAGTTCCAGGGTTTGGATGTTGAGTTGTTCGCTGGTTGCATGTTATGTGGGATGGCTGATGGTATGCAAGGCTGAAGAGTGTAAGACGACATGAATAGTTATACCCCGTAATGCTGGTGTAAGCCTTCCAAGCCTTGCATTCATCATTCATCATTCATCATTCATTCCATTCGAGGGCCGAGTATTTGGGTATCCAAACTCGAATTACATCAATTTCTATATTTTACGGGGAGAACATGTTCGTGTCAGGCTCTGTTCTGACCACTCAAACCAGGTAGATGGAGCAAGCCTGGACAACGTGCCAACAAAAGTCCCATGCATGCATTATGTGCTTGGGGGGTAGGGCTCAGGGCAAGGGCTGGATGCACACAAATCCTTCCAGCAGGTGAAACCAGGGATTTTCCTTGCTTCAGGTGCTCATTTCGTTTGGCCGCACGATCGGCGTGAGGCTGGTGGAAGCGAATCCTGCCAATCCAGGGGAAATTACTCTCAGACACACCGTGACGACGAGTCAAGGGTGAATCTTTGGAGCTGAGATGCTCGGAGAGGCGAGGAAAGGGGATGGGAATGCACGAATCACACGACCAGGCATCTCCTGTCCAGAGCCGGAATTGGCAGTCTCGAGCAAAGGCCGGGGGGGAGAAGGTAGAGACGCGATGCAAGAGGTATGTGGAAGAGGCCGCTCGATCGCTCCTTCCCCCTTTGCCAATGAGACACGGCGTCCCGGTAAGTGACAATACAGTACGGTCGTACGGGACAATGAATAAATGAGACGGAATATAAATATCGACAATATTAAATGGCCGCCCATGATTGCGCAGGAAATTGAGAATAAGCAGAGCAAGGGGTGTGAAAACTCTGATGGTGGGCCGTGATCTGGCTAGTTCGTCTCAGTCGCACTCAGTTTCGAGCGCCGAGTCTGTGCTTGTCGCTGCTTGCTAATATATTGGGCCTTTGCGATTCGCAGCTGGTGAACCGTTGGGTCGGAGTTATTCTGTCGGGCCCATTTCCCTGCGATCCGAAGTTCTAGCAGCCCTCGAGCTTTTTTCCATCGTCCTTGCCAATCTCATTGGTGCCGTGTCCCTCGCATCAGAACACCATGTGCGCCATCAGAAGCCTCTTCTCAACCCGAGTGCGAAACGCATGCTTGCTTTTCTGTGCTAGGGGTTACACTTTGCCCTAGAACGGCTGGCCTCGCTGGCAGGCAGCAGTCGCGATCTCTGCCTCCTGAATTTTAATTCAACCGAATGATTCAACTCATCCATGAATCCAGGCACTAGTGACCCCAGTCTTGTCGTATTTCCAACTTGCGGTGACCCGTTGCCCTGTGTGATGGTGTGGTGGGTGCCCAGCAAGTCGGCGGTAAAGCCCATCGCACAGATGGTTGCCCAACAGGAGTTTTTGCCTTTTTACTTTTGCATCGCTGCAGTCGCGGCTTAGCGAGGTCGAGCTTATTTTGCTGGGTCGTTTGATCCACGGAATGCAGCGGATGCATCCGGTAGCCTTCCATGGGACAGACTGGTCGCTCTGGGGACATGACCTCACATCCAGAATCGTCCCTGACGCACATGCAGCCATGCGCCATATGGCCCGGGGCCAGTAATAATAGTGGCCACTCTCCGGACGCTCTGGCTGGCCTTTTCTCGCAGGTCGATCGCCCGCCAATGAAAAAATCGGGCTGTCTCTCGCCACAGCCACACCTCCATACCAATAGGCAGCCGTCTGACGGCAGATTAAACACAAAGAAATCTTGACTCAAGGTGAAATTTTATTTATACACTGCTCAGCCGCCGTCTGGGGCGATGACGGCTCAGCCGGTGACTCACTGCCCGATCCATATACCCTCTCATTCCCACTCTGGTAGGCTCCTGTTTTCCGCGTGTCCAGCTGTGTGAGAAAGCACCAGCGTAACTGGAGGGCAGTGGATGGCCCTGAGTCAAGGCGAGGCGAAGGATAACCTATATCTTGAACCCGTGCCTTGACGGCGAGAGACGTGCCCAACGTGACTCAGACAAATAATCCAGAAAGCAGGAGTATATAAAGCTGCGAAGGCCATGTCGGCAGAACTGCATGAATTAAATGATAATTATTGATAAATCTAAAGTACCAGCTGTCTGGAATAATACGGTAAAACAGCAGCGCTGAAATTTACGGCGCCAATACAGCCCCACCGGCCGCCCGCTTACCGCTGGGGCCCACAGGCTCCAAGACACTCACTGCACTTTTCATACAAAACTGGTTCGCCCTCGCTCGCTCTCTTTTAGTCTGAGTCTTCTCCCCTTGCCATCCAACTAAGCTACACCATCGCCCATCTTGGGTTCACATCCAATCTCGCTCTTTTCGCCACTGTCGCCAGCTCTCCTGGGTTCACTCGGCTTCCCCAGGATTTGTCACTCTCGTCCCATTTGGTCTTCAGGAGTCGCCTGGAAGATCCTCGGTCCTTCGCCGTCATTCTCTGCTGAGACTCAGCCTGTTTGCTCGATTTCAACTCAACGCTCGGGTGTCCGACATCGTTCAAATGCACCCTTCGCACATCACAAGCTTTCAATCCTCCTCTCCCCTCAAAGCCGTGCCACGGTGACGCCCCCGTCGTTGATATCTCGATTTCGTTGTCCTTTTGATCGGCGTCGATCGGGTTTTTCTGGACGATATCCTGTACAATATACTGGGTTGTGATTTTTTGCCTGCTCTTTGATATTTCTTTTCTGGTTTGTTAGCTTGTTCTGTTGTTTGGTTAATCGGTAATTGGGCTCTCAAAAGTTGTCGATTTCTTCGGTCTGCTTTGATATATTGCATTTTCGACTATCACACACACCCCCCGTGACTCGGCTCTTATATTCATGCTCGACTCGCGATAATGTACCACTACTCTAGTCCACCTCCCACTGGGTGGCCCTCGTTCGACTACATGAACTCTCCCCCGACCTCTCCTCACTACGCCTACTATGCGAACCAGTTCACCAACCCCTTTGTTTCGCCGCGAGGTCCGACGAAGCGCCATGGCCGCAAGGCCAGCTACGCAGCGCCTCCGTCCGCATACAGCCATGGTTTCTACGGCGCAATGCCCGAATTTGGCACCCCGTCCAAGCACGAGAATGTAAGTGCCTTTTTTGGTGGCATTCCGCCCTCCTACTACCGTCGCAAAACCATGTCCGGTGCTCCCGCTGGCATCTATGACTACGGTGCTGTCCCCTTCCCTCGACAGCAGTCATCCCGGAAACGATCTATCTTTGTGGATGTGGTCGATGATGGATACGATGATATGCCTCGATACGCCTCCCGCGAGGAACCAAACAAGTCCCGCCGGCGCCCGTCAACGTCCCAACGGAAGCCAAAGCCAACAACCACTGATCCTTTCTTTTCCTCTACCCAGGTCCCTGTTTTTGACGACATTGATGCCGCCAAACGGTCGCGCGCCCGTCGCCAGTCAACTTCCACCCGGAACCCGACCAAGCCGAAGCCCGCGACAGCGTCGAAACCCCCACCCAAGGCCACCGAGGAGGATGCCGAGCGCGCAGGAATCCCGCCAGGCTACTCAATAAAGAACTGGGACCCGACCGAAGCGCCGATTATCCTGCTTGGCAGTGTGTTCGACGCCAACTCGCTCGGCAAGTGGATCTACGACTGGACCGTTTTCCACCACGGCGCCTCAACTCCAATGGCCGATGTCGCAGGCGAACTCTGGCTATTGCTAATCAAACTTGCTGGTAAAGTAAAGAGGGCCGCGGAATGTGTGGACCGGATCAAGGACATTGATTCGCAAGAAACCGTGGAGGACTTTTTGGAAAGCGGGAAGCGGCTGTGGTCGCGCTTCAAGAAGCTGCTGAGGACGTGCGAGCAGTTCATGTGGAAGGCCGCCAAGCGAGAAGGTGGCAAGTCGGTGTCGATGGGCCGCAACGCAGGCTGTGAATTTGTCGAGTCGATCTTTGGTCGCGACCGTGAGTTGGAGAATACGGAGAAGCTGATGAATAGTGTCCGTGTATGGAATATGCGATTTGACGCAAACTGCGACGACATACTGCGCAAGCGAACCGCTTAGCTACAGAAAAACAAAAGACATGCGCCTGATGGCGATGAGATATGTGTGCCATGTGCCACAAGATTCGATTCGAAGTTTCGAATGATTACCACTACTATTGCACCTTTTCCGGATTGCATTTGAGCGCGTTTGGATTGCGATTGCTCGTTGCGTTCTGATCTTTGTGATTACAAGCGATATTTGACGTTCAACGTTATCTGCTTGATTTTAACTGAAGAGTCTTTCCTTTGTTTTTTCCTTTGTTGCAGTTTCCTTTTTATCTTTTTTTTTTTAATTTCCCTCTCTAGCATTGGGACGGGATTCTGCTTGATTTACTTGATTCGATTTGGAGTGCATGCTCATGGGAGTCATTTGCATCTCTGCTTTTATGATACCATTCTGCGAGCTGTTCAAGTTCTTCAGTTCAGTTTGTTGGGTTGATTCCTTCTTTGCTAACCCACTACCTAATCAAACTTATTTACCTTGGATTACTTTGCAATATACTTATACTTCTTTACAATCAAGTTGTAGTACACCAGTTGATGTCATTACAAGAACAGTTCATCAAGCCATGCCCAAACCGTAGTAGCCGTAACCTTCAGCAATCACATCACATCTGCATGCAACGTTATTAGCAGTACCCCTCATTCGCCTGCAGCCTCGTCACTGCCCGGCGCCCGCAAGCGCCCCGCCAAGGTCTTCACTTAGCATGAGTAACTATTCAGTACCAAGGCCGGAATCCGGGTTACAGTACAGAGCTCGCTGCATTCCTCTGCTATTCTTATTGTCTGCATTTTTCGCGGTGTTGATGTTGATGTTGATGTTATTGTTGATATTGATAGCGAGAGTATGCCCCGCTCGTCGAGGCGTGGTTTGCACGGGCAGCATTCTTCGCGACACGTCCGTTCCATCCACCAACCAACCAACCAACCAACCAGCTCAACCGTAACATAATAACAATACCCGAAGCAGCACCTGAAATGCCTCTAATCCATGGATCATAACCATACCTGGTATTCCGGTATCTGGTCTCGTATTCTAACCGGTCACTTCACTTCATAGTAAGGTAATAATAGCGAAGTTCCGCCGCTCCAACTGAACCCTGGCAGCCAGCACTGGTTCTCCAATCCAATTAATATCGGCCAATAGGCTAGAGTCGGGAGGATGCGCGTTCGTGTCCACGTGCGCCCGTTAGCCTGGCCCGAAAGAGTCCGGGAGGGGTACAGCAAACATCCAGCCTATCACTTTCTGGCTTGGTTGGAGGGGGTTCTTGCAGGGGCAGGGGCTTTTCGGTATTGGTATTGGTATAGTACTGGTACTACTCAGTATTGGATGCATGTTAACAAGGATACTGACATACATACCACTTAGCAGTGATATTTGGAGTGGAGGGGTGGATGGGGATGAATGGGAGGGAGGGAGGAGAGAGGGGGGCGGAATGAGGCTCTTGTTGGACTTCTCTCGGCCTGGCTGCCAATTTGGTTAATTTAGTTGGACTGGGTAAGCAATGGTATTGTCCACGACGAGAGTCGGGTGCTGTGCAGGATGCAGATACGAGTTGGCTGTCGATGGTTGATCCTGGGCGTATATGGGGCTGAGGTATATTCTAGATTATTTCTGGATTTGTAGTAGTTGGACGAGGGATTTTAGGGTGTGGCGGTATTGGAAGGACTCTTACTTCTTGTGACTGGGCAGTTATGCTTGGTGAGGTGTATCTAGAGAGTATATGTATATTTGTAGTGAGAGTACTCCACAAATACGTGATATTCAGTCCTGACTTTTGTTAATGAAGTCGAATTACTACATATAATATTAAACTACCTAGTATCCCAGATCATAACTATACTATGCAGTGTAGAAGTGTACAAAAATATATTATATCGTCACGCAAATTATCTAAACACGCCAATATATAAATATCAGATCACCCATCTAACTCATATCTCTGAGACATGAGACCGGGGTGGAGGGTCTGATCGAAGATTAGACTCCGTACGGAGTGAGTTGATTGTATAGAATTATATAGCCCTTGAAAGAGGGCTATTCTAGTATTCAAGCTCTATTGCGATGGGTCACTATCAGGCCGAGACCCAGGCCTCTCTATATCTATACCCAAACATCCAACACCAACATCTACAGACCACTCACTCAGAAAACCACACCAGCCATCCAAAAGAGATAATCACCTTCAAGCCCGCACTAAGCCACAACGCACTCTCCATCCCCCCACGACTCCTACTCAACCAACCACCCACAATCGCCCCAACCAGCAAAGAAGCCACACTCCCCACGCGCCGGTTCCGCTTAACATTGCCCCGAACATCCCGGACAATCTTCGGATCACTCGCAACATCAAAGTAAACACTCGTCAGCACCACCGTCGGAATCTCATTAAACCCAAGCCCACGCGCCGCAGTCATCGACCCGGCAGACTGGAACGCCAGCAGCGCAATGGGGATGAGTTCCAGGAACAGCTTTCCACCCGTTAGAGACGCAGCCTCGGCCTGCGTGTGCGGGATCAGGTCCCCCTCTATCAGCGCGACTGCGATGATGACCAGGATTCCCTGGAAGAGGAATGAGGAGAACAGGGTAACGCGCTTCTTGGGGCCGATGCTGCGGCCGTAGAGCGAGAAGAGCAGCGCGCCGATGAAGAAGGCGACGATGGAGACGAGCGATTTGAGCCAGCCCCATGGTTTGCCGGATGGGAGGTTTGAGGCGCCTAGGCCGAGGAAGATTGTGTTTCCTGGTTTTGTTAGCAAGTCTACTCCTTGTTGGGCCGATGTCGGACATGGTGAGTCAGTGGGACGAACCGGTTTGCATGGCCAGGAAACAAGACCAGGCATTGTAGGCAGCGGAGTCGCAGAGCCCGGTGATGAAGCAGAGGATGAGACAGAGGAGGTCAGCATATCTGGCTGAGACGGACTGCGACCAGAGCGAGGTCGCGGTTCCCGGCTTTTTCTCGCTCGGGGGACCATTAACGTTGGTGACCTTGAGATCGCCATTGGCGGTAGCATTGTTAGCTTCGATGTCGGCCGGGGATGCCATGTCTTCCTGCTATATCATGGAAGCCTGCGCAGTGGCCAGTAACCAGTGAATTCTGAGAGAGGAGGGGAGGTGAAGAGGGAGGAAGCAAACTCTGCGGCGTCGGAATTTGAACCGACGGCGATGCGATCGGCGGCAACTGACAGCCTCGTAGGGCTGAGCGAAATGTCGGTGCCTGGGAAACATGCACAACAAGCACAGCTGCGATGGCGCAATTCCCACTAAGACTGTGCCATTATTAGCTGAATCCACCGGCAGTTTAGAGAAATAAATAATAAGTCCCTAAGTTTAGCAAGTTTGCGCTGTACACCGCAGCGTAGTGGTCTAGCAGAAGGATGCAACAACCGGAGTTGAGATAAATCTACAAAGCTTGGCAGATTATTATTCCTTGCGTAGTATACAGGGTAAGATTCTTAATTAATAAGGAACCTCTTGAATCCTATTCCTGGCTGGGGTCAACTTGTAGGAGCCTTGTGGACTGTGCGGGTCCTCAACCCGCTGCGGTGACAAGCTATCAATTTGTAACAATCATTGATCATTGCAATACCGTAGGCATAGAGCTAGAAACCAGGAAGCCTGAAGAAAAGAATACAAAGAGTTGTGAGACATAGGGCTGAACTGCAGTTCGCCTTCTTGGAGTAATCTTATCCACTCTACACCAAGATGCAATCCTTCTCACACACTTCGAAGCAGTGTTTCCATACTTTGATATACTTTGGCCCAATTTGTACCAGAAATTTGCTCAGTCTCGCTCTCGCCGCTGTCGGTCTCGGACCCCAGCGGATATGGTGGAGAGCAAGGATTATTAGCTATTAGCATATTGTGTATACTGTGTCTAGAGATTTTTGGAAGTTAGTTTAGAGGAGGAATTGGTAGGGTGGTATCTTGATGGATGTTCTTAGACAGCCGCTCTCATATACTTAGTTGGCATTTTGGATATGCAAAACAGCTTGCGCCGAGAGTTAAACTTTCTGTGGCTTGAGGATTAATTATTTGATTGTAATTGGTACTTTTTGGATCTACTGATCGATTAAGACCTGGTCAGAACTGCTTGCTGCAGCCATAGGTGGACCATAATTATATATCTGACGCGGATTTGAATACCGAAATGCAGTCCAACTTACTAAACCCTGCTGTTATTACACTTGACAGCATCATAATTGATAGAGATGAAGCCGGATGCTCCAATCTCAAGGTGGTTGTCGTTTTGATGAATGTGGTTGTGCCGGTGGCGATATCGCTCGGGCAGGCCATTCGTTGCCACGTTTTGACGATGTAATGTCTTTCCAACATTGGAAATCCAAACATGGGTTCCCCGCACTGGGGATTGAACCCAAAACAACGCCAAAGAGAGCACTGAACCACATCTCGACAACTCAGAGAAGACCGTGGTCCACCTAGATTGTCTGGACCATGGCCCATGACCTCATGGCCCCCATTGTGCAATCATAACTTCCCCCAGGACGGGGATCGAATCGACGGCAGCTGACGCCTTCTCTATGGAGGAATATCTGTCGTCGTTGTAGAGTCTCCGCGTCATAACACATCATCAACGCCACCTGCTGTGATATATAAAACAGTAATACCTCTTCCTAATTAGCTGAGAGCCATTCAACAGAGCAACCGAAACATTATCAATCGAGATATCATAACGAGGTACGTCACCTTGGCATCGCAGTTGTCACACCTCTGGCAAAGCCTGACTTCAAACTCAGTTAGTATCATGTCCTCAAAACAAACCAATACCTTTAGTCCCGCTGGCGACCAGGCCAAGCAGGCTGCGTCCAAGACACAACAAGGCGCAAGCACCTTGAAGTCACAACAGGACCCTACCTCTGGCTGGAGTATCGAAGAGATGCTCGAGACCGGAATGGATAAGGACGGAAACATCGTTTCGGATCCTTACTCCTATATCGACGGTGCTAAGCTGAGCAAAGGCCAGCACGGTCACCCGGAAGCGGATGAAGTGTCTGCCTCACTCGATGACTTCGACTAAGTTGCGCAGAGTCCGTTTCAGACTGATGTTCCCTACCAGACTGGGTATTTGAGAGTCGGCGGACGCCGTCGCTGCGAGTTGATGGATGTCGCTTCACCATGTCAACACGCTCATTTTGACATGTAGTTATCAAACAAACCCAAATCAAGTAAATAAACCAGTAAATAATTGAATGCATGAATGTTAAAGATATGGATCGAACTGGGGATGATAGCCAAACGAGAGGGGAGTCATTGCTATGGCAACCGCCCGCACTGAGATAGGCCTAGAGCTGCCTCAGGCTCCACGCGATTCTCAATCCGGCAAAACCAAAACGAAGCCAGCTGTAACGGTTCAACTCACCGTTGTTGTTCTTCTCGACTATCATCTGCCAGAAGACGTGAGATGAGGGTGAGGAATATTGCGGTGCTGTGATTGAAGTCGATTAATGGGATTGCTGTCGCTTATCCTCACTGTCTCCGACTTCCCTTACTTGGGTTGCTGCATGTTTCGCTCTTTTACTTCACATCGCAGAGTCGCTTCACCTCGTCTGTCTATCGCACTCCATCTAATTCAAACACTTGAACATTGAGAATTCCGACTGAAAAGCGAATCCGCGTTTTATAAACACTCGTCGCCTCGAGCGGCAATCACCACCGTCGCACCTGCCTATTCGCGTGTTTTTGCCCCGAGTGGTACACCGACCTGTATGTACCATCACCTTGTCCGTCGTCAACGAGACATCATCGCTCAAATTGTACAGTTATTGAGTGAAAATAGTGAAGAGATGGCGTTGGATCCGCGCTTTTACAACCACATCGCCCCGGGCATCGCCTCCGGCTCGCAGTCTTCGGCTTCGTTGTCTGGGTTTTCTTCGGCCACGGGGATCACGAGCCCGTCTATACATTCAAGCGCCGCTTCTTCTGCCGCCCTTCGATCGACCGCGTCAAGCCCATCCCTGCGCTCAAGGGAGGGTGTTGCAGTGCAAAGAGGATTAGATGGCGGTGGCAGCCCTGGGCCTGGAGGAAACGTGCACGTCGTCGTACGAGTGCGGAAGTTCCTGCAAAGAGGTACTATTAGGCCTACCTTGGTTGTCACGAATACGAAAGCTAACGAGAGCGTTTGATCTATAGAAATCGAGCGCAAGGCACAATGCCTTATTTCAATGGACCCTCACACCCAGGCGACTAAGTTGAGAGCACCGCAATCCCATACGTTCGACGAGACCAAACCGAAGTCGCAGGCTCGTGGGAAAGTGCTAGACGACAAGGAATTTATTTTCGATAATTCGTTCTGGTCGCACAATGAAGCGGACGATCATTATGCTCACCAAGAGGATATCTACAACTGTCTCGGCGAAGACTTTCTGGACCATAATTTTGAGGGTTACCACACTTGCATCTTCGCATACGGACAGACAGGCTCGGGAAAGAGTTACACCATGATGGGAAACACTGAGCAACCGGGTCTGATTCCCCGAACCTGTGAGGATTTATTCCAGCGTATAGAGAGCGCCGAGTCGCCGGATGTGAGCTTCAACGTTCGTGTTTCTTACTTCGAGGTGTACAACGAGCATGTGCGCGATTTACTTGTACCCCGGACGGATTCACCTCATTATCTTCGAATTCGGGAATCGCCTTCTGAAGGTCCATACGTGAAGGATCTTACCGAAGTCACTGTTAAAAACTATGCCGAGATCATGAAGTACATGCGCAAAGGTGATGTTTCACGTACCACTGCTAGCACCAAAATGAACGATACATCCTCGCGATCCCACGCAGTTTTTACGATCACCTTGAAGCAGATCCACCATGATCTCTCTACAGATGAAACTACAGAGCGTACAGCACGCATTCGGCTTGTTGATCTTGCGGGTTCCGAACGAGCCAAGTCCACTGAAGCCACCGGCCAACGCCTCCGCGAAGGATCCAACATTAACAAGTCCCTCACCACACTGGGCAGAGTCATTGCAGCATTGGCCGACCCCAAAGCAGCGCGACCGGGTAAGCGAAAGGGCAAGGAAGTAGTCCCTTATCGCGATTCAATTCTCACCTGGTTGCTGAAAGATAGCCTTGGGGGCAATTCTAAGACGGCCATGATTGCCTGTATTTCACCCACAGATTACGAAGAGACTCTCTCTACCCTACGTTATGCGGACCAGGCCAAACATATTCGTACACGCGCAAAAGTTAATCAGGATCATCTCTCTGCCGCCGAGCGTGACCGACAACTTGAAGAAATGGCGGAAACAATCCGTACCTTGCAGCTCAGCGTCAGCCAATCCGCCCAAAACCGTCGAGAAACCGAAGTTCAGAATGAGCGTCTCGAGGAATACCAGCAGAAGGTGGAGAAACTTCAAAGACTTATGGAGGAGACCAAGATGGTTAGCGAGTGCAAGATTCGACAGTTGCAAACCGAGAACGAGGCATTGCGCAATCACCTGAAGCTGGCGTTGGATAGCTTGAAGAACCCAATCCCACCAGTCACAATTGAGAAGCGCCTCAGCGACGTTGATATTTTGGAACAGGAGGACGAAGAGGAGCTGGTAGACGACAAGGAAAACCGACCTGGTTCTCCTACTTCAGAGATCGACACGGAGCCGGATTTGATCTGGGAAGACGAAGACGACACTGTTCCGGCCGGTGGAAACCATCTCCAAGCCCAAGAGATGCAGGAAACTATGGAGGGCCTATTGGGCGACCTCGATGTCTTCAAACGGAAGCTCGCCACGGACCACGAACGCTTCAGCTCCAACCGAAAGCATGAGGGCCGTAAACGACGGCGAGCACTTGGAGATATTTTAGGGAATTAGCCCACTCGTAGTTTAGCGATTATATCCTGGAGCGGCGTTTTCTGGGCGGTTTTTGTGAGCTTTGATTCTTGTATTAAGTTTTTGATTCCTTGAGACCTTGCAATGATGAGACGAAGGTATGTCAGGATGACTGCACGATGGGCATTGGGTAATCAATGAATTCGATTATGATATGTGCTTCTGCTTTTGTATTTGTCCTCTGTACGAATAACGAGGTAAATTCATAGTTCAAGTTGCTTGCGCTAGCCTCTCCCGCAGCCTGCGTTAGTTGCCGCTTATGGCATCATCGCCCTTTTCGGCGTGTGAGTCAAATCCACCGCGCTTCCCTCCATCCCCACAACCGCCCGAAAAAAAGTCTCCAATGCCCCTCCTGATTGCCGCCATCGCATTCAACCCCGTGCTCTCAACATGGCGACTTCAGCCGACCCTACCTTAAACACCGTATCATCCCCCCCCGCCGCCCCTACCCCTGCGCCCGCCTCGGATCCGTCAGCCGCAAAGATGGAACAACAGCAACCCGCCTCCCAACCATCTCAATCGCAAGGCCAGAAGGCCCCGAAACCCGCAAAGCCCGCCAAGCAACAACAACAACAACCCAAAGACAAAGCCGGCCCCGCCGACGCAGCGCCAGGAGGCGAAGGCCTCTCACCCGCGGAGCTGAAGAAGAAGGCCAAGGCCGAAAAGGCTGCCCGTCGGGCCCGCGAAAAAGCAGACCGCGAGGGCGGCGGCGGGGCACCAGGCGGACAAGGCCCCGGAACACCGGCTGGGAAGAAGGGTGGTGCTGATGCTGGAGGTGCGGCCGCGGGACAAGGTGTTAAAGGACAGAAGGGCTCTGCTCCTCGACGAGGATCTGCGCCGAATGTGCCCCAGGGAGAGAGCAAGAAGAAGCAGGAGGATAAGAATGTTGCTGTTTTTGGACATCTTTATGGACAGCAGCGGCGGACTACAGTTGCGGGTGCTGGGAAGGAAGTGCATCCCGCTGTTCTGGCGTTGGGGTTGCAGATGAGAGACTACGTGGTTTGTGGAAGCAGTGCGAGATGTGTTGCGACGCTGTTGGCTTTCAAGAGGGTATGTTTCGGCTTACAAAAAACACACACATTTTACGATTAACTACTGGAGTGTTGCTGACTTGACCAGGTAATTGAAGCGTATACGACACCAATGGGTACATCCCTTGCCCGTCACTTGACTACCCATCTATCTCATCAGATTACATACCTCTCTACGTGTCGCCCCCTCTCCATTAGCCAGGGAAATGCTATTCGAGCCCTTAAACTGGAAATTGCCTCCATCGACCCGTCAGTCCCCGAAGCGCAAGCCAAGACGACATTGTGCGAATTCATTGACAGTTTTATTCGCGAGAAGATCACTGTTGCGGACCAGGTCATTGCTGGCAGTGCAGCACAGAAGATTAAAGATGGGGATGTTGTTGTCACGTTTGCAGGCAGCTCCATTGTGAAACAGACTCTTCTTACTGCGTTCAAGCAGGGCAAGAAATTCCGCGTCTCCATCATCGACTCCCGCCCACTTTTTGAGGGTAAGAACTTGGCGAGAACGTTGGCCAACGCCGGTTTGGAGGTTCAATATTCTCTCATTAGCGGCATCAGCCATGCAGTTAAGGACGCAACGAAAGTCTTCCTCGGCGCTCACGCCATGACTAGTAATGGACGGCTGTATTCGCGCGTCGGCACGGCGCTGGTCGCCATGTCGGCCAAAGAGCGTGCTGGTGGAGTCGAAATTCCCGTCATCGTCTGCTGCGAGACAGTCAAGTTCACAGACCGTGTCGCCTTGGATAGCATTGTCGTCAACGAAATTGCCGATGCCGATGAGTTGGTCTTGACACAACCGCCCACCCAATTGACGGACCTACCAGACCCTGCTGCAGTTGCGCAGCCCGAGCCGAAGAAGGGTGGCAAGGCCGCTGCCTCTAACCCCAGCCCGTCTGAGTCTACTCCCGCATCAAAAACTAACGCATCCGCGCTCGCGGACTGGAGAGACACGCCCAACCTGCAACTGTTGAACCTTTTATACGACGCCACACCGGCCGAATACGTTGACATGGTGGTGACCGAGATGGGTAGCCTGCCGCCGAGCGCTGTTCCCATCGTGCACCGCATGAGCACGAATATGTAAGCATATTCTTCTAGCGTCTATTCGTCGCATTGGGTTTTCTTTCTCTCTTCTTTATTGTCCATACTGTATGGGTCTTTTTCATTTTTGGCATTGTCTCAAAACTTGTCATCCATCTCCGGGCATCGGAGCGCAGGGGTTGCACTAGCGGGACTCTTAACCATGTTGTATTGACTATGATTATGCTGTATGGCTAGCGAACATTAGAGCAAAAGTATTGAAGTGATATCTGCTGGTTACCTAATTGGTTGTCCATGTAGCGAGTTAGGAGGTGTACTTTTTGAACATCCATTCCCTCGAATACATGCTTAATTTTGAATCATGTAGCTAGCCACTATTGGCCAAACGCCATTCAAATAACCAAGCGAGAGCCCGCGAGGGAGCTGTAAAAACACGCTTATAGTAACCATAGAACCAAGCCCGCGGATGATATCACGTGCACCAGTCCATGACATCCAATTCAGCAGGCGGTAAGGGATAACCGCACGCGTTGTCGGCACGCGTTTCGCGTTCCCGTTTAGCAAAAGTGCCGTACAATCAACCAAGTCCAAACCGACACCAAAGCTAAACCCAAGGTCTCACGTTCAGGTCCCTCAAGCCTCCAGTCCCAAAATTTACAACAATGGGCTCCGTACAGGACCCAGCCGTCTCGGAGACATCCAATGGCGAATTAAGCGAGCTCTTTGCTCCCTCCGCGCCGGACGGTCTCCCCGCAGACGTCCTGGGAGAGCTGCAATCCATAATGCGGGTTCATGGAATCACGGCCCAGGAACTATTCTACCGATGGGAGTCTTACTGTCTACGCATGGGTTCTGAGGAGACTAAACTTGATCTGGAGACTGTGAGACTGTTTAAGCGGGATGTGCAGGATAACTTGGAGCGGCAGGCGAGGGGCCGGCAGCAGGTTGAGAAGCGCAGTGGTGGTGTTGCGGCGACTCCGAGGGCGAGGGAGAGGGATGTGGGGATGGCTGCTGGTACTGGTACTGGTGATGTTTTTGGGATGTAGGTTTCTGTCCTGCGCTATCATCTTGGGCTTGTTTAAGCGTATGCTGAACTGTGATTTGTTTGTGGAATAGGTTGGACGGATTGACACCTGGGAGAACGCCTGGGAGTGCTGGTGGCTCAGCAAAGAGGAAGGCGGAGTTTTCGTCACCGTCCGTTTCGAAGAAGATAGATTCGCCGCTTAGTTCGAAGACGAAGGTTTCGACGAATGGTGGTGGTGGGGATGGGATGCAGTATGTTTTGGCCGCTTCATTGGTATAACGAATTGCCGTTGACTTGGTATAGATCTGTCCCGTTTTCAGAGCGCCCGAACGCTGGCCAGACGATTGAAACGATCAACGAGCATTTGCCTCTGCCCGAAACACCCATGGCGCCGTTCCCGGAGCCTCGAATGCGCCCCGCTGCGAACACGGACCTCAAAAAGTTTGGGTACAAGCCTATGGCTATGCGATTATCAGAGGCGTCTGAGATTCTGGACGACCGGATTGACGAGTTTACGGCCATATTCGAGAAGAAGTACGAGAACGAAGACATCACGTTCGGGAGTGCTGCTGTCCAGAGCACAAGCGAGATTGTTGCTGTAGGGCGCATTGCCTCTGACAGTATAGAGGGGAAGCTCAATCCAGCGTCGCTTGTACTCGAGACGTCGAGGCGCTCCGGTGCCGGTAAAAGGGTGCCTCTGAATGTGGACTCGATCCCATCAGTGAACTTCTTCCCTGGCCAAATTGTTGCCTTGCTGGGGATCAATGCGTCGGGAAATTACTTTTCAGTTAAAGAGGTTCTTCCACCACCTCTTTTGCCGCCCGCCGTATCGTCCGTTCCAACTATTGAGACTACTAATGAGCGCGTATCCGAGTCTGGGACTTCACCCTTGAATGTTATGATCGCTTCCGGACCATATACGACAGACGACAACTTAGATTTTGAGCCATTGAAGGAAATTTGCCAAAAAGCCGCAGAGAGTTATGCAGATGGGCTTATCCTCATGGGACCATTCCTGGACATTGAGCACCCATTGCTGGCATCAGGTGATTTCGACCTTCCAGAATCCAACAACATAGACCCGGATACAGTTACCCTCACCACTGCCTTTAGGCACTTCATATCCACGCAACTACAAAAGCTCGCTGCTGCGGTCCCGAGCATCACAATTGCTCTCGTCCCCTCCGTTCGGGACGCCGTGAGCAAACACGTTTCATGGCCACAAGAGCAGCTTCCCAAGAAGGAGCTTGGATTGCCAAAACAAGCCCGCATGGTGTCCAACCCAGTGACATTTTCGCTGAATGAAACTGTTATCGGAATGTGCTCGCATGATGTGCTGTACGAACTGCGTCGTGAAGAAGCTCTCCACGGAAGACCCAAGGAGGCCAACATCCTAACCCGTCTAGTGAAGTACATTATTGAACAGCGACACTTTATGCCCATATTCCCTCCATCATCTCGGGATGCTCTTCCCAGATCAGGAATCGATGGTGGACTAGCAACGGGTGCTGCGCTGGATGTACCTTATTTCAAGTTGGGTGAATGGTGGAATGTGCGGCCAGATATCCTGATTGTGCCGAGCATGCTGCCACCTTTCGTCAAGGTAGGGCAATCCGGTGATTCCCGATGACGGCGATTTGTGCTAACAATAAACAGGTGGTCGACAGCATCCTCACAATAAACCCAGGCTCTATTTCCAGGCGACGAGCAGCTGGGACCTACGTGCAGATGGCCATCCACCCCCGTGTCGTCAGCGAGGAAGAGCAGGAACAGAAAAACTTAAGCCACAATCTATACGAACGGGCTCGGGTCGATATAGTCCGGATATAGGAGCCACTTTAGCTCCTGCAAATGTATAATGAGGCGTTTAGGTGTAACGATATCATAATGACCATTCCATTGGATTGTTGCATGCATCCGGGGTATCAATAAACGTGTAGAAAGAAGCCACTCAACACCAACCACTTCAAGGCGTAGTAAAATGCGAAATCACCGCAAGCAAACAACCCTCTTCCCACCCATCAATCTACCCGCATCCTTAACCCTCACTTTCCCCCCCTTGGTTGCCCCCCTCGCACCAGCCCCACCACTCGTAACCAAGCCCTCAAGTCCCAAATCCCTCCAAACAGTCTCCCTGCGTCTCTCCATGGCCCTCGTGATTCCAAACGCAGCGTGTTGGTCGGGGACAACGTCGTCCTCGTCCTCCGGGTTCGGCGGCTGATACTGCGGCGCCACGTAGATATCCTCGACGGGGAGGAAAGAGGGGATCAGGGCTGGCGACGAGGACCCATATGTCACCGTTTGGTTATGGTATGTATGTGAGGACGAGGACGATGAAGCCAGTGATGCAGTGTGGCTTGTATGTGGGCGCGTGAAGTCTTCGAAGTAGTCTGCTAGACGCGGGTGGTGCATGTGGATGTGCGTAGGAGAGGAGTCTTTGCTCTGGTGTGGGTTAGACTTTCACTGGGCTGAAATACTTGGGAAAAGGCCCATACCATCTTGTCTCGACGTAATCGGTGGATACGTGTAGTTTATTGTTTGGTGTGTCTGGTGGTGGTGGTTGTCTCCGAAAGCAAGGAAGGCCGCGGACTCCGGGGTACACTATTAATCAGCAGAATTGTGCAGAGATGCTATGCAAGCTGTCGAGATTACCGCGTCGATCATCTCTCTTCACGAGAGCGCCAATCACAACATATTTCAGCGGCTCGGAAGCCACGAAGGAATTATCGCATGAGAGCTGAATTTTTTCATAAAATTGCTTTCTCCTCAGCCCTAATTCTTGGCTTAATGAACAGCTGTTTTGTTGACGTTTTTCTTTGAACTCAATTGCAACTTACCGACCACGGATATTTCGCCATGTCCACCGCTCCATCTGACACACCAGCGACGACTGCCCCAGTCAATGGTGACGCCGCCGCAGCTGAAAAGCCCCAGGTTTCGACAGAAACCGAAAGTACACCTCAGGCAGAACCTCCAGCTCAGGAACAGCCGGCCCCTGAACCCTCAGGCCCTGAGGAGACGATCGAGAGTCTCGATCTGCCATCATCCTCCGCCGACGGTGTCATCAAGAAACCATTCCCCCGCCCCATCGACACCGCTCAACCCGCTCAACCCGCCCAATTGACATCAGACCAACAAACCAAATATGACAGCGTCCTCAAGTCTGTCTCCGAGTGGACCACAGTCCCCACGACGTCTGCTAAGAATGCCCCTGCCGAAGCAATCACGGACGACGAGCGCATGTTCCTCACCCGCGAATGCCTTCTCCGCTATTTGCGCGCGACGAAATGGAACGCCCCCGAGGCTGTAGCGCGACTTCAGCGTACACTTACTTGGCGCCGTGAGTACGGGATCGAGAAATTGACGCCCGACTACATCTCCATCGAGAACGAGACAGGGAAGCAGGTCCTCCTAGGCTACGATATCCACGGCCGGCCGTGTTTGTATCTCCTGCCGTCGAACCAGAATACCGAGAAGAGTGATCGGCAGGTCCAGCATCTTGTCTTTATGCTGGAGCGGGCGATTGAACTGATGCCTCCGGATCAGGAGACGCTGGCGTTGATCGTGGACTATAGCGAGACGAAATCTGGACAGAATGCTAGTATTGGGCAGGCGAGGGATACAGTGAATTTCTTGCAGAATCATTATCCGGAGAGGCTGGGGCGGGCATTGGTTATTAATCGTAAGCTGTTTTTCCAATTTGAGCTTGTGGAGGTCAGTTAGCTAACATCGGCCAGTGTCGTTTCTCATCATGGGTTTCTTCAAGATCGTCACCCCGTTCCTTGACCCCATTACTAGGGAAAAGCTCAAGTTCAACGAGAAATTGGGCAACCATGTCCCGCCCAGCCAGCTTATGAAATCTGTTGGCGGAGAGGTTGATTTCCAATACGACCACCCGGCATACTGGCCTGCGCTGAACAAGCTGGCTGAGATAAAGCAGAAGGAATACCGTCAGCGCTGGATTCAAGGTGGAAAGCGTATTGGAGAATACGAACACTACCTCAAAACTGGCACCAGCCCGAGCGTCGCTCAGAAGGAAAGCGAAACGAATGGCGCCGATGCAACAACCTAGGCTTCCTAGGCTCGAAGCCCTAAGGAATAATGAATTAGATTTATGCATACTGCTCTGCTTTTGTCTGCAGGCGAAAAGATCTGTGCCTTTGGTCACACTTCACTCTGAATATAGAATATTCATTTTTTCGGTTGATATGTTATTGAGCCTGTCAATAGAATTATACTTCTATTCTCTTCCTGTGCAGCCTATGTTTAGGAATCGACTTCCAAGTTAGCTATTCAGAGATATTAAATGGCAAAGGTCTGTATTTCCTCTACTGCCTTTCCTTGCCAAACTAGAAATGGGTTCAGACAAAACCGAAGATTCAACTGCCCCCGTTTTATTTAGACATTAGCTAGGTGATTGTACGCCACTAGCCATCAATATAGCCCTAAGCTGCAGCTTATTTAAGACATGTGGGCGTAACAGTGGGTTCGAGAAGAACCATGGAAGCAGACAAGGCTATTCATGCATTACACACCTGATTGGCCCATTGAAACGAATATTGTCCCTGCTTGATCGGCTCTTGTGGGGGAAAGTTGAAACTAATGCAAGTTGCTTATGCTCCACACTGCTTTACACGAAGACCCTTTTTTACTCCTCACCTGGGGCTTGGAGATACTTCCTACTTACTTTATAGAAATGGATTTCACATTAAAATTTGGAACCGTAAGCATATTGCATAAGCCGACGAGAATATACAAAGTGGAGTAAATGGCGTCTATATAAACCTGCTGCTGCATACGTTCAATTCCTAATAAAATACTCGCTACTCCTTGTTTCTCATATTTACCGTTACCAAAATGTCTCTCTTCCAACCCCCGTCCAAACCTTCAAGCCCCCTAGCAAACCACCGTATCCTCTCCCCCACAGCCTCAGTCAAAGTCTCTCCCATCTGCCTCGGGGGTATCAGTTTCGGAAATGAATGGAGCGAGTTATTCGGGGTCAGCGAGGATCCCTTTAAATTACTAGACGAATTCTTCGCGCTGGGCGGTAACTTCATCGACACCGCGAATGTCTACAACAATGGACAGTCCGAGGCCCATATTGGCGCCTGGATGAAAGACCGGGGTACCCGGGACCAAATGGTGATTGCGACCAAGTACTCGGCGCATTGTCGTCCTGGTAGCCGTGAGAGTGAGCCTCTGCAGAGTAACTTTGTGGGAAATTCGGCGAAGAGTATGCTTGTTTCCGTGAGGGAGAGTTTGAAGAGGCTGGAGACGGATTATATCGATATTCTTTATGTTCATTGGTATGCTCTCCCTTGGGTCTGATACATATTGGAAGTTCACTGGCTAATACTTTGATCAATAGGTGGGATTTTGCTACATCTGTGGAAGAGGTCATGACCCGATTACATTCCTATGTCATGTCGAAGCAAGTACTGTATTTGGGTGTTTCTGATACTCCAGCGTGGGTCGTAGTGAAGGCGAACGAGTGTACGTGTAATTTATCTTCTGCATCTACTTGGCTTCATATCATTGCTAACCCCGACGCGCAGTCGCCCGGAAAAACGGTCTCACCCCGTTCTCCATATACCAGGGCCGCTGGAACGCTGCATACCGTGATATAGAAGCCGAAATCATCCCCATGTGTGAAGACCAGGGGATGGCGATCGTTCCCTGGGCTGCACTTGGGGGAGGCTTACTCCTGTCTTCTCAGCAGAGACGAGAACGGGAAGAAAAGCTAGCTGGACAGAAGAGCTTCTACGATGTGGGCGCGCACGAGATCGCTGTATCAGATGCCTTGGAGAAGGTTGCTGTTACGAAGGAGACTACGGTCCAAGCCATTGTAGGTTACTCCTAATATTTCCTTTTTGCTGGAATGACGCTAAACAGGCGAATGCGACAGGCTCTAGCGTATCTTTTCCATCAGTCGACCTATGTGATACCGATTGTTGGCGTTCAGAGTGTAGACCAGATTAAGGTCATGAATGATGCAATTACGACAAAACTTTCGCTTGAAGAAGTCCAGTCAATACAGAATGCTGCACCATTTGAGCCCCTATTCCCGATGAGCTTCTTGTTCGGTTGCAAGGATGGTAAGGGATATAGCACTCGGTTGACCGCTGGGGATAATGTGCAATATGGGATGTGGGCGCACTTTGATGCACCGGTGAAACAAATTGTAAGTTTTTTTATTCCGTCCGAATAATATCAGCCTAAGCGCGTATATACTAACATCACAACCAGACCTACAACTAGAAGTGTCTAGCATCCGATGCTCGGTTCTATCAATAAAGTTGTGTGTTTTACATCGGGGCTTAGCTGCGACAACAACAGTCTACAGAGATTCCACCAGAGGTAGAGTATCAATGGGCAGAACGAAGATGAAGTTCAACTTGGGTATCTGTTTGACTGGTGTTTATCAATAGCGAGATGTAAATACACGGTGCAGTGGTGCATGCTTCTGATCTTCCCGGGCATCTGAGAACACAATTTGCAGTTTCGGTTTCTGCTGATTCACGGCATATATTGTACCGTTCATCTGAGTCTTTGACATCTGACTGAGGTCTGATTGTAGTGATGGAATAGATGGAGTTGGATAGAGAGTCAGTGTCGGGTCTGAGTGCCGTCGCACTGTTGGGTCACGTGCGGGGATGGCGGGGTTGCCGTTTGGGTGAAGAGGAGGAGGCCTGAGGCTGCAAATAAATTGACAGCTTTGGTTGAGGAAAAGATAGAGCACCATTTTGGGAATGAGATGGTTCGTTTGAAGCAAGACTGAGGACGATGCGTAAACTGGATATCCTGCACCTCAACAGGAACAGGAATGCAGTGGTAGGCTATTAATATTCTGACAGAGGAACCCCTCCTTTCCCCTCCCGTCCATACACTGTTGGGAGCTGCTTGGGCCTGTGAGTCTTGGAAAGCGTCATTGGTGAACCGGATGGCTATAGATCGTAGTGCGAACTGTCGCATTACGCCGGTATTTTACGTCTGACTATGGACTCGTTAAATTCATTCTCCTTCTTCTTCTTCTTCTTCTTCTTTTTGCCCCACGGTCGAAGCTCTTCGTATGCGTATCCTAAGCTCTTATATAGTTCGACTCGTTTGCATCCTCAACCCCTGCAAAAACCCCCAGCCAGTTAGATACGTAGCCACCCCTCCTCCGGTCAAGATCGTATGCGGCTCTCTGTGCCCCGGTGCTGAGTCGAGATGGCAATCGTGTCAGAAGGGAGCTCGTATCGTCAACACCACCAGCAGCATCGTGAGCGGGCAGCCAGCACCAGCACCAGCAACCCCACGGGCAGAATCAGCGCTTCCGGGCTGCCGCCTCCGACCAACGACACCACCACCACCAACACTCCTCCTCCTTCCACCAAGTTTTTTCCCTCCTCCACGCCTCGCACTGTCGGCACCCGTACGCTCCCGTCCGCGTCCCTTTCCGTCCTTCCCCTCCTTCCAATCTGCGGTCACGAGCGTGGTTTCGTCCAGCCCTCCTCCTACCTCCGATCACGACCCCCCTCACATCCAATGCCCCCATCCCAGCCAGACAGGGCGATCGATCGGGAGGAGCGTCAAGGCCTGGTGAGTTTAATATATATATATTTTTCTTTTTTTCGCTTTTCCTGCTTACGTCCCTGCTCGGGACTTTTTGACTTCTTGAAGCTTGGTCTGTCTCGTTTCTCCCCCATGTCTCGCCTACGTCAGAACTCTTTCTCTTGGAGGGTAGACATCTCGATCGATCATCACCGTGTCCCCGCACTTGCCATCGCTTCCTGTTCCCCAATGATGATTCGTTAACTACTAGACTAGTCGTCTGAGATCAAGGCTAATTGAGCTCCCTTCTTTCTGTTCTAGAGTGCCATTCGCAACTTCCTCAAGGTTCGCACTAGCTATGACGTCCTTCCGCTGAGTTTCCGGCTCATTGTCTTCGATACGGCGCTCTCGGTGAAAGAGAGTCTGAACATTCTTATCCAGAATGGTATGTACTTTTGCGCCTGTGACTTCGGGCGGCCACAATCTACGGGAAGAGCCATTGTTGACTCCGCGCGCATAATAGGCATCGTTTCGGCACCGTTGTGGGACTCCAAGTCGTCCACCTTTGCCGGTCTTCTGACTACGTCGGATTACATCAATGTCATTCAATATTACTTCCAGAACCCCGCAGCTTTGGACCAGATTGACCAATTCCGCTTGGATAACCTTCGAGGTCCGTGGAAACCGGAATTCCCCTTCCTGGTATGCGCTCTCAACTGACATGACGATACAGAGGTGGAAAAGGCATTGGGCGTTGCGCCTCCCGAGACAATTTCCATTGATCCAGAGCGACCGCTGTACGAGGCCTGTCGGCGTATGCTCGAGTCCCGAGCTCGAAGGATTCCGCTTGTCACCAACGATAGCCAAACAGACCGACATCTTGTCCTCAGCGTCATCACGCAGTACCGCATTCTCAAATTTGTGGCAGTCAACCTTAGCGATACGCAGAAACTGAAGAAACCCTTGGGGGAAATCCAACTGGGTTCCTACGGTGATATTGCGACCGCGTCGATGGACACACCCGTCATTGATGTGATTCATATCCTGGTTGAGCGGAGTATATCCAGTGTGCCGATTGTGAATTCGGAAGGTATGGACGTTTAAATGTGACGGTTTTAATCGCCTGCTCACATCTTCTAGGTGTTGTGTACAATGTCTTCGAATCAGTCGACGTCATCGCATTGATTAAGGGTGGTGTATATGACGATTTGAGCCTTACGGTTGGCGAAGCATTGAAGAAGCGACCTTCGGTATAACTTACTTCCAACTATATACCTCAATTAGTTGTGTTTGCTGATATGTGGCCCACAGGATTTCCCTGGAATCTATACCTGCTCGCTAAACGACGGCCTAGACACCATTTTCGATACTATCCGCAAGTCCCGCGTGCACCGTCTGGTTGTAGTGGACGAGAATTTCCGATTAAAAGGCGTTCTAACACTGAGCGACATTTTACAGTATATTCTGCTGGAAGGTGAAGGTGATGAAGCTTTATGATTTAAGGACACGCCCAGGTGTCTTCGCATGGCCTGCAATTGCATTGGAACGGTGTTTTTGTTTTATCTACTGATCAGCCCTGAGACGACCACGATATGGCCCGTCAACGGACGAATGGCTGGCTCATTCTGAATGTTCCTATCTTTCTGGAACTGCTGTTCGACAAAAAGATGGTATAATATGACTTTTGGATTCATTCGGCATGATTCCTGCAGGGGAGTTCATAGCCAGCCAGCAGTCTAGCATCGGCGTTTGGCTTTACAACAATAGATTTCTGCCATTTGTACGACAAATATTATGATTAACGCCCTTCTCTGTATGAATTCCTGATGTATTTGTATTTTCCTATCCCGTCCTGTATGAGATATGCCCGGCGGTGTATAATTGGTACGACTGAACAAATCTAGGGCTCATTTTAAGCTCCCTCAAGAAACTCGACATTCGACAATACTTAATCGCGAAAGCTCGGATCATGGATGCCGGCTCGGGCTATGGTCGTACCTTCTCTTCCGGGACGGCGCATGAGCCCACGAAAAAGGAAGGGACGCTGGTTCCAGCCTGCCAACATCAAATGGAAAGGACGACAGAAACGGGTTCAGCTCTGTTTCCCCGCCATAAACATCCATCAAGAAAACAACTTGTTTCACACCTGAGCGGATTTGCTTGACACACCCTTTACGGCTACTCTTGCATAGCAGGATGGTCCGCCTCAACAGCATCTTTTCCTGGTCGTCAGGGAAAGGAAGCAACGCATCCGACAATCGTCGTTCTTGGACCCTGGGTCGGCCACAGTCAATTATGAGCCAGTCACCGCAACGAATTAAAGTCCCACTGAAAGAAACACCCTCGAATGAACCAGGGGGTCCCAAAAAAGTGTGCGCATCCAGCGGTGAATTCGCTACGGACCAGCTACAAGAGAACCGCCCACGGCCGTCCAATCCAGAACCTAGCACACAGCTGGATGCTCCCGGTAACAGTACCACGGAGCCATTGGAGTTTCAGAGTAACTCGGGATACTCTTCACGACGCTTCGCGGGTTTCAAGACTCTCTTTCGCACCCGTACACACAGACGGCGGAGACTCGATTTTGATATCCGCAAGGACGGAGATATAGACGATGAAAACCCCAAAAACTCCACTTCTGAAGAGGCTGGCGATGTTGCGGTACAAAGCGATCAGGTTGTAGCTGCTACGCAACCCAACGGGCTATCCAAGGTTTCTGTGGACGATGAAACTCGAAAGGTCAGCGATACAACTGAAAAGTCAGTAAATTCAACCGCTACCAATGTCACTGTTTGCCATCGTCTGTCTAAACGGGTGTCGATGCCAATTACCGTTGTAGACCAGGACATAATTCGCCAGAACCCATTCGACGATGTCTACGAAGCTGCACGCTCAGAAACCTACGTTAGCAATCCGTTCTCGGAGCCAGAGAAGGGCACCAAATCTACAGACCGATCAAGTTCCGGGTACAGTGGCTCAGACAACCCATTCTCATCGAGGCCTAGCGAAGTCCGTGAAATGAGTAACTGGTCGCAATCAAGCTGGCGCTGCCCCACGCTATCAGGGTTCAACGGCTGGCCGACGCCTGCCGATCGGCGTTTGGCTACGGACTCGTTTAATAGGCTAGCGTGCGATCTATATTTGGAACCCCTGGGTGCCAACCCTGATGAAGCTAGTCAATATGATAGGGCTGGTGAGTGCTGTGATAACGAACGCATCTCGATCCCTCAGGCAGTCTCTAATGGTGGTAGTGGATGGTATCTTTGCAGTACCCGATGACAAGCTAGAGCGGAGACGAGACCGGCTCCTTGGTCGGATTCGAACTATGCGATCAACAATGCATATCAAAGCTGAGCCAGCTGTACCCCGAACAAGGAGTTTACGGCGAATGAAAACGTTTACTACGCCCTTCACGGGATCATGCCTAATGACGTCGTTACAGGGGAAACCGTTAGAAACACTAGCTAGGCTTGGTGGCTTTGGCTTCTTAACACTCCCAGGTGATTTTGCACCGACTACACTCAACCTTCCGGTGTGCTTTGTGGCCACTATCAACCATCTGCGAAGTTATGGTCAGTTTCCAAGCCCTACTTTTGTCTAGTTTATTGACGTTCGCGTAGCTCCAGGAATGCAAGGCCTCTTTGTCGACCCTGGTGACCTCGAAACAGCCACGCAAACGTACCACTATTTTGCAGACCAGGTTCTATCCGCAGAGAAGGAAAGGGTTAGGATCCATATGACAATGAGGAGCAGCAGACTGCCGAGTTTCCTAGATGAAGCTTCCGAGCCAGACATGGAGAATCAAAGCTCGCGGGTTCTCGGCATCGCATCCACTTTTAAGGCACTATTAGCAGGGATTCCTGGTGGCATATTGGGGTCTATGCAGCTGTATCGGGTTCTCGTTAATATTTGCCACGGGCGAATCTCTTCACGGTCGGTACAGCGAACTGGCAGCTGTCTCGCCGGGCTATCGGCCGAAGATTATGCCAAGGTGCGAGCCATGAGCCTTGGAATACTGGCGCTCACCAGCTCGATGCAGCTCAATCTGATTTGTGCGGTGTTTGGATTGTGCTCGCTGCTGCTCCATGAAACGGAACGAATGGCCGAGCTAGAGCGGCGTCAGCGCCGACGGTCAAATCGGCGTCCCATTGCAAGTAGCACAGACAAGCTAAGTTCTGACCAGCTTGCATCGACTCTGGGCCCGCTCCTCATCGATGCCGGGCGAAGCGACAGTCCCGATACGTTCCATGCCATTCAGGAGGAGATCGAGAGCCAGCGGGTGGTTGCACTCCTGATTGGAAACTGGCGCAGCATCAGCCGACAGCTGCGGATCTGGGAGCGGCGTGGGCTAGAGGGCCATGTACCTGCAGGACCGGGCCGTGCGACAAGTGGCGAGAGCAGAGAAGGATCGGGGACAGGGGATTGATGCTTTTCGGCGACAAATGTATATAAGTTATGTCGGATTAATTTCCTCATTACAATTCATAATGCCGAACCTGAGCACAGATCAATCTAGACCGGCCGCAGGATCCAGTTGGCCGGGCCATGCGCCCGGACGGCAATCACCATGCGGCACTAACGCTTATCTCAGCGGGGCATGCCTGTGAACCTTGAGAGCCATCGATCAATGATATAGCGGCAGCCGCAACCAAAGCCTCCAGAAGACGGGTGGGACGGGCTGTTGCAGGAAGAGGGGTGGACGACCAAGAAACAGAACGGAGAACAAGTTTCGGACAGTTATCAGCAGGGTAGTGAGCTATAAGCCCCACGTCGAGAGTCCAGAGTCCAGGCAAGCTCTGCTGATCCACCGCTGTTGATTGTCGGATGTTCCCCCCGACGAAAAGAAAAAGATACTCCAGCTGCCACGGAGAATCAGCCGCCAATCAGACGCTGCCCTCACTGCCGATGACGTTTCATCGCTGGTACAGTCGTAAACACCAACAGATGATGTCTCTCGCTGCTCCAGCGTTCCTGGGCTTCATGGACGGGCTACCGATGATGTCAAGCTATCTGAGGAGCTGTCGGGGCTTGCTTGCTGCGAAATCCAATTGGCAAGACCCTGGCCGCGGATGATTCATCCGGCCTTCACCACACTCGGCACTATACAGTGGATGGCACAAGTATCCGATCCCCTCCTTCTCCTTCCAAAATATTCCCTCCCGATCCTTCCTCTCCCTACTTTTTCAACCTGAACTCTCTTCCCTTTCCTCTCTTCATCAACACATCGTCAAACACCACCAATACTGCCGTGCTGCCGTTTGTACATCATCGCGTCTCGTGTTTGTTCTTTGTTTGACTTCATGGGTTCCTGCTCGCAGTCAAGCCTCACATCCTCGTCCTCTTTAAATTGATTTCCTCTCATGTCTCGCTCCAACTTCTTTCCTCTAGGAGCCCCTTTCATCTCTCCCAACATGTCAGGCACCATTTCTGCGTCGGAAATGCAGCGTTTGCAGTATCCGTCCGACATCCCTGGCATCGCGGGCAACCCATACAGTCTCTCCCCCGAGGAACACATTGATATGTGGGATGCTGACCCTACTATGCCCACTGTCAATCCTTCATGCATTGTCACAAGCGGTGTCAACAATGTCCAGTCATTTTCCAATTTGGCTGGTACCAAGGTCGCAAACAATTTCAGTCTCAGCTCGAACAAACCACAGCTTGGACAAATGTCGACCAACCACCAGGTCCAGAACGGCCAAATCACTCCCCCATCTGACCGTTCTCCCGTTGAGACCCACAAACCCGCAGAGCTCCATTCGAGCATTGAGCACTCGTCTGGGGTACCTGCAAAGCGCCGTCGAGGAAGTAGCGCTCGATCCCGAGGTGGCAGTCGAAGCGCAAGTACTCGGGCTTCAACCTCGGTAGAGCCTTCGTCTCCGGGTGACAACAAACAGGAGAGGACGAGGGCGCGCAATCGGCTTGCAGCCAGCAAATGCCGCCAGAAGAAAAAGGAACAGAATACGCAGTTGGAGAGCAGGTTCGAGTATGAGAGAATCAGACGTGAAGAACTCACCCGTACTGTGAATTCGCTGCGGGACGACATAGTGGCGGCGAAGAACCAGCTTCTTGAACATTCTGAATGTGATCACGAATCCATTAAGGCGTACATACAAAATATGGCCAAAAGGATCACCGTTCAAGACGGCCAACCTGACTACTCAGCCGTCCCTACACAATATTACGGATGCGGCACTGATACGAAGCAAGAGCCATGTGCCTTTGATTTTGGTACTTGTCCGCCAACGGCTTGAAATATCGATTATTATCGAGCCTGGTCATCGTTTTGACAGCGTATGACTTGTGTATTTTTTGGCACCCTGGAGGGCCAATTTGTGACTTACGAAGCTGTTTCAAAGTGATGACGAGCGATATTGATTTATTGGAGTTCGGCCGTTATGACTTAAGAAAAAAAAGCAGGATATGATATGGTAGCGTTGGGTCGGCTTCAGTGACATCTCGGGGGCTACTTATTTAATTCGGGTGGAATATGTTTCAGCACGCGTGAGCTTTAATTTAAGGTGCTTGTGGAGTTTGGAGTTGTAGGTTTGTGATTACAGATGAGCCAAGCTCATTCTTGCTCGACAGTGTGAACACATTGCTCTCCTGTTCACTGTTATAGTTCATATATATTAGTCTAGCTCGCGCTTTCAACACATGGTTATTATGTAATATCGAGTTAATACAATCTAATGATATAAAACTAGCTAGATATATATACAAGTATAGCTATATTAGTAGGTTAGGTCTGTCTAGCAGCATGCATACTAGCACCACTCTTCCTACCTTCCTCACCATCCTCCTCGCCCTCAAAGCTCCCCTGCCTGACAAGCCCCTCCCTCTCCTCCTCATAGTCATCTCCTTCATGATCAACGCCACGATAACTATCAAAAACCCCCTGTACCTCTTCAAGGCTCAGCCCTCTCGTCTCTGGCAAATAAACCCAAACAACCGCCGCAATACCCAAGTCCAGGACCCCAAAAAGCAAAAACGTCGCCCACCCCAGATCCCTTAGTATATAGGGTGTCGAGGACGACCAGATAAAGTTCGACGCCCACTGGCTTGCGACTGCTAGAGACACGCCCGGGGAGCGGAGACGCGTTGGGAAGAACTCGGCGGTTAGCGGCCAGGGCAATGGGCCCCAGGAGAGATTATAGACTGTTATTGCGGTGTAGATGAGGAGGATTGTTATTATGCTTGTGGGGGATATCGATGATGATGTTGTTGATTCAGCTGGTGGGGGAGGAGGGGATATAGATTGGGACTTCAGCAAGATAGACGTGAAAATCATGCAACCTGCCATCCCGAGCGCGCCGAGTCCAAGAAGGGGTTTTCGACCGAACCGGTCAGCCACGAAAATGAGAAAGAATAGGCAGCTGAGGACTTTAAGGGCGCCGAAGATCCCCGTTAGAAAGAGGGTGAGGGAATGTGTTGCTGCTTCTGCTTTTGACTGCTCCTCTCCTGTGCCTGCGCCGGCATTAGGGGCGCCAACAAGGAGCCCAAAGAACTGGGGCCCGAAGTAGGCAAGTGCCGTCGCCCCCGTGGCCTGCTGCGCGACGAAGAGGAAGACGGCTAGGGCGATGCGGTGCAGGTTCGGACGGAGGAGGAGCTCGCGCGGGTGGAAGTTTGCGGTAGCGGTTCTGTCGTCGTCGACGGCGCGTTTCATTTCGGCGAATTCTACTGCTACCGCTACCGCTGAGGGGCTGTTGCTTCTCTTGCCCTTATTGTCTGCGCCGCGGATCCAGAGCAGACTTGTCCATGCTGCATGGGTGTGGCCGTTTGCCAGAAGCCAGCGCACACTGTCGGTTAGGGAGAGCATTCCCAGTCCCATGAGTGCGCCGGGAACGAGCTGCAGCGCGAGCGGGATTTGCCACTGCGCAGGCGTGGGGGCTCGAAACTGCAGCGCATAATCAATCCAGTATGAGGCGAAGATTCCGACGGTGAAAGTGAATTGGTACCCGCTGCCGAGACGGGCACGGAGGTGTCTAGGACTCATCTCGGCGAGGTATATAGGGCTAACGGTGGCGGAACCCCCAACGCCGAGTCCGCAGATGATACGCCCGATATAGAAGATGAGTAGGGAGTGCGAGTTGATGATTTCGAAGAGGACACCGAGGCAGAAGACAGAGGAGCAGAGCATCATTGCGCGCCGACGGCCATGGCGGTTTGTGAGTGGCCAGATAAGCAGGCATCCTGCTAGGGCGCCGGCTTGTTGGATGCCGACGGCAATGGCACTAACTTGGGTTTGGTCGTGTGCGGAGTATTGGAAGTCGCGAAGGAAGGAGTCGAATGTGAGGACGCCTCCTGGATTAATCTATTAGTTTAGATTAGGTGATTAGGGGTTGGATTTACAACCGATGACACCGGAGTCATAGCCAAAGAGGAGCCCCCCGCAGCAGACAACAGCCGCGAGCCAGTAGATGCGGAGAGAGGAGTCATGAGGTGGGTTGTTGTCGGAAGGAGTGAGGTCAGGATCAGGGTGGCCCTGGGGAATCTGCGTGTAGGAAGACATGCTCATCCATCTGTGAGATTTAGAAAGTGCGATTGGATGGAGATGACGTTATTCGAGACAATGTTGTTGTATAGTTACAAGTTGTCATGGATGCCACGTGCCAGGGACAGAGTTTCCCCCCTCAGGAACGTGCTGACTAATATAGGCAAAAAATCACAAACTGTGATATTCTCAGGCAACGTGGCCGAGTGGTTAAGGCGCTGTGTTTAGGCCGCAGTTCGAAAGATCATCGGTTCGAATCCGGTCGTTGTCATACATAATGTATCTTTCTCTTTTTTTTTGCTCTTTCCTGGTTCAACCAAAACAGTAATGCAGCCGACAGCCGACATTGCGTCAGATGGCACCACCCGCTCTGGCCGTAACAACTTCCCTCCCAAGTGATCGATGAGGGGGAGGGGTCGAGGACCCTCTGGAGCTCGTCGCAGCTCTGCCGACAGCCGATAGACGATTCTATCCAGCTATATACAGCTGTGCTTCTGCTTCATCATGGAGAGCGTCCACCCCCAACTCTGCCTCACGCGACACCGCAAACATGGGTAAACGCCCCAACTTTCTCGTTGTCGTCGCCGATGACCTGGGCTTCTCCGACATTGGCTGCTTCGGCAGCGAGATTCGCACGCCCAACATTGACAAAATCGCCCAGCAGGGCGTGCGGTTCACGGACTTCCATGCCGCCGCTGCTTGTTCGTATGTTCCCCGCATATACTCCATCCTGTAGGATGTCAAGTAACAGTGATAGACCCACCCGCGCCATGATCATGACAGGTACCGACCACCACATAGCCGGGCTTGGAAACCTGATCGAATGGACCAACATCTCCGGCCAGAACGGCCCCAAGGGCTCCAGTACAGACACTGCTCCCCAGCGCGGTATGCCCGGGTACGAAGGCTATCTCAATGAGCGGGTCGTTGCTCTCCCCGAGATTCTGCGCGACGCCGGCTACCACACCCTCATGTCTGGGAAATGGCATCTAGGACTCACGCCGGAACGCTCCCCATTCAAGCGTGGATTCGACCGCTCGCTCGCCCATCTGCCCGCGTGTTCAAACCACTATGCTTACGAACCACAGCTCCAGGAACCAGACGAGACCCCGACCTTCCTCGAGGCGAGCTATATCGCACTACACATGGAGGACGACAAGTACGTTAAAAAGCTGCCCGAGGGGTGGTACTCGTCCGACGGCTATGGCGATAAACTGCGCGAGTATCTCAGCGACTGGCACAAGAACAAGAAGGAAGATGAGGATAAGCCTTTCTTCGCGTACTTGCCCTTTACAGCTCCACACTGGCCTCTACAAGCACCCCGTGAATACATCGACCACTACCGCGGAGTCTACGATGAGGGCCCCGACGCCCTGCGCCAAAAACGCCTCGAACGCCTCAAGGCTCTCGGCATGATTCGCCAGGACGTAGAACCCCACCCCGTCGTCGTCGACGAAGGCGAAGGCAAGCCCTGGGAAACCCTCACGGCAGAAGAAAAGAAACTCTCCTGCCGCGCAATGGAAGTCTTCGCAGGGATGGTCGAATGCATCGATGCCAACGTCGGCAAAATAACCGACTACCTGGCCTCCATCGACGAACTCGATAACACCTTCGTCTGCTTCATGTCCGACAACGGCGCCGAGGGCGCCGCATACGAAGCCTACCCGCTCGTCCAATCCGGCGTCCTCCCGCACCTCCTCAAATACTATGACAACAGCTACGAGAACCTAGGCAACGGGGACTCCTTCATCTGGTACGGTCCGCGCTGGGCGCAGGCCGCCACTGCCCCATCCCGCCTTTACAAGGCATACACGACAGAAGGTGGCGTGCGCGTGCCGTTCCTCGCGCGCTTCCCATCCTCTGTCCAAACAGCCGACGGCGCGCGCAACGGCGCAATCACCGACCAATTCGCAACAGTTATGGACCTGGCCCCCTCGATCCTGTCCATGGCTGGGATCTCACACCCCGCGCCTGAATACCAGGGCCGTGAGGTTGTTCCGATGCGCGGGAAGAGCTTCCACGCCTGGGCGAAGGGTAGTAGCCCGCGTATCCACGAGAAAGACTTCATCCAGGGTTGGGAGACATGCGGACGGGCTGCCCTGCGCTTCGCGGACTGGAAGATCGTGTATATACCCAAGCCGAAGGGTCCAGAGCGGTGGCAGCTGTATAACCTGGTTGAAGATCCCGGCGAGGTGAATGATCTGGCAGAGAAGTATCCCGAGCGGCTGGAGAAGCTGCTCAAGCTTTGGGACCAGTATGTTATCGAGACTGGGGTTATTCCGTTGAACCCGGATCTGGGCGAGTTCATTGAAGCGACGGAGGCGCAGATGCCCGAGAATGCGTGGATGGAGTATGATTATTGGAAGATTGGGGCGAGGGATGAGCCTGAGAAGTTTACGCGGAAGCCGCCGAGGTTTCAACGAACTGTTAAGCAGTTTTAGGTATAACAAGGCAATAAAATGAATATGTACATAACACGCTTTTAGTAAACGATCTCAGATCTGTCGTGCCATAACTTAGATGGAAGTATATATACAGTTATATCATTACAAAGAAATCCGCAAACAGCTCCCGGCGCACACACCTCGAATCCGCCCACGTCCTTGATGTATCCTGGCGCCTCGTCATCTCCTCAAGCAGCACTAACGCCTTCCCTGTGTTGGGGTGCCCCAGTCCCGGGCCCAGTGCCGCCATGCGCTGTATCTCAGCGACGATCCAACCCCGCTGCTCAATTGAGCCTTCTAGGGCCGCAATGAATAAAGGCCATATAAACCCCATTGGCACGGATCCTGATCTGGAGGTATTGCCAGACCGATGTGGACGACTACTTTCCTCCTTCGCAAGATGGATAATCTGGTCCACGGCTCGATAGACCCTATCGGTACGTGGGTAGATCGCAAACGCAACACGGTGGAGATATACGAACAAGGCGAGGAAGTTCGCAACGTACGTCCTGAAAGTCCGAATGATAGTCGTTGCCAGGGCCGGGGCGAGAAAATCATAGAGGGATTCTTCGTCCCCGGGTGTTGAGGAGTAGAGGTCTAGGATTTTTGGGCGGCGGTTCCAGAGAGTCTCAAGGTCTGCGGAGACTGCGTGTGCAATCTGAAGGACTTCGAACTCGTCGGAGACGGTGCCACGAGTGCGGTGGTGTAGGTCTATTATGACGATGCGCCGTGTGAGTTGTTGAGTGGCGAGGAAGAAGGTGAAGGCTGGGGAAGTGATCGAGTGGGTGATTAGGTAGGTTGGGCATGTGAGTAGAGGGTCGTCTGAGGTGTCATCGCTTTCTGAGGCAGGGTTGGAGATGTTATTGGCCTCAGGAGGGGTGAGGTTTCCAAAGTCGGCGAGAGGGTCCCCGTCACGGCCAGCAACGAGGGCTTTGATGTCGAGAAGAGTGACCCATGAGGCGATGAGATGGGCGAGTCCAGTCCAGGACCGAGTACGACTATAAAAGCGTTGGAGAATGAGGTAGGAGGTGTGGAGGAACGGAGTTGCTGGACGCCAGTTCTCGTGGGATATGAGCTGTTCCTGTTAGTAGCTTTCCGTATATATGGTGGAGGGGATCGCACCTCGGCCAACATAAGCAGCAAAATACTCTTAAATATCCTCTTGAGCGACAATTCGCCCACATCCCCCAGTAAAGAAGTCTGAATCTCCGAACTCGCCTGCGCATGATACGTTGGCGCCAGTTTCCATGGCCTTCCCTCAACCCAAGCCTTATGGAAGTCCGAATAGCAATATATAGATAGTAGAAGCGCACGAGAGTCCCCGGACTCAGAAAGCATAGCATCTCTCACATACTTCCACTCCAAATCGACCGGTCCAAAGATCGTAGGCGGGGCCTCTCTCTCCCGGAAATAATCAAGCAGCTCTTCCTCCCAGATTTCTCCCGCGCTCGACCTTCGAGGAGAGTTCTGGTCTGGTAAAAGTCCAATATCCCCTGGTCCCCCAGGACCCCAGGTCATCTGTCGCTCGTCATGGAACAGACTACCATCGACCTCGGGGATAGCCGTTGAAGAGGAGGCGATGGTCCCCCCATTCGTGAGATCGATATGCTTCTGCTGGAAATCAGAAGTGATTTCCCCAATAAACCCTAGCATGTCGAAAGGGACGGGGAAATCCGAAAGAGGTGGTCCCTCAGGACTGGATGACGGTAAAGCTGTGTGCTGTTGAGCTGCCGCTTGCTGATGGCGTGCTTGCTCGCTCGGTCGGGGCACAGTACGAATGTCGCTAACAGCAGAAGCAGGCGACGCTTCCTCGGGCTCCTGTGTAGTACTGGAAGTCGATCGAGCGCGAGATGACCGAGCACGGGGTATCCCTTGAATAATCACGTTTTTGTAGACACATTGCAGCCGGAGACGACTGCAGTTGGCGCAGTTTGGTTTCGCTTCGTCGCAGCGTACTTTACGGGCTCGACAGGTGAGGCATCCGGTGCGGCGGCGGGGTCCTGAACGACCTGGACCCCGGGCTTGGGGCGGTGTCTGAGCATGTTAGATGGGCTCTACAGATTTGAACTAAAACATACCTCCATTTGCAGTCAGCAGCGGCGTGGAAGAGAAAGGGGAGGATGTCCGAGATGTTGGGCTGTTGCGGGGAACAAATCCGTCCCCGCACTAATTTTACGACAATCTATATTGTATACGAATATGGAGCATAAGATCAACTACCTATTAATCTATTCAATTGTCTACCGAATTGTCTATTTATAGCCGACTGTCGCCCATACACTTGGACGTGTGTAGCAAATGCCCTCTTTCCCGACGCACATACGCCGCAAAACACACCGCAGCAACCCCAATGGCCCCGTAGCTGATGTACACCGGATACTTGAACTGATCAGGATCCTCGAAGACAATCGTCGTAGCAAACGAAGCCATCTCGAACATGCTTTGCAGCGCCATTTCCGTTGCTGAAAAGCGCGCTCGTTTACCAGAGTCGATGTTCTGCATTCAGTTAGACAGCTGCAGTAGAAAGACAGTTTTTGCTGGCTGCTACATACCTCTTGGACGAGAAACTGCACCGATAAATCAAACCCCCAGAGACCCAGCCTGCTGAGGGCGACACCAACTATGAGACTCACCGCAACTAATTGGGGAGAGTCACTCGCGAAAGCAAAAGCAGCCACTCCCGCCGCCAGTGTACAGAACTGCCAGTTAAGGAACCACAGTCCTGAGCGGATAGGACCAATCCGGTCCATGAGGAATGGGGCAACCCAGGTCCCTGATATCTCCGCTAAGACTGCGCCGATTCTCATACCACTGACCTGTAGGGAGCTGAATCCGGAGTGGAGCAAGAAGGTCACCATGGTCGGACCGAATGATAATACAGTAAGGTAGAGGAGACTCAGGGCGAAAGAGGCCAGAAACACTGGTTGTCGCACATATTCCCGCCATGGTTCAATGGTTCCTTGGGCATATTGCGAGATGCGCCTGAGGAGAGAGCGTTCTTCTGCCTGCTCCCCTTCGCCTTGATCCTCGTCGTCTTGCCTATCCAAACTTCGATCTAGCTCAGGAACAGAATAGTATACCTGCTTTTGTAAGAATAACCCCACACACCGAGGCCAACTGACTTACCTGTGCAATTGCAAAATATTCGACTAGGACGACCGCCACATTGATTCCCAAGACCACCCAGATCGCAATCTTGGTGGATAGCAAGCCGTCCATGGAAGAGACCACGACCGGGGCGACAAGCTTACAAAACAGGTCAATCCGTCTCATGGTTGCATTCAGATCTATAAATCCATGTGAGCCATGCCCTTAGAAATCAGGTTTGAGGTATGTAGCACCTTTCCGCGAAACGAGCAGCGCGCCCGATATCACCACAGCCTAGTAAATGTTAGCTCTGGGCCATTGAATACCTGAATGCCAACGCACCCAATCTCTCTCCACTGCAACCGTATTAGCCGTCGCAGCTAATTTTTCCACGCCCGCAAGTAGAACTAATGCGGTGAACAGTATCCATGATAAGTGCGCGGGTGGCGATCTCAAGAGAATCCCCAAGCAGATACAAGACACCGCAACGGGGATACGTTGCCATACTAGCTCTGGATCAGCGATATATCTCTCAAACAATTAATTTATATGAATACGCACTGATGGAATGTCTGATGGCAGACAGCCGGTTTAATCGATCCACCGTCGCCCCAAGCCATGACGACAGAACAACTGCGAAGAGAGAGCGCACCAGCGCATAGACCGAGGCGTAGAGCAAGGTACCGGGAAATATCGATGCAAGGAACACAACAGCACCAAACTCAAACATGCGCGAGTTCCATGTCGACAGGAAGTGGGATGTGTAGAGTCGGAGCAGTACTCGGTTACTGGCGGAAGACCGTGAAGAAGCCGGAGCGCCGTTGGAAATCAACGGCTCGGAATCCATAATGGAGAAGGGCACGATCAATTAACAAGCGTAGAAGTTGGATATCTGCATATCGGATTCTGATCTTATGATTTATAGGAACAGGAGGGCGAGTTCGAAGCCGCCAGAGCAACCTTGGGGGAAAACTCAGACCACTCGGCTCGAAGACTGCGGGGGAGCGGGTTATTTCCTATGGCGTGAGAATATACCGGAACTTCTTAAACCTTTAAATAAAATTGTGTAAATATGCATACAAACAGTCTACAGATGAAAAAGAGACGCCATAGTCTACTATTAGCCATTTTACGCGCTGTCGTCTCTCCACCGCAGACCCTGGTCAGTCTTAACGGTCTGTCGCGACAGAACCTCACCGACCTTCTCCTTGACGCCCTCCTTGTTTTCCCATGTCTTCACAAAGTGCTCGATAATATTGCCCCTTGAGTTCGGGTTGTTCTGCACGTAATTTTTGATCGCATTCTCCGTAGGCAGGCCGTAGATCAAGTGTGGGTAGGATTTGTAGTCGCCCTTGCTCAGGAGCTCCATGCGCTGCTCGCCTTCCGGAATGTTGAAGAAGGCGTCGACCTGATCCTGGTTGATCTCGGCCAGAGTTGCGGGTTTCCAAGCAGCTTGGCGAGCGGGCTTCGACATCAGACGTGCCTTGACGCCCTCGACAAAGTCAGGGTGGCGCATGAACTGGGCAGCAACGTGAGCCTCGCGCCGGAACGTCTCAGAGATGGTCCACTGCTTGCCGAGTCGCATCTGGCGCAGAGTGACCTTGAGAGATGTAGGCGACCGAGACGAAATAGTCTCTAGCGTCTCCTTAGCCCACTTCTTGCACTCCGTCTCCTGTTCCAGTGCCAGCATGATTTCCTCCACTGTATCATGGCCAAAGCATCGGTCAATGGCGCGGCGCACATTTCCACCCAGCTGAATTGGCTCCTCCTGAATGGAAGGAAGACCGGTCGAGAATTCAGCCATTGTGCTGTTAACTAGCCGCAAACGCTCATCGCGAGAAACGCGGTCATTGAAAGTCAGTTCTGATAGGCGGGTCGTCAGGTTGCCCAAAACACTGGAGTGGAAGTAGTGTGTGGCAATGCCGGCGTACAGCGTCTGAACACCGCTCAGACGCGCCGATGTCAATGCCAGGTATGTGCCAACCTCACCATCAAGGCGAGGGAGGAAAAATGAACCGCCCACGTCAGGGAAGAAACCAATGGTCGTTTCGGGCATGGCGAAAAGGGTACGCTCGGTAGCGATACGGAACGGCGCATGTACACTAAGTCCGACTCCTCCGCCCATTGTGATGCCGTCCATGACGGAAATGAAAGGTTTTGGGTAGTTTGCGATGAGGTGATCGAGCTTGTATTCGAGCTGGAAGAAGTCGGCGGAAGCCTGTTGTCCCTCGGGACCTGACTCGTTTTGTAGCGCAAGAGCAGCAACGTCGCCGCCGGCGCATAGAGCCTTTGAGCCAGCTCCCGAGACCATCACGATGTTGGCGAGTTGAGATTTTTCCCATTCCTATATCAACACATTTCATGATTAGCAACGGAGCTCCCAATATGTTTCGATCCGGATTTCTAACCTTAAGTCTAGGAAGGATCTTGGTAACCATCGAGCCGTTCAACGAATTGAGCTTCTTTGGCCTGTTGAGCTCTACCAGTCGCACTCCGTATAGAGAATTGAAAAGGACATCGTCTTCTTCCGAGGGCTGTGTAGGGGTCTTTGCACTTGAGTCGGTCGACATCTAACCAGCAATTCGTTAGCTCACCACGCGAAAAATATTGTTGCAGATGTCGAATACCTTTGACGCCGCTGTGAAAGCTGGGTTGGTCACCTTGGCGCGAAGAGGCATGGTGCTTGCTGGTGATATCCGCGAGAACCAGCTCGACGGCGTTGAGGTCCGGGGGAGGCTGTGTCGGAGTAACATGAGGCAGACCCACTGTCTGGGAGAAGGAAGAGAGAGAAAAAGAAGGAGGGGATGGACCGAGGGAGCGAAGGTATTAAGTCGGATAGATGGGGTCGTGACGAAAGATGATCGGTTCGAACTCCGCAAGTTGGAGGATTTTCGACCTCGGAAGTTTTTTGCCTGCAGTTTTCCGCCGCCGACTGAAAGCGAAGATGGCCGAGGGAACGCTATGATGTTAGAGCAATTACATAAATATTACTATTCCTGTTGTTTATGCTCTTAATTGCAAAATAAAAATATTTGTAGTCAAACAGGCTTAAACGGGCTGTTTCTCACAGAAATACAGTTCATACCAATTGTTCATACAGTGCATGTGCTTGATGTACTAGCCCCGTAGAATATGCAAAGAACTCAAAGATTCATACAATACTGAAAATATCTATTTGTACACCCAGTCGAATTGACCAGTAAATGAAAGTATCCCAAGCACCCGGCGCTATACATTGATTAATACGTAGCCTTCGCTGGCTGGCTCCTCAAATCCCGCGAGTGATGGTACAGAATGCGATCCAAAGCCTTCTTCTCCACGATCAATCGGCCAGTCTCCAGCAAATCCTTCACGTCCACGTCGCTACGGTCCAGGATCTTCGCGTGTGCGCTGACTTCGTCCACCGTGTCGAATAGGTGCTCGTGCACCTTGTCTGTGATCAAAGTTGACCGGCCAAACTCCCTCCCCCAGCGGTTGACCTTGAAGATCTCCTTGATCAAGTGCGGCGTAGCGTCTTCCGGAATTCCAATTTCATTGTCGATGATGATGAGCTGCCCTCGCCTGTACCGGTAGCTAAGAGCAATTCGCCAGGCCTGGTCGTAAATCTTCTGCGGAAGCGAAGACGAAAAGTCTCGCGGGTGCGGGCCAAAAGCGACACCACCACCCCGTCGGATTGGCGATTTCTTGTCACCAACACGCGCCCTTCCAGTTCCCTTCTGCGCGTACAGCTTCCGATTACTTCCGTGCACATCACCTCTCCATTTGGTGCTTGCAGAACCTTGTCGGGTCATGTCGCCTTCATATACAACCGCGCGGTGTAGTAAGTCTTTTCGTAGAGGCATCTGCAGGTGGTCTCGGGGGTATTCGACAAATTGGACGGGTTCCATCGTTGGGAAGGAGTAGGTTGTCGCCAGGACTGGCTTCGGAGCCCACTTGGCTTGGAGGGCTTCTCTCGAAAGATACTCGGTGGTGGCGGCCGGCGACTCCGTGGCCATCGATCGTGAAAGGCATCGTTGCTATTGAGCGGTCAATTCTAGTATTCTCTTCCAGTGGCCGACTGGAAATCATACCGTGGTGGCTTCAGCCCCAGAAAGGAGTCCCCTTGAGCTGCGAGACAGCCATTTGAATGTGCTGAAAACGTTATTCCCAGCCATTGTGACGATAGTTGCGGCAAAGGGTAATTGAATTGAATAAATGTCAAAACCCCAGGTGAATTGTCGGGTTGAGAGCAGCCAAAAGTTCAGTCGGGGCGGTGGTTTGGCACTAGTGGTGAGGCTTGGCACAACCAGGAAAAAAAAGTTCCCGGCCAGAGTTCAGCATCAACCCGCCAGCGCGACCGTCTCCGTCCACCTCCATTTACACCCCTTCGCCCATTTTCCAGGAACAATGGCCCATTGTGAGCGGGCCTCCCGGCCTCTAATTCAATGCCTTCAGAGGTCCTCAATGAGAGGCCTCTCTGGCCTCCAGCTGCAGACGACGCGCGCTTTCCAGACCACCGCAGTCGCCCAGGAGGAAGCCCAGACCGAAGCCGCGAGCCAACCGTTCTATAAATCGCCCGACCCATCACTTGTGTCAAGTCCCCGGTTAGAGCGAAGATTGATACGACAGGGTATCTTGCCGGTCGGGTCCCGTCGACGTCGTGCCGCGTTGCAGGGTGCGCCCAGCGTGCCTTTCGAACAGCTTCCCTACCAATGTTTCCAGGAAGCACGGAAGGTCCTGCTTTCGGATCGAGAACAGAAGCTGCAGGAAATTACGGCTACTAGTGAGAAGATTGCGAAGATTCAGGCTCTGTCGGCAGAGGAGCGAGCAAAGAACTCTACCCACTCCCGGCTCCGCGCGCTGGAGATACATCTTGAGAAGCTCAAGGTTCTCGCTGATATCAACGATCCTTTGGTGAAGAAGAAGTTTGAAGACGGACAAGGTAATTAAACACTTCTTCCTTTCTTCACAGAGATGCTTACCACGAGCAGGTGACATGAGCAAACCTATCTACCGCTACCTCGCCGATCAGAAATGGAGGGAATACCGCCGCAAGATCATCATTCAACGAATTACGCAAATGAAAGTAATTCCCGACGTTCTTCCCCATTGCGACCCGGTTGTCGACACCAAGCTTTATTTCAACAGGAAGGCCGTGCAGCCTGGAGAATTTGTCAACTCTATGGTCAGCACCAGCGCCCCTAAACTCGACGTGCAAGTGTTCGACGGTGAAGAGAAGCTGGTGACTATCGCCGTCGTCGATTCGGACGTTCCCAACGTGGAAAAGGATAGCTTCGATTACAAGATGCACTACCTTGCCGTCAACATCCCCATCTCAGCTATCAACACCAAGGTCGACCTCTCCCAGCTCTCGACAGAGTCGCAGCTGGTCATGCCCTGGCTTCCTCCCGTTGCTCAGAAGGGCAGCCCTTACCACCGATTGTCGCTCTTCGTCTTGGAGCAGAAGGACAACAAGCCTTTAGACTTTGCGGCCGTCAAGGCGAAGGATACCAACCGCGACACCACCCTCCTCCGCACATTACAAGCGCGGTACCACCTCAAGCCCATTGGAGCGCACCTGTTCCGAACTCTCTGGGATGAGGACACAGCGGAAGTCATGAAGCAGATTGGCTTCCCTGAAGCCGAGATGGAGCTCCGACGCAAGAGAAGCGAGGCTCTGCCTTACAAGAGAAGAAACCCCTCTACCTTCCGGTAACCTCGGTTATCGTTCCACCACTGTTCTTGTTCTATCACATTTCGTTCCTAGATGTATTGTACAACCATATGTATGAATATAGCAACCTTTCACAAGTTCAAACCCGACTCCAAACTCCAGTCATGCATGCATGCGTACTATACAAATCGGGACATTGTAGCAGCACCCCCGTCCACTTCATTCGATAGCCTCTTGAACAGGCTTCAACGAATTCTCCACCCACTGTATCTTCGACAGCGGCCAAATCCTCGCAATAACCTTCCCATTGATCAACCCCATCGGCATCGGCCCATAATTCCTCGAATCCCTCGACCACGGCAGATTATCCCCACCTACGTAAACATGCCCTTCCGGCACCTAAACCACCATAATCATTAGCACATCCTCCTTCCCCAGAAAGAAGTTTAAGCAACATGCATACCCTTATCATCTCCCCATTCCCCCCAACCCCCGTACTAAGCGCCTCATCCCGACAAACAAAATCCCCAGGTAGCCCAATAACCCTCTTCGCGCCATTGACGCCCAAAAAGCTCGGGTGGTAGAAGCGCACCACATCCCCGACCTCAATCCCGCGGCCGTACTTGTGCATCTTCGAGACCAGGAGGTAGTCGCCGCGCGGCGAGAAGGTCGGGTACATCGAGGGCCCCTCGGAGAGCTGGAACATCAGCACATTCTCCCAGAATAGGGCTGCGGCTGCGCCGGCCCCCGCTGTGTAGTAGGTCAAACGGAGGATGGAGCGCGGAGTTGTGGTGCGGAGGAAATGGCGGAGAAGGGATTCCATTGTTGTTGGTCTGGTTTCTTTTCACTTCATTGCATTTGCGCGATTTGATGTCAATTAATTGAAACGTCGAGCTGTCGGCTGCGGCGGAATTGAACTGCTTAGATTCCGTATCGAGAGCTCCTGGTGAAGCTCCGAGTGGGTTCGTACGGAAAGCACATCACGTGATGCGCGCCGCGCTTTTAAAGAGATTTTCTGTGGGCGGATCATCTTCTCTTCTTCATCTACCCGCCTTTCCGGTTTACCAGGAATTCAGCGACTCAGGCTTGTCAATTGGTGCAATTGGCCATTCTATCAAATGGATTAATTGTTGGGATACACATTTACGATGGGATCAGATGGATATGACTGAACCAGGTGCTTAATGCTGCCCTGAGCGTCACTCGTCAATCCCGACTAATGTGTCTACCCAGACGACAATTTTCATTTAGTTATTTTTTGTTTGTTTGTTTGTTTTACTCTTATATAGAACAGCTTCTAAATTGCTAGAGCTCGCCGCTGCCGAAATTCAACACCAGAGCGAGTGAGTGTGGACACAGAAGCAAGATGAATTCTATACAGATCTGGTCTTTGGCCAGAGTCCCTGAACGATAGCCCGGCTTGGACCCCATTTAACTATGGGAATGGGAGGCTGGGTGGTAAGACGGGAAACAATCAAATTACACACGTAGTTTATACTTGAATTATATTTGAATGGCATTCATATTCTTTGGACTTGTTTGAAATTGAGTAGAGTTGGTCATTACATTGCGTTCTTCATCTCGCGCAGAGCAGCCATGACATCGACGGGGTTTGTTTTTCCTGTTTTCTTCTGGATCTCGGGGTCCTAAGTTGTTGTTAGCTTGAGTTGTACAGTTGTTGAAGGCTTGACTTACGGTGACACGCATGAACACGTTATGAAGCTAGATTATTGTTAGCCACGCTCGCCGTATCAGGCGCTTTGCAAGTGACGTACCTTCTCATCGCCAATCGTGAACTTGCCCTGTGTCTGCTTGTTCGCATCCGCGAAAGCCTGCAACTTCTTGATGGGCTCAGACTGCGATACCGCAAGGCAGAACTTGACGTTGCCTTTGGTGTACTCGTGTCCAGGCTAGACACAGTTAGTCGCATCCCAGTGACAAATAGGCACGAAACTCACATAAACCTTTGTGTCATCCGGAAGAGCAGCCAGCGTCTCGTTCAACGCCTTATGCATTTCAGGCGCAGTACCCTCGAAGAACCGGCCGCATCCTAGACAGTAAACAAAATTAGCAAACGTCCAAGAATAAGACAGCCAGCTAAACATGCCGCCAATGAAAAGCGTATCGCCGGTAAAAACAGCCTTGTCATTCCCGTCCTGCATGAAGTAGCAAATGCTATCTTGCGTGTGGCACGGGGTGTACAGCGCCGTCACGGAGATGCGGTCTCCGATTTTGAAGACCTCCCCGTTGGCTGGGGTTCTCGTAACAGACTGGCAATCTTTGCCGCCAATGATGGGGACTTTGAAGGCCTTGAGCACCTCGTTGTTGCCGCCTGAGTGATCCCAGTGGCTGCCATCTGTTAGTATATCGTGCCCGTGATATTTCATGGGAGCTTAAGCATACTGATGCGTGTTTACAATAGCCGTCAGATTGATCTTCCCGGCCTTGGTTTGGGCCTCTAACTCCGGGACAACCCTGTATGTCTTAGCTTAATACAGAATTTCATCTAAGCCAGCAGGAACTTACTCCGGCGGGTTAGCAGGATCGATAATAACCGACTGCTTTGTCGGCTCATCGGTTACCAGGTAGGCATAGTTATTGCCCTTCCCAGTCCCTGTATAAACATTAGCCAGCGGCCACTAGGTAATAAAGATCCCAAGAGAGATATACACATAGGAAGCGACTGGATATGCATGGCTCTAGAAGGCGGTCGCGGCAATGACGGCTTTATAGAACGAACAAGGACCTTGTGGAATGGCCGGGTGGCGCGTGTGAAGCTCATGGGCGACCAAGAGTGAACGAGGAGGAGCTGTCTGCAGGTGCATTAATAATGCGGAGACTGGTACTAAATAAGCAGTGAGTCTGCGGGTGGTGAAATACACATTACCTCATAGGCTGGCCCCACCAGCCACTGTGGCGGCCATCGTATATACGACCGTCCGACCCTCCGTCTCCGATTCTTATGGCTTTCTGCGGTTGATTCGGTTATTCCGATATTGGGGGTATTAATTCAAGCAAGTTGAAAACCGTTGGGAAGATTGTTGGGAGCCTCGAAACGTTCAATTGTATATATCCTCGTGCAGCAAGAAGGTATACTGTATTTACGACATTTATAGACTGAAAAGCTTATACAAGGCCCGAATCAAAACTGTTTCTGTTATATATGCGGTATGTTATTAATTGTTTGGAACCCCCGTGTTCTCCTCCGCCAAAGTATCAGCCTTCAAAGCCGGCCTGTCTGCCTTTCCTGCAGTTGTCTTCGGGACAGAAATCAGCTTGAATCCGATGAGGTTAATTGGGAAAGGAATTACTTACACCACCATCCACCGGCATAATTAACCCTGTGATCCATTTTGCCTCTTTGCTACAGAGGAAGACAATTGCTACACATCCCACGGTCAGCAAAGAAAGCTCTCTTCTTCAATCTCAACAACATAAAGCTGCCATACCATAGCCAACATCCCACGCCGTCCCCTCTTGCTTCAGCAGGTTCTGGTTGATCCGGTCCTGCCGCATTTTATCCGTCATGCCTCTACCCCGGACCATAGGGGTAAAGACCATGCCAGGGCAAACGCAGTTCACGCGAATATTTTCAGGACCATGCTGGGCAGCCATAGCTCGGGTCATTTGAATGATTGCACCTTTGGTTGTAGGGTATAAGAGGCTGGGGTTTCCACCGAGGACTATTTCCATGTTATACCATTGAAACGTTTATACAATAAGGAGGGGAAGGGACTACTTACGACCGCTCACGGAAGACATGTTGACAATTGCCCCTCGACCGTTCTTCCTCATCTCGGGGACGACGTGCCTGCTCATCAACACCATACTTGTCACGTTGATCTTGAAGTCGCGCTCCCAGGCTGTGAGGTCAAGCTTTGTGACATCTCCCATTGCACCACCGACTCCGACTAAATACTCACACATTACCACTGTATACCTCAACAATCCTAAGCAGGATGGAGCTTACCAATATTAACAAGGATATGCACAGTCCCGAACAACTCGACGGTCTTCGCAACAGCGTTCCGGCAGCTTTCTTCATCTGTAACATCGGCCTGTACAACCTCTGAGATCCCGCCCTCTTCGTCAATCATGCGCTTTGTTTCTTGTGCCCATTCGACGTTGTAGTCAACGAGGGCGACCTTTGCGCCTTGTCTGGCGAGCAGAATCGCCGTTGCTCGGCCGTTGCCGATTTCGCCTGATACTGTCAGTTCTTTCCTTTAACCACTACTGCTTCTTCATCCAGCAGCACTTAAACTGAATCAAACGTACCAGGCATGCGTGACCCAGCACCGGTGACAATAGCCGTCTCGCCGGCGAAGTCGAAAGCCTTAGCAGATGCCATGATAGTAGAAGTGCTGTTAGGAAAGTAGGTTGAGCGTTGGGTTCTCAATAGACAAGTAAGTTTTAGTGACGCGCTCTTATAAAGCCCGTACTGCGTTTTCATAGTATCGGCCATATTCCGAACACCGCAGATCCTAGGCTGCGACCCCGGGCATCTGCCGGTTGTCTCGCTCCACGAAGTATGATGCAATTGGGAAAGACCATTCATTTAACCAGATTATGTTTAGTGAATATTAAATGATCAATTCCGTGGTATGTATTTTGACATCTAAAGGCCAATGTTCCTATACTTAGGGCTTGGGTAGCGGGCAACACTACAGGTGAAGAGTTGAACAGCTCCAGTTTTCAATAGGTCATTGTGTTTACGTGTTTAATAATAATGTCTAATATTCTCTAATCATCGCTTACTTACGCTACTGTGACAGCCAAAAATCAAACCACTCTACAATACCCTTCAAGCTCTGCTCCTTCACATAGCCTAAGTATTAAGGATGTCAGCATTCGGCTCCAAAAGAGCTAAAATAGTAGAAGTTACATACGCTCGTATGGATTATTCATATCCCCTCTGAGGGCAAACCCGTGTGTAACACCGGAGAATAGTTGTAGTTGGTATATTTTGTTACCTGACTCCAGGATATCCAACGCAGTTCGCCGAGCTTCTTGAGGGAATGTATGATCTTCAGCGGAGCAGGACAGCATTAGCGGCTCTAAATGAAATTCTTTTAGCTATTTTCAATAATTCAATAAGATGCAAGGAAGACAAACTGGTAATATTTTCAAAGTGCGAATCCGTCAAGAAGGCCGGGTGGGCGAATGCACCAGCTGTAACGGTACTCTTTGCCAACTCATCGCAGACATACGGGGCGCCAAAACAGTAACTTGAAGTAGGCCACGAGTTAGATATCACTCCTCATGAGCAAGAACGGAGTAGGTAGGTAGGTAGGTAGTACGCACCCAACGCAAGCGTACTTGGTCGACGACCGACCATACGTTCTTCTCACTTCATCAACCCAGCGCGGAACAGCCTCATCCGCGAAGGCCATGTGCTTTTGCTTCCACGCCTCGTAATCGAAATCTGGATTCGAGTGATCGTGGCGGTCCCGGCGATGTTTCCAGACTGGGTCCTATACTGATCAGCGACGAGCTTTGAAGAAGATACAAAGGAAATATTGTACGTACACCCCGAAAATAGTCTAACCCAAGCACCAAGTATCCAGCCTCAGCAAAAGCATCCATTACCAAAAGGCCGTTTGGGAACATCCCCCATACATCTGGGAAGTATAGCAGGATATGGCCATTTGCGTTGCTGGCGGGCTCTGATATATATGTTTCTATGCCTGCAATTGTGATAAAACGTCCACGTGAATTGCCTTCGTGGAGGGATCCCTTTAGACAGCAAGATCCTGATGGCTGGGCAAGCCATGTGGTGTTTGTATTAAAAGTCGGCATTGGGCAGACTGGAAGATTGCTATAACGAAGATGAACATGTCATGAAATACTCATCATTACAGACCGTGCCTTGTTCGACTTTTGGCCAAATTAGCAGCCGGGCATATTCCCGGGCACTTGCCGGAGGGAGGACCATCAAGGCCAGCGGAGTTTGGCCGGCTGTGGGGGAATCTGTGGGGGCTGGGACCCCGTGGAGAATAAAAGATGCATGACGATCACACCGTATATTTTCCAGGGATGTCCAGACTTTGAATCAGCTTGTCTTGCAAAGTTCGTTCGTCTCTGAGAGATACGATGCCAAAGGATCGATCCGACAACATGCACATTCAAGAGGCTGCGCGTCAGGGACCCCCTCAGGGTGATATCGAAGTCGCAAAGGAGAAAATAGACCCAGTCCACGAGGTATGGATAATTGTTATTCTCAGTTTATGCTTAATTGCTAATTTCAATTCTGTTCAGGAAAATGCTGTCGGATACAAGGAATACCGTGAAGGGTTGCATATGGAGATAACAGCCAAGGAGGTGAGTCCATCCTCTTTCTATCGCTCTTCCTCCAATGCTCTAACAATATCTAGAACTCCAAAATCAGGTGGAAGATTGACCTGGTTGTTCTCCCGATCTTTCTCGTCACCCAGGCGCTGCAATTCATGGATAAAACGGCTCTAAACTACGCAAACCTGTTTGGATACCAAGAGACTTTAGGGCTAAAGGGCCAGGAATTCAATTATCTTTCAGCAAGTATGCTACTTCGGATCCGAATCTGGGAGTCAATGTTAACAGCTTCTAGTGGTATACGCGGGCTACTTCTTCGGGCAGTACCCATGTGGATGGCTAGTTGGGAGGTATCCAGCTCAGCGCGTGCTAGGCGTGAGTTGCTTTATGTGGGGGCTGATGGTAATTATCATGACACAATGTCATACATTCTCCAGCGCTTTAGGTGTCCGCTTTATCATGGGTGTCTTCGAGGCAGCCGTCACCCCAGGCCTGACCCTGATGACCGGTTTCTGGTATACCCGGCAGGAAATCCCACTCCGCCAGTGTATCTGGTACTCGGCGCTTGGATTCGGCGGCATTGTAGGGTCCTATATATCTTTTGGGCTCTCTAAACTCCCGGAAGATTTCAGTCCGGCGCGGTGGGAGCTGCTGTTTTATATCCTCGGGGCGGCCACTTGTCTCTGGGCATTTGTGATCTTCTTTGTCCTGCCTGATTCGCCCTCCAGTGCCTTCTTTTTAACGCAGCCTGAACGCATTCTTGCTGTGAAACGCGTCGCTGGAAATGAAACAGGGATCAAGAACAAGGCCTTCGACAAGAAGCAAGGCCTGGTTGCATTCTACGATCCAAAAGCGATACTGCTTTTTATTTCCGTGTTTGCTGCTGCCATTCCCAACGGCGTCGTCAATTCCTTTTCGACGGTTATTATTGAAGATATGGGATTTACCCAGACCAAGACGACAGAACTAAAATCTGTTGGCGACGCGGTCGTCATTATAGCGTTGGTTATCGGCGGCACTATCACATTGAATGTACCCAACTCCCGACTGCTGACCTCAACGGCCGCGAATATTCTTTGCACCGTTTCTGCTGGGTGTATGGCCTACTTGCCCCGGTCAATGAAGTGGTCGAGGCTGGTCTGCTTCTGGCTGGTGAATGCGCAGTCTGTGGGATTTACTGTCTCGCTGGTGACGATCTCATCGAACATGGCTGGCTATACGCATCGGGCTATGGCTAACGCACTTACATTGTAAGTATTGTAGTTCCATAGATTCGTGAGTTGCTCAACTAATATGGGATAGTACTGCATACTGCTGGGGTAACTTCGCTGGGCCATTCGTGGTGAAGCCATCCGAAGCGCCTGAATACAAGGGAGCCACGATTGGCCTTCTGGTCGGGTACGTGATTAAGGCTGCTTGCCATTTGGCACTTCTGGGTATGCTCTCTACATTATTGACAATAGTTCTGTACTCCGAGAATTGATGCTGATGATATTAGGCTACATGTTCACGGTCAACCGCCGCAGGGACTCTCGCTATGGGCCGGCTGACAAGGCTACAAGTAATGAAGCTGGGATGCAGGATCGGACAGAGTTTGAAAACAAGGATTTTCGATATGTTCTGTAGTTGATAGGATTTATGAAATATTTGAATAGTGTAGTACAGCTAAGCCTGGCCACTAAGCGAGTCAGTCGTTGGAAAGTCTCCGCGTTCTCCAACATCTCCGTCTCCATCTCCATCTCATCTCCACCTCCTTTCTTCCCCAACTAAAAAAAAAATCCATCATGCGAGATGGCGCGGCATCATAAAATCGTCTGTTCTACTTGTCGCCGTCGGAAAAGCAAATGTGACGGCGCGTCCCCCAGCTGCTCGGCCTGCATCGCCAGTGCTTCCAAGTGCCACTATGATAAATTGCCCTCGCTTGCCTACGTGCGCTCACTGCAGTCTCGCATCCAGGAATTAGAGCGGGGCCTACTCAATGGCAGCTCTAGTGGTGCTGGTGCACCTTCTCCCTCTAGTTCGTCCTTTGTCAGTTCGGCTTTCAGCAATGGAGCCACTGACCCAATGAGCCTGGATGCTTTGGGAGATGTCAGCTATCACAACCAGACATCTGCCATCCATGAAGACCTTCCACAAACACCTGCTCGACCACTGCACGCGAGAACTCCCCCATCAACAATAACGGACGAAGGTACTGCAGATGCCAGGCAACATCTTGTCGCCAATGCTGCCGTCCAGAAAGACTTCGAAATCGGCAACCTGGATACATCCTTGTCGTTAGCAAATATCTCCAAGGATCTCGCAAGCACCTTGTTGCAGCTCCACTGGTGCTGGTTGCATCCAAGCTTCCTTTTCGTATATCGTCCAGCTTTTACGAGGGACATGCCTCGACTTGCCAGCGGAGAGCAATCGTCCACATATTGCTCCTCCACTCTCGTCAAAGTTCTCTACGCCCACAGCTGTCGGTTTATACGGTCACCAGATTCAGTATGGAGCCCGAATAATAATGGCGAGACATTCCAGGAGCTTTCCGATCGCTTAATGACAGAGGCAAAGGCGTTGCTTGCTATGGAGACCCTCAATCCTCCTGCTATTCCCACGATCCAAGCATTACTCCAACAGTCGGCCCGTGACGTCGCTTGTGGCCGGTCCTCCGCCGCATGGCTCTACTCGGGAATGGCCTTTCGTATGGCCGTTGACCTGGGCTTGCACGTCTCTCCCGACAAGCTCCAGCAATATTCCACATCGCTCTCAGCAGAAGACATCGAGATACGAAAACGTCTCTTCTGGAGCTTATACTCGTGGGACAAGCACATCAGCATGTACCTCGGGAGGATGCCGAATTTTGTAATGGGCGCTGAAAACGTCTCCCTGGAATTCCTCGACGACTTTACCGACCATGATCCTTGGGTACCATTCTACGGCCCTGATGCGAATGCCTCGGAGCTCCCTCCGTTTCCACCCACCCCAGGCCGTATCATGTCCTGCTTCACGGAGCTGTGCAAACTCTGCAAAATACTCACGCGGGTGATGCTGGAACTCTATAGCTCTCAGTCTGCCGACAAAGCTGCTGCTTTTGTAGAGATAAAACAGGAGCTCCAGGAATGGCACTCGTCCCTGCCGTCGTTCCTCTACACACCACCCAACAAGATGCCTGAACTGAGCCCGCCGCCGCATATCACATCGCTCAACCTGATGTACCACAACACCCTGATCCTTCTCCATCGACCGCATGTTGCGAGTGCCAGTAGTGAGGTTCCTCGCCCAGCCGCAGTCCGACAAAGCTGGAAGATATGTCGATCTGCAACGACCGCAATATACGGCCTTCTCAAAATGTACGTACATACATTTGGGTTCCACCACATCACATACATGAATAGCTATTGCACTTACATGGCCGCAACGACCGCCGTGTACCAGCTGGAGACATCGGAGGACGTACTACAGTCCAACCAAGCGGCTTGGACGGAATTGAGGTTCCTGCTTGATGTCCTCCAGCGTACTGCTACTGCCATGCCCGGCCTGAACCGGAGTATCGAGATTATCAAAGCGCGCATAAAGAGGATCCTTGACCGGCAGGCTTCCAAACAGCTCGACTCTCTCTTTCCGGGTCAGGTGTCGAAGAGTCCAAAACGGGATACCCCAGGACTGTCTCATCCGGAAAACGGCTCGACCTCAAATACGTCGTCTGCTTATCCCTTAAACTGCCCTCCGGTTTATAACTGGGGAGATCACTCCCACGCAGGAATCAGCGCAGATGAGGATCTCTGGCTCCCAGCGTTCCCAGCGCAGGATACTTCCTACGGTCCAGAAGTAATGCTCGATGTCCAGGAAGCTCTCAGTCCGCAGACGCGGTCTGCGCTCATGGGGTCGAATCTTGATCCACAGCTGCGACTGGATCTCTCCATGCCTGACTCTACGATGGCTGGTTATGGCCTATTCTCTGATACTTTGCTCGGTGAAATGCCACAGAGTCCCGCAGAGGAAGGAGTGTGACCGTGTCGTATGGACAGAGCGAGTGATTTTGTAAGCGCCCCCATGTCCTTCAGATTTACTGTCTCGTCCTTTATTCCTCTCAATTCAGATGCCAATCAGTGTGTTACTATCATCCTCTACATGGCTGTGGGGTTTTGTTTATCTTTTTCTCCTTCGGTGTGGGTAGTCTGCATATTCTTTCTTTTCCCTCCCTATTCTCATAACACTCATCACCTACTTGGTAATACTTCGAGTTCACTTTGCGGCTTGTTTTTGATCAAGAACGAAGTCTTCTGTTTTGGAACCACGTTTTTGGTTAGACAGCACAGCCATGGCATCAGTGTTGGTCTACTCTGTAATCCCCATGCAAAACACCAGAAGGTCAACTAATCTGGCCGTCTTACAAATAGGAACAATACTATTTCAGGGCTGCTCCCAATCCCCCGCCACTAGAGAGGGATGATCACTGCGCCGTGTGCAACAAATATCCCGCTCGACAATGTACACAGTGCCGTAACTGCAGCTACTGTTCTACAGAGTGCCAGAGCGTCGACTTTGCTTCTCACAAGCTCCTCTGCAAACAGCTTATCACCCTACGTCCAAGCCCAACTCCCGAACACAAACGAGCAATATTCTTTCCCGAAAACGAGATAAACCCACGCATAATATGGGTCAAATGCACAGCAGATTCTATGGACGATGTCTACTACGAGTGGGTTGATGTGTCTCCATATCTCGGGAATCAAAAACCAGGAAAGTTCTACGCTCCTCGGAATAACTACCATGTGTCTCTTATTGCCCGTGACAACCTCCTGAGCGATGGGTCGTCCAACAACAAAAGCATTATAGCAACGGCGGGTCCCTCAATGGCATGTCCTTTGTCATTCCGCGGCCCCATGGTGGCAATCAGAGAAGTCGACTACGACACATATTGTGATATCAGTCTGGCCGATTTCCGGTGCCGCTCGGAATACCTTCGCTGCTACGGCATACCTGCGTCTGCCATGCCAACTATCAGTCGAGGTACACAGCCAGAGCCAACCGCGGAGTGAAAATAAGAAGTCAAGGAGGCAATATCCCGCAAAGATCCGACATCTTCGTCCCCGTCGATATTACCGCTAATGATACCCTTTCGCTTTTGCGGGAGATAGACCCTATATGTTTTCAGCTGTGACGTCTTCTGCACCGAAAGTCGCCATTATACGTATCTAGCGGGCTACATAGGGAAAACATTGATAATAGACCCTCAAAATATTGGCCTTGACTGATATAATCCTTTTCCTATTCAGCGTTGTATACTGTGCAGTGGATCAGGATGTCGTGACAACGGGTCCGCCCGCTGCGGGTCATGCACGGCCCGATTGAACGCACTCATCTCTGTCTATATGAAATCTAATTACCTGACCATCCAGGAAACATAGAGGAGCTTACAAGCCGAATCGGGGCAGCGACTTACGAGGAGAAGTCACTATTTCCCATAATATACAGCAATGTAGCCCTAAGTAGCTCATCCCGGCTCGCTGACTAAGGGCAGCCAGACCCCATAGCCAAGTGGTTACGTCAGTACTACCTTTAACATCCCCGTACAATATCTCTCAACTTCATATCCAAATTCAACTACAAATTAACTCTAGCCACTATGACAGAATACATGAAAGCATGGCAACAAGCCACACCCGGCCCCGTCGAGGAGAACCTCAAACTCATCGACAACGCCGCACGCCCCAACAATGCAACCCTCAAGCAAGGCGAGATCCTCATCCACGTAGCCAGCGCCGGTCTCAACCCGGCAGACTACAAAACCCTGGAAATGGGTATACTATCCCGCGCCAGCATCAAGTTCCCCAAGACAGTGGGCCTGGATCTCAGCGGTACTGTCGTGGGCGTGGCCGATGGGTCAACGGACGTCAGGGTCGGCGATAATGTCCTCGGCCGCGTCGAGCCATTCCAGGCGGACGGCTCACTGTCTGAGTACGTGGTGCTGCCACGGGATGCATACGCCGTGCTACCCAAGGGCGTGAATCTCGATCAGGCTGCCGGGTTGCCCACGGCGGGGATGACGGCGTATCAAAGCATCAAGCCCTACGTCAAAGCCGGGGACCGGGTCTTTATTAACGGCGGCTCTGGAGGTACAGGGACCTTTGGTGTCCAAATTGCAAAGGCGCTCGGGTGTCACGTCACGACTTCCTGCTCAACGGGTAAAGTCGACCTGGTCAAGAGTCTAGGTGCCGACACGGTCATCGACTACCGAGTCCACGACATCGTGGCTGTGCTTGAAGCCGAGGGTCAAGTCTATGATCTAGTGGTGGACAACGTTGGTAGCTCGCCAAAGGACTTTTTCTCTACGACGCCGAAGTTTCTCAAACCGGAGGGACCCTATATTGCCGTTGGGGCCACTGCGTCGCTTGACACGGCTAAGACTTTTGCTCAGGGCCTGCTGTGGCCGACATTCCTAGGGGGCACGCCGCGCAAGTTTGTACCTTTTTTCACTAAGAATGTACACGAGGACTACGAGCAGCTTGCGAGGTGGTTGGCAGAGGGGAAAATAGCGACCATCATCGAGTCAACATTTGAGTTTGAGCAGGCAATTGAAGCCTTGCAGCATCTAAAGAAGGGCTCCAGTTCGGGAAAAGTCCTTGTGCACGTCTCGACCAAGGCGTGAATGTACAATATATTGCCCCATGTAACAATAATCATGACGAAATGCAAATTATAAGTCTACTTCTTTTGGCTTTGATGTAGGGAGTTCGCGTACTTCCTGTACAAGAGGATTAGACATAGACAATGGGTTTGAATTATATAGTAAGATAGTAGGTTCAGAAAATACTGTGCATTGACTTTGGAACCCCAGGTATATATAGTTTGTGAAAATACAGTTGATCACTTGAATATAAGACACGGTGCATATAGTATTTACATTTTGCTCGGCATCCTCATAGCCCCGTCAATCCGGATAACAGTCCCATTCAACATCGAATTCTCAATACTCGATCGGACCATGTGTCCGAATTCCTCGGGCTTTCCTGCCCGGCGCGGAAACTCCATCACGCGCTCAAGACTCGCCCGCGCCTTTTCGGGGAGAGCTTTGGTCATGTTGCTCTCAAACAGACTCGGGGCAATGGTGACCACACGAATGCCGTATCTAGCAACATCCCGGGCCAGCGGGAGCGTCATGGAGGCAATCGCACCCTTTGACGCGGAGTAGGCAACCTGGCCGGGCTGACCATCGAAGGCGGCAGATGAGGAGACCAAGATGAGCACGCCTCGTTCCCCGTCGCCGGTGAAAGGTTCGTTTTGAACTAGGTGGGGGATACAGAGACGGAGCAGATCAAGTGTTCCTCGAAGATTCACGTTCAGGACGAAGTCGATACTTGACATTTCCACAGGAGATTTTGATCGTGCATCATAGATCTACTCGTGATAATAACAGGATACAGTGAGTCTGAAGAAGTCTCACCAGTCAATAGGACGACGATATTCTTACCTTGGACGGTAATCCAACACCGGCAGCCGCAACAACTCCTCCAAACCGCTTCCCGGTCTGCTTGATCCAGTCGGCACCGGAAGCAACGGCAGACTCGATGCTTGAAGTATCGGTGACGTCCGTCTGCACGAATTTCGCTCTGTCGGCGCCGAATTCCTTGACCGCGTCCTCATCCAGGCCTGGGTGCAAGTCCAGCAGCAGTACATTGGCCCCGGCGCGGTGGAGCTCACGGGCTGTCTCGAGCCCGAGTCCTGAGCACCCGCCGGATATAATGAAAGTTGCGTCTGCGGGCTTCATGGTAGGCCTATAGGGAGATGTAAGAAGGAAATCGGAAGTGAAATGGGAAGCTTGTGACTTGAGCTCATCTGCAAGTGATTGTATCGGTCGCGTGAAGTACCGAGGTAGTCAGGCAGCTCCACCACGCTTAACTTATAACGGTAAAGATTACCCCAGAAGTTGGTTCAGTATAATGCGTTGATTTCTGAGGTGTAGGGGTTATAGCAGAGACCGGTTTGACACCTCTGATCTAGATGGGATCCCCAGATGGTCAGCATGAGTAGTGGACTTTGGCATCCGGTAAGTCTATATGAAGGATATGCTATATAAGGCAATAATACTCCTGGCTATTCAAATTCCTATCCTACCTATACTTTTCTTGCCATTGGCCATCCAAATGCGCTCATTTACTCCATGACGTAGAATATAACATGGATAGATACCAAATAAATGCATGCCCTAATGCTTTAACAAACCAAAGAAAGACTTTAAACCGGATCAAAACCGGAAGAAACTATTGCATAGCCTTCTGCCTTTGCCGCGTATTCCAATTCAACGTTTTCGACAAACTACGCATCCAGTCATCGCCACGACCTCCATGAGGCAGGACATTTGCAAATGGATATCGCGACGCGGAAACTGTCGCGTAATCACCAGGCAGCAGTTCAACTCTGTCGGGAGTGGCATTAGCGGTGTTCATCCAGTATAAAATAGTGCATGCAGCTTGTACAACTTGATTATTTGGGCGGGATACATACCTCTGTCGTCCATCAAAGCTCGCCCACGAGCTTGTCCTTGCGTCGTATGGAACCCCAATCCGAAGCACGACGGTGTCGGGGAGGATAATCGGACGGAAGGAGAGCGTGTGCGCGCAGATTGCGGTGATCAGGATGACCGGGTTATCGGGATGCGAGAGGGAGCCGCCCGCGGCCATGTTGTAGGCTGTTGAGCCGGTTGGGGTGGCGATGCAGACGCCGTCAGCCTGTAGGGTTGTGAAGTGTTCGTCACCGCCGAAGAGTTCGATTGATGACATGGCTAGGGATGTCAGTACTGCTGCATGATGCATACATATAGATGATTGCACGACTTACTAGGATTCGGCCCTCTGTCCACAACAATATCGTTCAGGATATGTACGACCCCGTCGGGCCTATGACTGAGGGTGCCGTCCGATTCATCGCCTATTAACTCCTCGACCAGATCTCGGTGCTTCTTGCTAAACGGGTTCTCTTTATTGTGTGGGTTGCTCCGCATAATCGTGCATTCGAACCGCAGCCGCAGACTAACCATGACGCCGTCCTGGATCGCAGACCCCAGGATACTCTCATAGTGATTGAAATCAAACTTGGTCAAAAACCCAAGCGATCCCAACGAAAAGGACAACACAGGCGGTACAACATGCTGGAACAACCAGCTCGTGTAGAGCACCGTCCCGTCACCACCAAGCGTAACAACAAAGTCAAACAGGGACGCCTGGTCGGTAGCCAGCTTTGTATCCCAAAACTTGAGCCGCTCTTCCGCAGCCGGATTCTCCTTCAGCAGGCCCTCGTAATTGAACTCCGGGTCACCGCGCAGCTTGTTCTCAATGTACACCACATACTCCACTCCACGGTCCCTAGACAGTAACCACCGCGTAACTTTCCTCGTCGCATCAACAACCGACTCATCCCCAGCCTTGGTGACAAGGAAAATCGTCTTAACATTGAGCTTAAGCCGAATGCTATCAAGCTTCTTGGACAGGTTGCGCACATTCCACGCCATATCGGAGAGTTGTTTCTTCGTGAGCTGTCGGGACTCGACCTCTTTCGCCTTCGTCCGCGGCGACTTCGCCCGCCGATGACTATCTGGTTTTATATTTTCGATGTCCGCTTCTGCTTCCTCATCGCCCTCTTCCGTGATGGCGACATCGTGCGCCGCGGCAGCGGAACTATCGACAATGTCCGCCTCCAACTTCGATTTGTCTTTCGATATCCGGAAATTGGCGATTCGGGCAGGTGTTAGCCCTTCACCCGCGATAAGGGAATGCACGAAGCATGCTGTCGCTTCGTCGGGGTCTGGGTGTCTGGGTTCATCGGCCATTACGAGGGATGCCTTGCGGCGATGGCTGTAGGTTCTAGGGGGAAGGAGGACCTATCCACACCAAACTGGAGTTAGTGATTTATTTAATACAGATGTATATGAAGAGAGATTACCTCAAATTGATTGGGATCGTTTTCTTGCTGCTCGTGTCCGTCGCGGCCCTTGAAATAAGAGCGTCAGCGTGTTTGTTGTACAGCTATCACGAAAGGGACAGTACCGTATCTCGAGGACTTGGGCTCCGTCTGTCCATTGCGATAGGTAGTTGGAGCTGGAGCTAGAAAACCGGCTGAGTGCGTCATTTGCCGTCTCTTTTCGAGTCTGTTTTATTGCCTCTGGTTGAGGTTCGATGATGCTGTGTGGAGGAAGCGGTCTATGACGTCGGTCCGCTGCGGAGCTAGGGAGCCTTCCATATTGCAGAACTTGTTTTGGTCGTTCGCAATGGGCGATAATTTGGAGAGATGAGAGTTGTGTATTGAGTGTAGGAGTCGACAAACTAGTTAGGCAAAAGAGTTGGGCAAAATCGGTCAATTCTATGAGGCATATTTTTCCCATAATTTGGGGTAGGGGTTTTAACAGCCAAGCTTCGCGGAGTCTGACATGCTCCTTCGCTCACAACCAGACAAACCATTGCATGATATCAATTCAGAATTATATACTTCAAGCGGATGTTGTGTGTCGGCCTCTCAATTCGCTACGCAACTACTGAGCTATCGCCGACGATATTCCCAAACCAGTACGGTCCTCCTCTGGTACTTTCCGATGATGACTGATAAATAATGGATAGTTAGTTATTTGATAATAATAGTGCCTGACGACAGTGAAGCCAGACAAAGGAATCCATGACGAATATAGAACTGCCTCGGCCTGCCAGTGTCTCAAGTATAATTAGCAGCCCAGTCTTCGACTTTGGGGAGAGCGACGGAGGATGGTCCGGACCGCGGTGGAGAGCCACCGGGGTCAAGGTGACGAAGTCTTCTTGTCTGTGACCAAAGTTCGGAGTCATAGATTGCCAAGTTGGCACAACAGTTGTGCGGTTTTGTCGGTGAGTGAAGCCAAAGCAACTGGACAACTGAGACAAAAAAAATGGACTTGTCACCCCGCCACGATGACCTGATCAGCAAGGTGCAGTATCACGATGCCCCTCATTTCATCATCACAGCCCCTCCAACCCTTAAAGGAGTCAGAGCCCGAGGTCCCCTGAATCAGGTCAAACTTTGCACGGGACAAATAGTCCAAAGTAGCGAAGGAGTCGCGCCTGCAACAACCCGGCGTCCGTCCGACCGCAAATCCCAGCGTGTGTCCAATTGATTCTGGCTTGTGGTTCCTGCAGTCGAGAACGGGACCGGATTTAGGTTCAATAATCGACCCCCCAGCTGGTCACGATTTGCGCCGCGATTCATGTTCAGTGAAAGCAGGAGAAAGCGCTTGTAAGGGAAGGAAGCGAATTTGTTGGAGTTGTCGTTGCGAGCGACTGCAACGTGAATAGATTATTGCCAGCCACCGCAAGCTCCAGCTCCACCTAACTCTTCGTTTTGGCCCCTCATTTTGAGCCTTGACATCGGAGGACTTCCTTTCTGTGGAGAGTTTGGAGGTCCATGCAAAGTTTGACAAGTATTAAGATGAGACGGCGAAGTCCGGATGAAGCACGAAAAGCGATAATCATCGGCTCGTTGTTGGAGAGGCGGGTTGCTGCACAATACCACAAGGTCAGCGTCCTCCACAATCTGTGCCTACCCCGGCATTTTGGGTATTCTAGTCGAGCAGCCACAAAGCCATGAGTATGGAGTATGATGCGATGCTCTCTTTGTCCTGGCGAAACCATGTGGCTTTCCAAACCTTGATGGCGCTTGGGCCACTCTTGGGTTCCCAATCAAAAACCATGGTAGAGTGAATTGGGTCCAGTCCCAACCAGCCCAGCTCCTCCGACCCAGCGGGACGAAGGAAGACAATTCTGATAGACATTGGCAATCACAGTACACGAATAAACTTCCTGCGAACGGCCGGTTGCAATAACTGGGCGGAAGTTGATTCCAGAGTCCAGGATCCAGGCGGATCGGTGGCTCACTAATCGGATCCTGAATCCTGGGCCGCAAGTTATTGACCGATTGTTTTACCATTATGCCTGCGGTCCACTGCCAGGGGGTAATCAGAATGCCCCATATTGCAGATTGAATCAAATGTATTTGATTTGGAGCCGATGCAAGCGAGGGAAATAATGTTGACCGAGGTGCTTGGTTATGCAGGCCGCAAAGTCAGACACAGACTCTGAAGCCATCCCTGCCTCTTTACCCATGCAAGCCTCAGAATCGAGAACGCCTCGAGGATAATACGGAGTCCTCGACGAGGCGGCGTGTGATATATTTGCTTTTTGCCGGCTATCACAATGCTGAGTGTGCGCCGCCGGTCCTGGAAATTGGTGATTGACTCGAGCCAACGGAGAGTCCCACTTGATCTGCCGTGGCCAATGCAGCCAGGATCGGGCCAGTTCTACGCTGGATTTTATTTGCCCGAATCTTCCTAATTCTTAACCTTGTTTCGCCAGCCACAAGAACCTGGCTAATATCACTCGTCAATGCGCCTGGCCTCCAGGAGGGCCGTTGACCGTAAACTGTAACGGGTACCAGTCTTTGGCCCGTCAAACTTTGCCGGAAGACGCACACAAGCGAGATGCTGCTGTCGTGTCTGATTCGTTAGCCTGAGCTGATCAAATGCTGCGCTGGACCCCATACAAAAGTGACCTCAATTAAGGATGGAGTCGAAGTTGGGGTCATGCGGTTCCCCTCCTAGCATATGGAACTGAGTCTGCATTGGGCCCCTGTAAGAGGATGCCTCAAATTTGCCACTTCGTACTATTGCGATGACTCCGCGCCGGACTTACATACCAAACTGGTTTAAGAATCAAAGAGTCTTGGAAGGTCTGCGCACGTGTGAGGGAGGCTTGGCCTTTAACTGGGGGTACCCTTTGGACACTGCCGCATGGAAGGCAGCAATATACGCAGCTGAAAGCGAGTTGGGCGACTTATGGTGTGGATAATACGGGGCGACAGGCGCCTTGGGAATACGAAATTACTGCAACTCGAATCTTCTCAATATTGCAAAGAGAGCGACGTGGGAGTTTGTAAGCCCGGTGCAAGCCAAGTTCTGCCGCAGTTTCATCCTTCGGATAGTCAATCGGATGTTCAAAGGCGGACATGTAGACTGTGCCATGGCCGCGCCACAATGTCTGAGCTCGAGATCAAAGCATGAAGCATCTGATCGGTCAGGGAAATAATCATGGATGCAATGCAATGCAATGCCACCCGCCCCGGTGACCTCCCCTCGCGGCCTGGCCCTCTTGGGCCGAGAGACAGAAGCGATGATAGTTGGAAGAGATTAATTGGAATCATGGCTGCTGGGCTGCAGGAAAAGAAGGTTCAGGCTACAGAGGGGTATGCTCACTCTCCTTTCTTTTTGTTGTCCGTCCAGAAAGGTGATGGAGTAGTGGTTGTTCAACAGAGGGTGGGACGCATCTGCAGGCGAGCATGACTCAAATGGCATACATTGTATGCATGCAGGTATCCCGCATCAGAGCCAGCCTTGCACCCCGGAGGAGACGCTCCCGTTTGGCCCAATAAAAGGACCGAATCCTCGAGGAGGCCTCTCTGCGTGATATCGCCGGCGGCTACTCCCTTGTAGGCTAAAGGCGTGAACCCAGGAATGCGTATGTCTTGTCGTGTCACATTTGCCCTGTGCCCGGTCCTGAAGGGAAGGAGTCTTTGAAGGAATGGGCCCCCGCAAGAAACGACATGCTCGAGAAGCAATCAGCGGCGCACCGCCCTCATACAACATGTGATGACTCGTCAGGAGCGCTTGGGCGTCCCGCAAGCACGCCGCAGAACCCAACAAGATCAGCTTCTCGTCGAATTCCGATGATGATCCATCCAGAAAAACCAAAATAGGGACTGACATGCCACTAAGGTAAGCCAAATTGTTTAGCGTCAAAATGTTCCATTTTTCCTTTCACCAGGCTGGATTTTCTCTTGAATTCAATTTCCCCTTTGAATTTTTTTCTATTAATATTTCCCGTTTCTTTGCATCCTTGGCTGACGCTCGGGCCCGAACCACGGTTTGATAAGCACGACAGCCGAAAATCCGTGGACGGCTGGGAAGAGAAAGATTGATGAAAAAGGAGCAAGGCGCCACTTTCCTGTGTCTCTCCCTTTCTCTCCGTTGGGCTTTGTGGATGTTACAGCTGAGGAGTCTCCGAGAGCGACTGTTGCCGAAGGAGGTTTGGTGTCGCGCTGTCTGGGACAGTGCGACCGCCGATTATTCTTAGCATGGCTAATTTTTGACCCCCAGCGAAACAAGAACAATCACCGCTCTGGCCATGTCTGAGTTGCTGGTGTCGTATTCATATTATCATCACTATTATTACGATTCCGTAGTTTGAGTTTCAGATGAAGCTCGCCTGAGTCCCACCCGCGCCCGAGAAGGCGCGTCTGGATCAGGTCTGAGTTGCAGAGCTGGTTGCGGTGGCTGCTGAGACTGACGTCTGTGGAAAATGGACAGATCTCCCCACTCCGAGGTTCCAGCCGCACAGTTCACAGCTTCGCAAGGAGCAGCGAATGAGACGGTCGTATGCATTCCTTAAGGCTGTGCTTGAAGGTCAGGACGGGTGCTGTTTCTCATTTGCGGGTTGCAGTCCTGGTCAATGATCATCAATTCCTGGGTGACCTCTCAGTTCACAACATCTCCCAATAATATCCCTTCAGCGCCAGGCAACGCTGCTGACGACGGGTGATTATTGCTGGAGGTTGCATACAGCCCAGCTGGTGATTCAAATAAAGCGATCGGCGTTGTACTCCGTAGGGATCCAGCACAGGTCAGCAGGAAACCTTGGTCGTCGTGCCTTGATTATTGCTCCTCGCCTCCTCGCTGCTCCAGACCGCGGGCTCGGTTACAAGACAGTTACTTTGAGGGCCTCCTGGAATCGCCGCGGCATGCTGACAAGACGCCTAAACGTTCCGTCTGCGAGCGACAAGACCGAGCTCCACTTGGCCGGGGGGCTTGGGCTGCAGAAGTGTATCCGGAAAGCGATCGTGAGTCGTCGTCCGACTTGCTGTCTCTCGGGAGATGGGAACGGAGACCCACAGTGGCTGGCCCTTCCTCCCTTTCCCATTCCTGAGTCCTCGCTCTGAAGGGAAGTTCAAGAAGGTCGAACTAACCCGACCCCTGACCTTCTGGAATTCTGTTCTTCTCACCCTTCCCCTCTTCGGTGGAGCTGAGCCCCGCACTCGCTCTTTTGGCGGTTCTCCTCCTGTAATCTCCGTCTCCTGATTTGTAGGACAGCCGGGCGATGATCTCAAGAGTTAAGACTGAAGGTCAATTGTCCGATAGGCGGTTGCTTAGTGTCGATTCAAAGTCTGATGGTCGCACGGGGCTTTGAGTTTTTTTGTCTTTTTTTTCGTTTATTCTACTTCATTTTATTCTTTGGTCCACTTCGGCACGATGACGAAGGGTGAATCTCTCTCACCGCTTTGGCATCCTCTAAAAGATCAAGGCTTGGGTAATGGTTGAGTTCTGCAAGAGGCAAGTCCGTATTCATCCGGACCAAGTTGGTTGTTGGACGAGTTGTTGGACGATGTGACAGGCAGCAGTGAGAATCTGATCACCGCATGGCTCCTGTTTTGCTCTATCAGGCATTTGATATTCATATCCCTTTTGCTGGGCTGCTGACGGTGTCGAGCCCCTGGGCCTGGGGGGCCTCGTTCAGCGAGCGGGTGCGGCTTTCAAAGTAGTCGAACTACCACCCTAAGCGGCAAAGCACACCCTAGGCAAAGCGCGTTTCCTGGAAGCCGGCTCCATCAAGGACCATTTGTGGTCCCATCGATTCCTCTGACGCATGCACAAATGACAATGCACATCCCTCCAAACAAGTCACCCGTCCTTGACCTTCCTTTTGTTGGGGGTTGCGAATTGATTCTCGGCAGGATGGAGTGCATATGCCGTCGTCTCCGCGGGAAAAGTGGCTCATCAAAGTCGTCGTCACTCCGCAGTGGCACACTTAATATAATCTACCAATCTGGTGACTGTATCGTCTTATACAAGTGCGCAAGTCTGCCCATAAAGGTGTTTGCACAAACCCCACTTGAGATGGGACTCGGGAATGACCAAAACTTAACAGTGTGGCGTTTGGTATCGTGGCCGAACCTTCCGTCCATTCTTCCTTCACCGGTGTAGAACCTTCAAGAGGAAGGGATTTTTCATTATTTGCCCCAGTTTGAGTCTGGGATTATGGAGCCAGACAAGGGAAAGATTATTGGGAGCGCCAGAAAAGTTCCACACAAACATGGCGAGCCGACAGCATATCGCGGAAGGTGATTCGCAGAAGGCAGCTGGTGGTGTGAAGGGCGCTAACGGTGGTTCCTCTCGTATCCTTGGTTGGTCCTGGATACAGCGGTATCAAATGTGGGTATGCCAGGTTTATCAAAGAATGATCACATCATTGATCGTTGTTTCCGCCATTTCCGGTTAGACTGGCGATTAGATTAAACTAGGCGCTGGAGAGAAACGGGTTCTGCAAAGGCAAATTGGTTCGTGTTATTCACAGAGGCAGAAGTCAAAACTACTCAGGAAAAGCCACTCATCTCGAAATCATGGACCAGGCGACGCGCCCAGCCATGGACGCCCTTTTGTCTATTGGTCACAGCCACCATCATACTTCGGAGATTCGAATGATCGGTTGTCCTTGCGTAACGGCGATTTGACAGGTTGGAAACGGTGAACTTGTGGGGACCAGTGAGGAATCCGGGCAGAACTTACTTCAAGGGCCAGGATGGAGTACGTAATAATGAAATATCAAATATGGGAGGGCAAGGTCACGCAGACACTCGCACAGCGGCAGGGTCGGCGATCAGGAAGAAGTGCCACAGTTTGCCTGTGAGCGTCCTGGTTCAAACGGAATAATAATAAGGTACGGAGACGGATGGGCTGTTTTTGCACACTAGCCCGAAGCAGACTTGCACAGTCTGACCTGGAACTTACTGTATTGGGCAGGTTAGCCCCAGGCCGCTCTGTTCTCTGAGACCGTCGGATCATCCCCACCACATCATGGACCTCATTCTTAGTTTTGTCTTCTTACGCGGAGGACCCTCTCCCACAGGTTGCCTATCATCGCCGAGTCCAGACTGGACTGGCGATTGCCGCCTTCATACCGTGGTACTGGCATGGGCGCCTCTCAGGCTCCATCCGCGCTATTCTGTTACTGTTACTGCTGCCCATATTCACATCCTTCGCTCCTTCCTTCCGGAGCCGTGCCAGACTGCCACCAACGCCTTGCTGCCCCCTGTCTGACTCTCCTGTTTCTGATCCACCCATTCCCCATGACTCCTCAGACACTCTAGCCCCCTTGGGCGTGTCAACGTCGTGTCATTCCCAACCAGCATGTGCTGCTCTGGCAATCAGCATTCACCCTGCGATCGTAGAGCTCCAGCGGATGGTAGATCAGGAATTTGGTGTCCATGCCATGCCCATGCTCGAGCTAGCCCACCCACAAGGCTCCTTGTGTTCCACCTTTCCTTTCTTTTTAATTTAATTTAGGATTATTATTATTTTTTGAGTTTGCTTTCCGCTGTCGATGATCTGGCCCAATAGTCGGTCCCTTCTCTTTGGCTAGTACTTAACCCGGCGCTGGCCTACATGCGACTTGTATGGTCCTGGCTTTCTCGTACCTTGCCTCAAGCGCCTGCTGGTGACCACCCTGTGTCATCTTGAAGTCTGAACCCCAGGTGAAGCTAAAGGTCTTTGCATATTGCCGCAGCCGTCCATGGATCCGCCCCATGTTTGATGCTACCTACTCATATATACCTCCTTCCTGATCCGCCTCCCAACACATTCGGTAACTATGTCTGGTTATCAACACTACTACAACTGAACTTCATATTTTACTTGCGACCTCTTTTTTTCCCTTCTTCCTATCCCTCCTTCTATTTTATGCTCCCTTTCTGGAGCTTACTATCCCGCCTTACACCTCATGAACTACCACTCACAGCCTGGTGCCACTTTTGCGGGCTCGCAATGGGCCCAGGATAACCAGCAATGTGTGCCTCCGACCACTTTTCAAGACTTCATTTATGCTTTCCCAAAGCCCAGGTTAAGTGGGCGTATCACCAAACCCCGTAGTGCCGGGAATAGTCCTTCTTCTGCGGGCAGACGGAGGACCACCACAATGCACAGCTCGCCTATGTATCGCCAACTTCCCAACCAGGATTATCAGGCTTCTCTGAATGCGGCTCTCCTCAAATCGGTCATCCAGCGTGGACGCCACTCACGACCTATGAGCTGGCACCCAGCATCAAGGCAGCCGGAATATCCGGCATCATCGCACTATGATCCTTCAACTATGGCGATGCACACATTTAATCTCCCAGTTACACAAGCCTGTCCTCAACCACAACAACCAATAAGTAGCGCTTTTAATGATGAAGCTGCTATGCTGCAAACATTCGCCCCAACGGAGTTCCCATCTTCTCAGCAGATGACTTTACCCACGGCTGAAAATCAACTGCCTTTCCTCCAAGACACGTCTTTCTTACAAGTCAACAATCCTCAGGTTGACGGTACTTTCTTCGATGGGTCGCATCCGGGTTTATCCACCCTTGCACAACCGATATCAAACGACTGGCCCTTCGACATGGTATCGATCAACCAGAGCGTCCCGTCCGTGGGGGTCCCACCCTCAAACTATGGAAGTGTATCGTCCGGGCGCCTGACTGGGCCAGCCACGCCTGACTTTCTTCCTATTCAACAATTCAGCGACGAGGCTGAGCCGCAGTCGATGTCTGCGTTGGAGAAGCCCGACTCGGAAGATGAGCTCGTCGGAATGGGTCTTTACAACAACCCAGACGCATTCGCCGATGATCCTTTGCAGGGAATGAATGGCAAGGGGCTGAAATTGGAAGAAACATTTACACCATCATCAGATAACGAGGCAGACAACGAAGCAGATTATGACGATGACGACCAACAAGAATTGAACCAGGACTGTACAAGTCAAACTCAACAACAAAACTCGCATCACAATGCGAGCAAAGAACGGAGTAAACCGGCTGATAGTGCGATGCAAAAATCCTTTTTCTTTGATGACGACTTCGAACAACCCTCTATGGGCGATTACCGACCTTCCTTCAACATTGCTGCTCCACCTTGCATGAATTACGGATATGGATGGATTTGAACAACTTTAGATTTATGTTCTTTATTTTTTTTTACCCCTTGTATTTCCGCTTTCGATTATCGCATAGCACGGGAGTTTCGGTTTAGCTGGATGAACTGCATGGCATAGAATAGCATAAGCTAGGGTGGAGACCCCGAACCGGACGGCGTTCATTGTATTAAGCAAGTGTCAATACCAGATTATTACAATCTACCATTGAAAACATTGAGACCTTATTTATACTTTTATACAGCCTAAGTACGGGAGTAAAGAGAAGAGAGCGGAGAACACATACGCTCGAATCCCAATAAAATCAGATCCGGATGGAAAAACTATTCCCCGATCAAAAAATCACCACCAGGCATATATTGTATATACACATTTTCCTTCCCTAAGATACCCTCCAAGAAAAAAAAACCCCCCAAAAATAAAAGATGTCAAAAGTAATATTCACCCCATGGAAAACCCACTCCGACCTCCTCGCCGTGCGGAGCCAATTCTATCCGACGCCTGAATATAGCGGGCCGGATATGCGCTCGAAGGCCTGCGCAACGGTATGTTTCAACATTCGCCCAATCTACTATGAGTCCTTTTTTTTTTTTTTTTAACAGGATGAATTAAATTTGCAATGCTAATTGAATACATACAGGTCTCCGCCTGGAAACTACGCGGAAACCTCCCACACGCTGTTGAAGCCACAGCCCTTCTCACAGACGCCATTCTGCACGATAATGCAAGCAAGAACTCCATTTTTTCAATAAGGGCAACATATGCTGCGGCATTTTGTCGGTATGTACTTACTTTATCTACTTACAAGGCTTATCTCTGCAGCAGTTCACTTTACTAAGCTTGTATATATTATAGATTTGTAACCGGGCTGGTGGACAACAAACTCCACGGCGCAAAGAAGAGTATGTTTTCTCGCGCGCTGGACCTCGGTCTTCCTGCTTCATTTGTGGAACTGCGGCATGAGGCCACGCACCGCGAGCTGCCGAGTTTGACGGTGTTGAGGGATTCGACGGGCCGGTCGTTGGAGTGGCTGTGGGGGTTTTATTGGAGAGGAGTGGGAGCTGATTCGTTTTCTGGTGTTTCGGGGGGTGGCGAGCTGGAGGAGCTGGTAAGGGGGGTACTTGGGCAAGTGGGTGCGCTCGTTGATGCGACTGCAGACGGTAAGGGGGTCGGATCCGCGGATGGGCTGTCGAGGAAGAAGAGGAGGGTGCAGATGGACCTGGCGAGTGTTGCAGCTAGGATTGTGGGGATTCTGAAGGAGACTAGAGGTGCAGAGAATGTGGTGGCAATGGTTATGTTGAGAGAGGGGTGGCTTGTTCCGACCGAACGACGGTGAGTGAAATATCCCTCTTCATCCTTTCCTTGCAGAATGCTAACTCTGATTGATAGGCTTGGTGACTCCCTAATGGAGACTATCAGTAAATGGGATCCGCTGCTCCAGATGATTACAGAAGGGTATCCTTCATTCCTCGTCGCGTTGACTGAGGCCATGGCGGACGAGCTGGCATTTATATCTACAAGCTCGTCAAGTACAAGTACGAAAAGTGATCCCTACAGCGAAGGTGTATACACATGGCTGGACCATGTACTGCGCTCGACGCGGTGGGAGCTGCACAGACGGTATATATCAGTTTCTTACGTCCTAGCTGTTTGCGAGGAGAGTTCGAATCACTGGACGACGTTGTTGAAGAAGAGTATCGGCAAGGAGGCCGAAAGTAATAGTCTGCCTACAGTCTCGCAACAGCTGGGTTCTCAGCATCAGTCTTCTGGTGGATCTCGGTTACCGGATGCAGATGATGATATGACGACGTTGAACAAATTTGGCTGGGATATGGCAGATACGTGGGATAGCCGGCCATTGGGGGTTGTCTAGACTTGGGTTTACTTCTAAGCAAGAAAACTTTCGAATAGGCTATGGTTCAGGTTCTGTATTATACCCAAGTTTCTTTACTAGAATGATTACACCCAGTATTTGTTATAAAAAGGTGCAGAGAATAAAAACACTCAGAACGAGAGAGGGCTTTTGCACAGTAGGAAAGACCTATGTGTAAAAAACTACTTGGGAAGGTGCGATCTAACTTACTACCGTACCTATTGGAATTTCGAACCAACTGCCTATATCGGGAGGCACCACAATAAGCTTGGATCCCGAGTGACTTAGTTTGGGAAAGAACGATGTCAGCATCTCCATCGTGCTTTCCTTGCAAGGAAATACCAGGCTTGCCCGCGGCATAGCAGAACTACAGCGCCATTGGCGTGGTGGATTACTCCTTACTTCAGGTTGTGAAGCGGCATGTATGAAAGACATGAAGGTGGAGTTGTATAACACCGGATATTTAAGCTCTTTGTTCAATGAAAAGGCCAACCTTTTGCGTAGTGAAACAGTCTGCATAAGAAGTGGTATGTACTTTTCAAGCAACTGGTCTTGGTCTTTTCGGTCGAAAAAAGCTCAGATTAACCTGGACTCCGAAATCCACCGAGAGTACTGTTGAGCGGTCCGTCGGTTTGCAGTCCACTTCATAGCTCCATCGCCAGGCTCGTGGTAAAGGACTTCAG